TCAATAATGGCAGCTATTAACATGATATCATTAGCTCTGAATACTTATTTAAACAAAACATGCACTATTTGTAGTTAACTGTAGCAAAGTCACGCTGTGAGAAGAGGATATTTAAATTAGGAGGACCAGACTATAAATACTATACTGGGGAAACGCAAGAGGGTAGCAAACAGTCTTCAACTTTACCTGGACACAAGGTATGCTTGTACAGTAAACACCACTTATCACAATATACTGCTTATAACAATATACCCCTTACAACGATATACCACTTATAACGATGCTGTTGCCTTGGTCTTGACTCTTGTTTTCAAATTGGTTGCTCGCGGATATAGCCATATCCAAATATAAAATAGCAGTTCCTTAAATATTGTTATAAGCAGAAATTACTGTATAAACTGGTACTAAGTGTGAAGAAGTTGACAAGTACTGCATACATGTGAACTTTTTTCAATGATCAAGTGGGAGATTTTTCTTCAAAAAGAGGGAGATTTTAGAATTTGCAATAACCAAAGAAGAAAGTTCTGAAATCAAAAATAGGTAGATTTCTTTGATTTGTGAAAATACCCCTTATTTAAAGAAAATTCTTTTAAAATATGGCTGCAGAAAGTGGTAGTCTCCTGCTAAAAGTGGGAGAGTTCACATGTATGGTACTAATGGAGAAAAAGTTAGTTTCAATATTGTTGCAATAGACATTAAGTAAGTAAACAGTAAACATGTTTCTGCTTACACCTTTTAAAAATTCTTACGATTTTGCTGTATTATTTAGCATGGAGAATAGTCTAGTATACTGTTGAACTGGCAGCTCTTGATTAAATTATTACTGGTAATAAAGGAAATTGGTCATTTGTAAAAGATAAGTTTGTTTTTCAGGTGATGCCATTTAAAGAAATCATGTCTTCAGCTATTGGTAGGGAATATTTTGAATCATTTTTGCAGAGAGATTCCAATGAGTCATTGTTAGGGTAAGGAAAAAAAATTAATCCAAATGTTTCATATGTAAAATTATTTATATTTCACAAATTGTGTAGTATATTACGGAATTGAAAAAACTTTTTTGATGGAAATGATGTTTAGTGGTTATGGTAGCTGATGTCAAACTGCTTTATGCCATGGGTAAATATACAAAGAAAAGTAAATTCTGTCATGATAGGAAACTATCTAGCTAGCTGACAAAAGGTGGTTGGTTTTACTCAGATACCCAAATGTGCTTGCAAATTATCTGCAGATCATTACTTTTCTTTAATTAAGAAAAGCTTTAGAAATATTAAATGGTCTTTCTTGTTGCATCCATGTGACTTGAACTCCAACAAGAGAAAATAAGGCAATTATACATAGTTTTTATACAATGTATTGTTCTAAAGTTTTAATGTCTCTGGAGCCAAAAATGAGTCCTGTTTCCAGATATGTCTGCAATGACCCTTTTACTTTTATCATATAACTTCTTACTTTTAAAACTCTGTATGAAACTTCCATGGCTGAGTGGTTACGGTTGTTTACTTCAAACCACTTGCCTGTCACCACAGTAGGTTTGAGCCAAGCAAGCGTTCTCAGATTCGGTAGTTCTACACTGATGCCGGTTTTTGCCTGAAGTAATATACAAAAGGGCACCTGAGGCCTCCCACCACTAGTAAGGCAGGAAAGTCACAATATGACCTATACTGTGTCGGTGCTATATAAATCCCTATCAAAAAAAAATTAAAAACTGTGTATTCAACTGTGATAAATTGACATTTTGTGAGCAACTTGATACCAAATCAAAGTGATACATTATATTTATTGTATACATGTATACAATTAATAAAGTATTTACTTATAAAGTATTTATTTATATGAAATAAGCAGGAAGTTTAGCAGAATATGTACACATATTTGATATAAGAAAAGTTACCAATAAATGAACTAATATCAAACTGCAATTTTGTCAGCTCTTAGGTCTAAATATTTATTGATTAACTGAAATTATTTGATCTTAGATTTGTCACATTGAATTTTTTGTTATGGTAATATCATATGTGTATTTGTATTTTGACTTATATTAAATTATGTTTTAGCTTCTGGAATGCTGTGAAAAATCTTAAAGAAGCTGACAAAGTAAGATTTAAGTTTTGTTGACATCATTGAAATATGCTTTATTCAAGAAATTAGAATTACTTGAAAAAAAGTTCTATAAATATTTAAAACTTACAGGTGTTCAAAATGCTTAGCACTTGTTTTCCACCTATCAACTGCTATTGGGGAAAGATAAGTTTTATCGGTGAAAAATTAGCGAATGGGATTTTTAAACATGTTTAAAATTCTTGATCGGTGACAATATTTTACATATAACCCACAGCAACCTATATCACGAGATATGCAAGCTCTTAATCACTGATATCGCCGATCAGACAAAGATAATCAAATATGAATCACCGGCCATATCTGACGGAAAGTGTTATATCACTGATGACTAGCTATCAAACACCGATTAATCAGCGTTACGTCTGATTTAGCTCCAATTTACAAACGATAAAAACCAATAGTATTTCAGCATTTTTGTCACCGATCCAACCCCGTTTGAGTTTGCTTTCTGTCACCGATGGCCGTTTACACAGAAAACCAGAAATAAAATCACGCATGACAATCAATCATAACAGCGAGTAAATTTTAAATTTAATTATCGATTGGGGACCGACCGTCTGTGTAACTGGCCCTTAAATATGCAAACTTGGAAAATTTACAAGAGTTTTTTTTGTTGTTTATAATTTATATCTCCAAAGCAAAGATAGATTATTTCTTGCATATAGATGATAAATTCTTTGGATTGTCAATGTGTCAATGGTATTTCTGTTTCTAACTAAATCAGTACATGCAGTTATATTATATTCAGCCCATAATATTTTAGCATATGTAAATTATCAGTTATGATGATTTAAAGCATTATTGGTTATTGTAATAGCTGAGTTGTCATCTCCAGTAGATACAGGTAAAGAATCTAGGTTGGTTGCCATTGCAATCTGACTTAAGTTCTGATCTACTTAAGGTATTTCTTGCATGTAGATCTGATTGCCACTGTATTTGTTTCCGCCTTCATTGTGATTTGGATTTCACAAGAAAGCTATTTTTAGCCATGAAGTTAAACCATCCTTTACATATAGGCATTAGACGAAGTATTAAAATATTGCTGTCCATGAAAGTAAAACAATTTGGTGATTTTTGTTAGAGAAGAATTGTTTGAAGTATTTTGATACAAATAAACTGGAAATAATTAATTCAATTTTAATGGGCAAGATTGTTTTGCCAGTTTACCAGCCGTTTATATGGACAACATCATGTTTGATCTCAAAATCATGAAAATTATCTACTCAGTATTGGTTTTCCTGTGGTTAGATTAGAAATCGCATCACTTTCAAAATTGTGAAAGCTTGCTGATGATTGACTGTTTGAAGGGTCATGAGAAGGTGACCATCTATTGCTGCCGGTCAGATCCTAATGCAAAACATTAATTAGGAGCTGATTTTAATCAGATTGGTTGTCATTGTAAACAAAGTGCTGATTATGATTGCAATACTTGTAAAAAATAGAAATTAGAAAGAAAGAAAAAAAAAATCAACAAGATTTGAATAGATAATGTCATTGTTGAATGTAATAATGTTTTTTGTTTTATTTTGTTTTTCAACTTACTAGAAACAACATCATAACATGGGTGCAGACATCTACCAAAGGTTTATCTCTAGTTCAACCAGTGTTGTCAAGGTAGATAAGTCACTGGCAAAGAAAATGGAAACATTCATGCTCGGTGATTCTGTAAGTTTAAAACAATACTTAATTAAGTTTATTAGCACTTGGATAGTTAAACTGTAGTATTACTTTTGATAACTATTTTGGTAGTATATCTTCTACCTAACATATAGGTTAAGATCTTTTTATTTTAGTTAAAAAGTAAGAATTTCTTTCTTGAATTGTGTTCCTCTTGCCGAAAATTAAGATTGTTCTGTGTTTTTGAGACACGAAAGTGGTATTTCATTGTTATATTAAATAACATACATGTATGCAAGAATTCCAAGGTATTATGGCATACCTCTTTATCCCTAAAGTCATCTATTTTGCCCTTGTCAACAGCATAGAGAAGAACCAGTCTATGCTTTAATGGTGTCTGACCAGTCTGTGTACGGCTACCTTTTCCGTTTTAGTATTTTGATACTAAAAATTCTTATCGCTAGTCCTAATCCCAAAAGTAATTTCTCTAATTAATCCCAGTTCAAAGCAACACAAGTATGTAGTATTTTAAATTCAGCCGTGTGAAAATATTTAGAATTCGTAAGTGTTACTTTTGCATATTTATGATTATGAAGCACTACTACTTGCATATGTATGATTATGAAGTACTACTATAGAAAATTATTATAGGGACCAGAAGCATTCTATGAAGCACAAGAACAAGTGTATAAAGTGTTAGAGAGACAGCATTACCCATCATTCCTAGTTAGTGATATCTTTCACAAGTACGTTACTTTGATTGAAGAGCAGGGAGGGGAGGCAACTGGTGCATCAGGAAAAGGTGAGGTGATAATAGCATTTGAGTATGTTATGTATGTGCGTTTTATAGTAAATGGTTTTTTGAGTACATTATGAGAACATTTTAAAATAGCTTTTGTTAGTAAATGGATTTTTGAGTACATTATGAGAACATTTTATAATAGCTTTTGTTAGTAAATGGATTTTTGAGTACATTATGAGAACATTTTATAATAGCTTTTGTTAGTAAATGGATTTTTGAGTACATTATGAGAACATTTTATATGTGCTTTTGTCAGAAATGCGTTTTTTCATTTTCTTAAGTTTAAAATTGCAACTTTCTATTGATGTTATTAGACATACTGGTTATGTAGAAAATTATCAGGTTTTTTTAGCTCACCTGTCACAAAGTGACAGGGTGAGCTTTTGTGATCGCTTTTCGTCCGGCGTCCGTCTGTCGTCCGTCCGTCGTCCGTAAACTTTTACTTTAAATGACATCTCCTCATAAACCACTGAGCCAATTTCATCCAAACTTCACAGGAATGTTCCTTTGGTGGTCACCTTTAAAAATTGTTCAAAGAATTTAATTCCATGCAGAACTCTGGTTGCCATGGCAACCGAAAGAAAAAACTTTAAATATCTTCTTTTAAAAAACCCTAAGAGCTAGAGCTTAGATATTTGGCATGAAACATCTTCTAGTGAGTGTCTACCAAGTTTGTTCAAATAAAAGCCCTGGGGTCAAAATTGGCCCTGCCCCAGGGGGTCATTGATTTTCCCTATATGCATATAGTAAAAACTTAAAAAACCTTCTTTTAAAGAACTCAAAGAGCTAGAGCTAAGATATTTAGCATCAAACATGTTCTAAAAGGTGTCTACAAAGTTTGTTCAAATAAAAGCCCTGGGGTCAAAACTGGCCCCGCCCCGGGGCTCATTGATTTTCCCTATAAAAAAAAAGCCCAATGAGCTAGAGCTTAGATGTTTAGCATGAAACATCTTCTTAATATGGGTGTCTACCAAGTTTGTTCAAATAAAAGCCCTGGGGTCAAAATTGGCCCAGCCCCAGGGGGTCATTGATTTTCCCTATATGCATATAGTAAAAACTTAAAAAATCTTCTTTTAAAGAACTCAAAGAGCTAGAGCTAAGATATTTAGCATCAAACATGTTCTAATAGGTGTCTACCAAGTTTGTTCAAATAAAAGCCCTGGGGTCAAAATTGGCCCCGCCCCGGGGGTCATTGATTTTCCTTATATGTGTATAGCAAAAACTTAAAAAAATCTTCTTTGAAAAAACCCAAATAGCTAGAGTTTAGATATTAAGCATGAAACATCTTCTAGTAAGTGTCTACAAAGTTTGTTCAAATAAAAGCCCTAGTGTCAAAACTGGCCCCGCCCCAGGGGTGTCATTGTTTTTAACTATATGTGTATAGTAAAAACTTAAAAAAATCTTCTTTTAAAAAGCCCAATGAGCTAGAGCTTAGATGTTTAGCATGAAACATCTTCTTATGGGTGTCTACCAAGTTTGTTCAAATAAAAGCCCTGGGGTCAAAATTGGCCCCGCTCAATGGGGTCATTGATTTTCCTTATATGTGTATAGCAAAAACTTAAAATCTTCTTTGAAAAAACCCAAATAGCTAGAGTTTAGATATTAAGCATGAAACATCTTCTAGTGAGTGTCTACAAAGTTTGTTCAAATAAAAGCCCTGGGGTCAAAACTGGCCCCGCCCCAGGGGTGTCATTGTTTTTAACTATATGTGTATAGTAAAACTTAAAAAAATCTTCTTTTAAAAAGCCCAATGAGCTAGAGCTAAGATATTTAGCATCAAACATGTTCTAATAGGTGTCTACCAAGTTTGTTCAAATAAAAGCCCTGGGGTCAAAATTGGCCCAGCCCCGGGGGTCATTGATTTTCCTTATATGCATATAGTAAAAACTTAAAATCTTCTTTGAAAAAACCCAAATAGCTAGTGTTTAGATATTAAGCATGAAACATCTTCTAGTGAGTGTCTACAAAGTTTGTTCAAATAAAAGCCCTGGGGTCAAAATTGGCCCAGCCCCGGGGGTCATTGATTTTTCTTATATGTGTATAGCAAAAACTTAAAATCTTCTTTGAAAAAACCCAAATAGCTAGAGTTTAGATATAAAGCATGAAACATCTTCTAGTAAGTGTCTACAAAGTTTGTTCAAATAAAAGCCCTGGGGTCAAAAAAGGCCCCGCCCAAAGGGTTTTAATGTTTTTAACTATATGTGTATAGTAAAAACTTTAAAAAATCTTCTTTTAAAAAGCCCAATGAGCTAGAGCTTAGATGTTTAGCATGAAACATCTTCTTATGGGTGGGGGGGGGGGGGGGGGCTATATACAGGTGAGCGACCTCAGGGCCATCATGGCCCTCAGGGCCATCATGGCCCTCTTGTTTTTTTTTATTATTTGAATTCTAGTAAGGGGATTCCAGTGGCCAAGTATTCAATGTCAAAGGCTTAAATTTACATTCCCCCATGCAGTTGCCAGTCCTTATTTAATTCTACCATGTGTAGTAGCTATCCAAATTGTTTGTGGTTTTGTGCTCACCATTCCAGAAATAATGCACTGAGGACCATCGGGTCAGTTTAATGATTAGTTGTTTACTAGGGTGTCTCTGGGTAATTAGACAGATCTGCGGAGCAATTTTTATTTTCAAAATCAAGACATTGGTACAATGTTCATTTCAGATGAGTTATTTTTTGAGCCAAAGGAGGGTTTAACAGATGATGAGGAAGATGAAATGTTCTCAGCACAATCTTATCATGCTAAACAAAAACTACAACAACTCACTACAAAAATCACAAACAAAACACAAGCACTAGATGCTCTAAGAGCATCAGGGAAACCTGATGCAAAGGTAAATCTTTCCGAGCTTTAAAAAAAAACACTTTAAGACATTATCCTTTTTCAAAGGTCTGTTTTTCATAAAAAATGTCTATTTTACTGGATTTTGAAACCAAGCTAAAAATTAATCTGAATTTTGATACAGTAGGAGCTATACTATGGCAGTTACTAGATTTCTTTCTGGAGATTCTTATATCTGAATAACTTATACACCTTAAAACAATTCACAGTCTCTGTCTGATCACATTTATAAGGGTTCATAACATTTTAAGCATAAAGGGGCCATCATTATTTGTTTCCTTAAGTTTTTGAGAACTATGATGTTTCTATGCAACAGAAATTTGATTGAGCAAAAGCTTACAATATTTGTTTTAAAGATTTTGTGACAGGTTATATGGACCGTTATAAATGGTCATGTGCATACATTGCAAACAACCATTTCTATAGGGCCATAAAATCTTGTCGAGAATCTTTGATACAGGAAACTATTGAAGAATAAAAGAATAATATCTTCAGAATTTGACAGCAGCCGCATACATGTACCGGTATATATAGTTTATAAAAACATCATGATTATCCAATGTAAAGCGACGTTACAAACATGCAGTATCATAAAAACAATTAATGTTGATATGTAGTGATAACAGAAATGCTTTATTTAATCTAGCAATGTTTTTTAAAGCAATAATGCTGTATTTACTTTGATGCCATGTTTGTATTATTATTTGTTGTATTGTTTGTTTGTTCACTTTTATGCCCTTAAGCGCCATGAGTTTTTGTTTATGAATAAAAATAATAGAAAGATAGATATGTATATTTTATATTTTAGATGCTGAAAGTTCAGGAAGAGTTACAGGGTGTGATAAATGACGTGGAGGAGGAGAGACGTAGGTTAGATGCCCACATCAGGAGAACTGAACAGTGGTGTGAGAATGTAGGAAAATGGACAGCACATATATATGAAGCTGAAGTAAGTGTAAATATTTGTGTAATTCTTATGACTTAATTTCTAAAGATTCCCACATTATTTAAAGCACTGTCTGATCTGCATGATCTGCACTGTCCGCTATTCAGTTGTACATATTTTGATTTTTTTGCTAAAAATGATGAATGGTTTTGTTGAGATTAAAATATATAGCATAGTACGGGTTAAACTAATGAAAATAATTGAGGTGGATAACTCTGAATTACCATTTCCCCACCACTGTATTTTTTTTCATTTCATTTTTCATTAGATTCTTTTTCATATGAGGAGGTAGTCCTGCTAGCTTATAGAAAAGTTTGGCTATACTTTGTACCTCTACTATGCTTGCAATTGTAACATTCCTACATTTTGTAAACTGCGATATGACAACAGAAACTTTGATAATGTCTCAAATGTAAAATGTAGAAAAAGCAAAATCAGTACAAAAATACATATGTGTTTTATGCTGAAATAAGTATGCTTTGAAACATATGTGACTCTTCAGATTCAGAATGAAGGAGATAAGAAAGTACCAGTGTTTGTCCTAGTTATTCACCTATCAGGTAGTTCTTCACAGAATCTGCAGAGTAGTACCCAGGGCTGGGTGGTCAATAGGAAACTACAGGACTTCTATGCTGTGCATGAAAAACTTGTACAGGTAAGTTTTTGTTTTACAAAATATGAAGCATTTCATAAAGTAATGATGGAAAAATGGAATTACTGTTTTTTTTTAAGATGAAAATGATTTGAAAGTTTGTTATGCATATGGTTTAGTACAATAGTAAGTGATTAGGATGTACTTAACAGTGAAAATCATCATTAGTTTGTTGTACAGGTAATTGCAAATGAAAAATATGAAATCAGTTTGACAATTAAGTCTTAAAAACTGTTTTGAAATTGAAGATATTTGAATTGCATTCTTGCCTTAGTTTACTAAAAACGAATCAGTGTTTTTCACTGATATTATTCCACATGCTTAACTTCCATTTAAAAACAGTAAATAGATTTTGATATGGTTTTACATATTTTACTGACATGAGTTATAACCCATTCTTTGAGATTGGGAATATTTTATTAGAATGGTGGATGTAAGAAGGCCCTCAATTGGGCTAGCACAATTGCTGTAGTATGATAAAGAAAATATTGGTTTATGTGAATAAATCATTACAATATTTAATATTTTATGTACAGATTGAACCATGGTTAAAGAACAAGGATCTGCCTAAAATAAGAGCATTTACAACTGTAGATCAGAAATTCTTAAATGAAGCCAAAGCATTATTGAATGAATATCTCAAGGTAAGATACTGATTGTTAAACTGTGTGAACTTGAATAGTTGAACACATTTTCCTTAACCATCATTCACCACTGTAAAATTAAATCCCCGTATAATGAAAATTCGGGGATTTACTTTCCTTTAGGTCATTTTTGTGCCCCTACGTTAGTGGCGGGCATTTAGATTTACCCTTGTCCGTCCGTCCGTCCGTCCGTCCGTTCACTTTTGTGTCGCATGTAACTCAAAAAGTATTTGACCTAGAGACATGAAACTTTACAGGAATGTTGATCAGCATGTGTAGTTGTGCACCTGGGTATTTTCGTCTGGATATTTTTAGTATTTTCAGAGTTATTGCCCTTGACTTAGTAAAATTTTGCAATTTTCAACTTGTGTCGCATGTAACTCAAAAAGTATTTGACCTAGAGTCATGAAACTTTACAGGAATGTTGATCAGCATGTGTAGTTGTGCACCTGGGTATTTTCGTGTGGATATTTTTAGTATTTTCAGAGTTATTGCCCTTGACTTAGTATAATTTTTGCAATTTTCAACTTGTGTCGCACGTAACTAAAAAAGTATTTGACCTAGAGTCATGAAACTTTACAGGAATGTTGATCAGCATGTGTAGTTGTGCACCTGGGTATTTTCGTCTGGATATTTTTAGTATTTTCAGAGTTATTGCCCTTGACTTAGTAAAATTTTGCAATTTTCAACTTGTGGCGCAAGTAACTCAAAAAGTATTTGACCTAGAGTCATGAAACTTTACAGGAATGTTGATCAGTGGGTGCTGTTGTGCACCTGGGTATTTTCGTTTGGATATTTTAGTATTTTCAGAGTTATTGCCCTTGACTTAGTAAAATTTTGCAATTTTCAACTTGTGTCGCATGTAACTTAAAAAGTATTTGACCTAGAGTCATGAAACTTTACAGGAATGTTGATCAGCATGTGTAGTTGTGTACCTGGGTATTTTTGTGTGGATATTTTTAGTATTTTCAGAGTTATTGCCCTTGACTTAGTAAAATTTTGCAATTTTCAACTTGTGTCGCACGTAACTTAAAAAGTATTTGACCTAGAGTCATGAAACTTTACAGGAATGTTGATCAGCATGTGTAGTTGTGCACCTGGGTATTTTTGTGTGGATATTTTTAGTATTTTCAGAGTTATTGCCCTTGACTTAGTAAAATTTTGCAATTTTCAACTTGTGTCGCACGTAACTTAAAAAGTATTTGACCTAGAGTCATGAAACTTTACAGGAATGTTGATCAGCATGTGTAGTTGTGCACCTGGGTATTTTCGTGTGGATATTTTTAGTATTTTCAGAGTTATTGCCCTTGACTTAGTAAAATTTTGCAATTTTCAACATGTGTCGCAATTAACTCAAAAAGTATTTGACCTAGAGTCATGTTACTTTACAGGAATATTGATCAGCATGTGCAGTTGTGCACCAGGTTTTTTTTGTCTGGATTTATGTAGTATTTTTAGAGTTATTGCCCTTCACTTAGAAAATTTTTGCAATTTTCAACTTGTGTCGCAAGTTACTCAAAAAGGATTTGACATAGTCATTAAACCTTATGGGCAGGTTGCTCAGCATAATTAGATTTGCACCTGGGGTTTAGCTTGTGGATTTATCCAGTATTTGTAGAGTTATTTCCCTTGACTTAGTAAAAAGATTGACAGAACAGTGGCGCGGTGGGGGCACCCGTGTCCTATGGACACATTTCTAGTTTTGTTGATAGGAAGATAGTCTAAATAATACAGAACCCAAGAAATAAACTTATAGCTAGCTTATCACCAGTGTAACATTTATTAAGTAAAGTTTTTTTTTCATTTTTTCAAGCATCATTAAGGTAAGTTATAGAGATTTATAGATAGAGGAAGAAGTCCTATGACTTTGGGTAAATGAATATCAAAAATGAATGAATGAATGCAAAACAAATGGATAAATGAATACCAAAATGGATAAATGAATACCAGAAATGGATAGATGAATACCAAAAATGGATAAATGAATACCAAAATGGATAAATGAATACCAAAAATGGATGTTTATTTATTCACAGGTTATAATGAGAGATTTACGTTTGTCTGACAGCCAGGCTTTGTACGGATTCTTGACCCCAACACCGGAGTATTTCCAGCAGCCAGGACAAGAAAAGAAAAGTGGATTCTTCCTTAGAAATTTGTTTAGGAAGTATGTATTAAGTGATTAACTTATATCTCATGTGCTTTTTTCAACATTGTCATCTGTTCTCACATTTATGTTCATCAAGTTATGACAGAATTTTGGTATGCTGGAGTAGGGATAACAAACAATAGATTAATGAGTACATGTATTTACAAATGATGGATAATATGGTATTAAACATATTTAGTGAAGATCCTTTGCTAAGGGAAGACCTATTGCTGAAGGGACACCCGTTGCAAATGGTGAGAAAACTTGTGTGTCAACTTCTTTGCAAATAAGTAATACCATTGTATTGTAAATCAGTTGATTTTTGAAAGATTTTTGATATTTTGTTATGTCAATTTTTAATGAAATTGTAAAGGTAGATAAGATGTAAAGTATGAATTTACATGTATAATTGCAGTTTGCCAAGTATTGGTCAAGATAGTAGAGATACAGATGAAGAGCTACTTTTCTCTTCAGAAGACAAGTACAGTATTTATTTTATTATTTAGAAAATAGGGGTGGGGAGTCAGAGGGGCTCCTGGCCAACTTGTATTGGTCATTGACTTAAAATCTCTTACAGCTCACAATTGTGGGTTAGATTTTATTCAGGAAATTTGTATTGTTATGCACAAGAGTTATAATGCTTTTTGGATTATGAATTTATAAAGGTGTCTGCATATGCTTTAAATATTGTATGAAAAGGCTCCGGAGGTCTTCCTTGTCCAGTTAGTATAAAATCGAATTGTCAGTTATGGTAGCTGTTCTATATAGTATTCAATTTTTATTAAGAAAATTCTAAACTTTTTCTCGCCAAATACATTTATATAGCTTGTTAATTATTGCTCTTTATGTGTCCAGCTGATCATTAAATAGTATCCTCTTTGTTACTCCAAGTTTTTCATTCAGTCTTTTCAATCCTTGTCAGTAATGGGTGTGTTTTGTTATTTGTTTTCTTATATGTCTATGTATATTATAAATATTTGTATTTGCTTCACAGAACGGAGGATAGAAGTAAAGATTCCATTGCAGAACCTCTGTATTCTCTTATCAGTGAAGTATATGAGCTACATGGCATGTTTAAATGGTTGAGGAAAAGTTTTATTTCATTTGTTGAGGTTACATTTGGAAGATCTATTAATAGGTATGTTAATGTTACTTTTTCTATCTATATATGACTGTCAAGATTATGTTCATGTATATAAATGCCATATAACAAGATGATGTACATGTATATAAATGCCATATAACTTGTTACACATTTTCATGATTTTCAAAATATGTATGTTTTTTTCTGCAGGCAGCTTAGAGAAACTATATACTGGATTTTCTCAGAGCCTATGATAATATATTACATCAGAAATTTCAAGGAATCAATGTGGCCACATGGTGTTTTGGCTCCATCATTACCACCAAGGTCTGATGAAGAGAAATTGAGAACCAGGCTAAAAGCTAAAGAGAAGTTTTTGCAAATACAGCCAGGTACTTAATCTTATAGCAATTCTATGTTTTCATATAATCTGGACAGGGACTTTGGATTTTTTTATGTGAGGAAGCTATCAAGGTAGGTAACGGAAACGAAACTTCTGTGGTTCTACTAAGGTGTATGTTTGTCCCAGAAATAATGCGCTGAATGTCACCTAAGGTCCACCAGTAAAGCTGGACCATATGACCTATACTGTGTTGGTGTGACATAAAACCCAACTAAAAAAGAAAATAGATATTATATATGTCATCCATATACTTTAACAAGTTAACTTGACAGGAACAAGTATTTACTGTGATATGACTGTTGATTGTCTTACCTTTTTTTTTTCTTGTAAAGAATTGGCCATTATGGCCAAGTGGTTTGTGTCCCTTCTTTCCAATAAATACCAACTTAACAAAGGTTTAAACAATCTTGCTTGTGACTCTAAATTCTATATATATTTGTCTATCCAAAAAGTAATCCTACTTGTTATTGAATAATTTATCTTAATGTGGAAGTCAAAATCTTAAATCTTTTACATAGTGGTATGATTTCTAAGCTTTCAAAAAGGAAATCATGTATTTTGGTCTTTACAGATGCTGTGAAAACTTTAGTTGGTGAAGAAAACAAGAGACGGGGAACAATCAAGATGTTTGAAGTACTTCAGGACACCAGGCTAAACAAACAACTATTTTATGTAAGTAACCTCTCATTCCCTCTCAAAATTCATTTTCCTTTTCCCCGGGTTTGGAAGCTTTTGTCGCCCCGCGTCGGCGCCCCTGTTTTTGGCTTTTGGGGTTAAAAGTTTTTTTGAAAAAAAGCCAAAATTTTCATTTTGTTGAGTATTAATTGAAATTTACAATTTTTTTTATGTAATGTCTCAGATTTGCCAATTTTGGATTACTCTGTCATATTTGATTGTTTTTAACCCTTAGAAATTTTGGGTTAAAGTTTTTTTTATTCTTTATTGCTAGATATTAATTGAAATTAAATATTTTTTTAGAAACAATGTTATTTGCAAAGGAAAATTTGGCTTTTGCGAATTTTTCCCCCTTTGAATTAAAATGTTGGTTAAATCTTCAGAGATATTTATTTAAAATTTTACACATGTATTAGGGTCAAAATTGAAGGTCCTCTCGATTCATTACTCTCCCAGTATTTGACAAAATTACCCCCTTTTTGTTCTAAAAAAATTCCTTTTCTTGGTTGTTTAACGGTCCCCAGTTTTGCATATCTCTGAAATATTAAAGAACAAACTTGAAATTTCATATGAAATTTTTGGGGTCAAAAAATGTCCGGAAACGCACTCTATCTGTTTATGTATTAGGCTGATTTATCTCCCCTTTTTTACTTGTCTCTTGGTTAACGTTTACATGTAAGTTTAAAATTTTAACTTTAAAATTTAATTAATTAATATGATTTGGGCTAATTTAGGTCATGGGAAAAAAAACTAATCCCCCTTTGGAATTTTTTCCTTTTTACTTTATTTTGCGAAAATGTTTAAACTTTTCCAATAAAGGTTTTTGTTTTTTTTACAAATTTTTTTTTTAATTAAAATTTATTCTATAAAAAATTTTAAAAACAAGCCTTTGTACCTTTTAGGTCAATTTTATGTATTCATAGGTAAGCATTATTATACTCAATAAAACACCCTTGTGACAACTTTTTCGAATAGTCGAGCCTTACTGTCCTCAGGCAGTTCTTGTTATATCTTATTGTTATTCTCCCATTGTTTTCTCATTTAGGCACATTCTTTTAACTAGAAACCGTATGGCTATAAATTGAATTTAGTGCTGTCATTGATAAAGATGATATCTATGTATATCAATATTTTCTGTCAATCAATAATCAATACACATTTGAAAAAAATCGATGATTTTGATTGATTAATAAAATGTCTAGAAATTATGAAAATCCGACCTAAACTTATTTAGAAGCAGGTGTCCATATCTAAAATTTAGCTGTTGTTACATAATAAACACATTTCATAGCAGGGACAACAAAAATATGGACTGAAAAAAATCATGCATTGGGCATTTATAAACAGGACACAACATAAAAAAATGCATGAACAGAGCATGTTTTTTTCTTATTTAATTTATCTCCACTTACTTGGTATGTTGAGTGCTGGTGTGACTGTGGTTATACGTCAGACTAGTAATCAAAGGATTGTCGACCGTGTGTGTTCAGACCCTGTCGGGGGCAAGCTGTTGTTTCCTTGAGCAAGAAACTTTACACTCATTGTTCAGTACTGGTAGGTTTCAAGGAATGGATTCGAGAGAGTTTCAATAAGCTTATAGCTTTCAACATAATCAAACTAAAATAAATTTGTATAAACTAAACCATTTGGTATGTTAGCTTATCCTGAATGTTATGTTGTTGTTGTTGTTTTTTCAGGGTATGCTACTTTTACTTATACAACATGTTGTGCCTGAACTTGGTGCTATGTTGTCCCAAGTTGAAGATATGGAGGACTCAACTGATGTTCCAGTTATTATAGGGAGTGATCAGTAACACTGGTGTTAAATGGATGGAGCATTCCAGAATCATCTCATTTGTCAGTTATTTTCATAGGTAGTGATCAATAATAATATAGTAAACATTGGTGTAAAATAAATGGAAGGTGCTAGATTCAACAGATGTTCCTGTTATTGTATGAAGTGACAAATAACATTGGTACTAAATGGATGGAACATGCTAGAATCTTCTGACTCTCTTGTAACTGTAAGGAGTCATAGATACTAATGATTTTTGAAAGGATGGAATATGTCAGGCACTACTGATAAACCTGTTATTATTTTAGTTAGTGATTAATAACATTGATGTAAAATGGATGGAGCATGCTGGACTGTACGGGTGTATCAGTTATCATTATAGGCATGGATTGTAGATGAAACATGCTAGACTCTTCAAAAGCATTAAAAGTAGTGACAACACTGATGTTAAATACATAAAATTTGATACCAAATTTTGTAACAAGTGATCACTAATTACTCTTTAAGAATAAAGGGAACACAATATACACAACTGTTGTACCTATTTTAAGTAGTGATGAATATTTCTTATGTTAAATTGATGAAATTTGCTATATCAAGTTAAATATAAAAATGTTACTTTTTAAGTAAGTTAATTTGTTAAAGTTAATTTGGTGCAGTATTTTGTTCAGGTGAATTGAATTTAGTTTAGAGTGACGCTTTTGTAAAAGGAAAAATTATGAACAAGAGTTACTTGGAAAAGTCATAGGCAAAGGGAAATGTGCAATGTTTAATTTATATGTTCTTGTATAACTTAAAAGAGATTAATTATATGATTTATAAATGGCATTTAATTGTTACACTAAGTGGCATACTATATTGAAAAAATAAACACATTGAATATGAGGAATTAATTTTGCATTTTATCTATGTTGTTTTTTGTTGACTTTTTTTTAAACAACTGTATCCCTGATAACCATTTTGTTAATTTATTATGATATTTATTATGATCAAAACTGACCATATTACCTGTGAAATAAAAATGCATAATGTGTTCACTGTTAGCTTGTTGGGAAACAACACAAAAATGTAAACTTTCTGATGTAGATTGATCAGGGATATTATTATACCATAATTACATTCCTTTATAAATTGTTTGTAAAACATTCCTTGATAGCATGGTTTGTAGATGATGCATTATCTGAAAATCCTGGCAATAAATACTAATATATATAGGGCGTGATACAAATAATATTTAATAACCTGACTGAATATTTAATTAATCATTTAAAGTTTAAACAGTAACTTTTATTCTTGCAAGACTCTTTCATACCTAAATTGTCGGTGTGCCGTTAAACCATAGAAACAAACACTTTCATACCTAATCTGCAAGATCTTGACTCAACTAGATGTTTATGCAGTTTTTATTATAAATATTTAAAACAAAACAGATTGTATGTGTGTGTTGTTTTTTTTTGTTTTTATTTTTTTTTTATTTTATTGGAATATATTCATATAATAACTACAAAACTGTTCAAACATTGTTTTATTTTGTTTTGAATGGCACAACAATGTAGAATATCGGTAAATAAATCTTATTGTTATGTTTTAAAGCTAGTTCGTTTTTTTTCTTCAGTTTGTAAAGACATAAGAAGCTTGCTAGAACATAAAAAAGTATAAACTGGTTCAAAAGTAAAATGTACATTAAGAATTCAGAGTATTCAATACATTGAAAAACTATCCTTTAACCTCTTATACTCAAGCTATATCTTCCTGGACCACTATAAAAATGTTTTTTGTGACAATATTTTGTATTTTTTTCTAAATTCAGGTCCATGTTTGTACAATAATTTGTTTCTGATGCTGTTGCTGCCATATTTTCCATGCTGAGTTTCCATGCTAATTTTTCAGGCTGTATAATGAACATTTCCTACTTTAACTTTAGAGAAATAGAGATTTGAAAAATAAAGATAAATTGAGCAGTTTTAGTATAAAGCTTCTACATATTGCAAGGATGTCAAGTCCTGTCAAGCTCTTTACTGGTGCTAAACGCATTTTATTATTTCTTTTCAACACTCAGACAGAGATTTTAGTCCAGTTTGAGACGAGGAAATTCTAAACTACTGTGGTTGTGTGTTATTGGAAGACACCCAGACCACTGACATGACATATCTACCCAGTATACAAACTCACTAAATTCGGGAATCACTGTGACAGTCCCAAAGACACCTGTTTCTTGAGTTTCTATAACTCTTCTAAATATCCCTTCGTACAGTGGACATTGCCAAAAGTCAACAACCATTCTCCGCATTCCATGAATATCAATAACAAGTTCTCCATTGTTGTTGAATTCAAGGTCATACAGGGAACTATCGTGTTGAAGTTTAATAGACTGGAGAAAGTACCAGGCGGCTCGCGGCGCTATCTGGTCGCACATGCTCTTGCATCGCCTTTTGAATGATTTTTTAAATGTTTGAAAGTCTACTGTAACATGGTATCTCATGACTTGAAACCTGATGAAAAGATACATGGAGAAGTATGTCATACTTAAAACTGAGTCTATCTCTGCAGAAGAATAGTTTAAAAGCCTTGTGAGCGATATTTCACATACACCTTTAAATTTTGGAGATTCTTTGCATCTTATGATTGTGGTAAGTAAGTTTTCCTGAATTGAGCGTACTCTGTCTGCAAGCAAGCTTAGGACTTTAATGTCAAGATGAGCTATCAAATTTAAACTAGGAAGAAAATAGCTACTGAGTGTTCTTCTTTCAAGACACTTGTGAAGAGTGTTAAGAAGAGCATTGATACACCAAAATATTCTACCTTCTCCCCAGTTTTGAGGATGTGTGTTCTCGAGCGTCCAAAACAAAATGTTTTTCAGCATATAACTTGACAAATCTTCCGTTTTTTGCAAATACTGACGGAAAATTGTTTTTAAGAACATATATGCCCGGATCTGATGGTCAGAAAGAGATCTAACCAACTGTTTTTCAGATGATGCAAACGAAATTCTCCATTGATATTGCGTATCAACACTTCCAGAGTAAGCTTTTGCGACAAAACCGCATCCTTTACTTGTGATGGTTTGTAGCAAGTCTTTAGAAGGCCATCCATAAAACCTTGGTCTGGAGATGAATGATTTCGCAACTTCTGGCCATTTTTGCATGGTTAAACCGGCTACCAGATCTGTTTGTATCACTACGAGTTCAACGTTGATTACACCACTTAAAGATGCCCCTGAAAATGTTTCTAATGGATTATAACCCACATAAAGAAAATCCGCAGCTTCTATATCTGCCAATAGTTTGTGTTTTAACTTCAAAGCCTTGAGGTATGTAGGTTGCCTTTCATAGATGGTCATCGGATTGCAAATTCTCATTTTGTAATATCCAGGATTTTGTGTTTTTTCTGCGTAGAGATATGTATCATTGTACTCTTTATTCTTGCAGCTGTCTGTTATTTCAATACCTTCATACTCTATCATAATGTCAAGGTCTGTGGCGTTCAAAGTAGAAACGTCGTCAGTAACAACTGGAAAACCTTTCTCTAAATATAATCCATCAAACATACTTCCGAGAAATGATAGGGTTTTAACTCTTAATTTATTCAAAATTCTTCTGTCAGTGTCATTTATATTAAAGATAATCTCCTTATTAGGTTCAGAGTAGATGTCTTTATAAGACATGAAATCTTTCTTTGAGGCCTCCACGAGAGTAGGAAGATGTTTATATAGCCATTCATCTTTAATAGTTGATGCTGCGAGCATTCGAACATCCCGAAAACAATCTTGGTCAAACATCAAACATTGCAGTATCTTCTCCTCCATTGCAATTCTACCAGATACACTGGAAACAATTGTTGTAGTTAACAGATATTTACATCCTATGAAACCGACTGAATAATCTTGATTTAATGATATCGAACCTTAGTATTTATGTCCATACAGATCAATGGTATGTTTGTAGACTAAATCTTAAATGACAATCAAAATTGTCATTATATTTGAAAATTGAAAACAGATAGTCTAGCCGTTGGTATTTTATACATTACTCTTACACAAAAATGTCTTACCGTTTTCGTGGATTAATTAGAATCTGTACTGTTTACTCTAATAAGTGTTTTTATACATTCTGTTATTCTGTCATCAGTCTATTAGGTGACATTTGAACTTCAATCAGTAGATCATAAATTCTTGTTATCAGTGAAGTTTATCTGTTATTTTTGTCAGTGAATTGCAAAACATCGTGATAAAATATTTATCTCATAAAGATAACTGAGGTGATTTAATTATGACGTGGTGTGACATTAGTTGTTTTATTATTTTAATTCATTTATATACCTCATTTTTGTCAAGAGAAAAAATTGCAATGGTAGCGGATATTCCTTGAGAACAACACAATACAAATATACTTTAAAATTGCATACCAATTTTTTGAAATTCTATCATTTCAACTATTGTATAAAGCCAGTATGTGTGATACGGTTGTATATATACATGTAACTAGCAAGCTGTTTATCATATTGAACATTTAATTAGATAAATTTGCAATAGAATTTAATTACATAGATAATTTTGCTACTAAAGTCTCTACTAACAATGTACAATTCCGAATTCAAAGGTTGACAAATTCTCATCACAAAATCTGCTGGGTACTAATCTTAAGCAGAGCAAATGCGCATTAACTGATATGTTTCAGGTTATTTTCTTTTTTTTTTTTTTCATTTTCATAAATTATTGTTGATTTAGCCAAGTTCAGCTTTTATTAAAATTGATTGTAAAGTGTTTTCAAGTTACGTTATTTTATTTTTGTTTATTAAATGATATCATTATTCTATTTAGTATTGAAGTGATAAAAATGTCTCTTTACGCACACTATGAATGTAGAGTTTGTTATTTGTATAAATTTGTATAATAAAATTGTGCAATAAACATATTTCAGGTTTGTTTGTAAATAAACCTTCAATAATATAAGTAGTTTCATACATGTAACTGTTCATTTAGAAAGCCAGTACCATATCTTTTGCACACTTGCAGGCTGTTTCAGTCTTTGTTTTTAATTCTATTGAATTATTCACTGGAGATGTCTGTAACTTACGGAAAATGTGTTTCTAGGCTTATTGTTTTTTTTTACGGAAAATGGTCCACTCTACTGTATAAATTAAATTATGGTTCAAAATAGTAAACTCTGTAAAACCAAAAAAAATCTGTGCACGACATAAGAAAAGCAAATATTTATGTTCTGAGCATGACGTAAAATACGGGAAAACCATTAATCATTGCACAGCACGTAAATTGCTAAGAATATATTATGGAAAATATTAAGTAGTTTACTGCATAAAGGAGCATTTATTTTTGAAAACCAATCTGTAAGGATTCATAGTGTTGGTATGAAGTTATAATACACCATTGAGTATAAAACTGAATTCTACTTGGTAGAGTACCCAGCTGTCAAACCTAAATTGGACGAGGCGCAAGCCAATTCTGGTATAGGTTCTGCAGCTGTGCCCAATAGAATCAGTCCAAAAGAATCAGTATTGTAGTAAAAATGTATAATTGCCTCTTTCTTTCAATTTCAATTTGTGGATGAGGGCTTGCCTTCGTAAGAGGCGACAAAATGGGTTCAAATTAATGCACTCGATCAATCTCTTAGCTCCAACAGGTGAGGTGGTTTTACCCCGGTGTTCCTTAAAGTTTGTAACACCCGAGGTCAGCCAAAATCATATTTCCTGTTTAGGCAACCAGAGCAAATGTGCATGTACTGTTGGCCTGAATTGCGTTTGTGCGCCCTGAAATTAGTTTCTCAGTAGTCTATGCTTAATGAGGGTCCATCCGCCCGTTAAGGCACAAAAGCAGTTTTTGCTGTCATGTCACCAGCCATGCCCTTGGAGGTTTAATTTCGAAGCACAAAGTGGTGATTATTTATCTCCACGCAATTACCGAGGGGTGTTAGCCAAAAATAAGAATTTTGAGCCAAAATTGGGTCACTGTACGGCTGCCAATGAGACCCTAAATATACAAAAACCTGAGACAATATGAAAAGGTGAAGGTAGCCCTGAGAAGGGCTGTTATGCCAGCAAAGGGTCTGTCTTTTAAGCCGTCACTCTCTGTGTTAGGGTTTCCTCGTCGTCTCTGCCTACTTTGTAGAACTACTCTCGTCGGCTTTAGTCAGGACACCGGCAGCTAACTTCACACAAGCTAAATCGTGCCTCCTGAAACGTTACCTCGAGCAGTAGAAAGGATGCGAACTTGCCATATTTCACCTAGCAAATGATCTTCAGTCATTTGCGGGTGCCCTGTGAACTTAGCGAATGGAGGGAGAATTTATCGTAATATGACAGGAATGTGTATATTAATAGTTTTATTAGGCTAATAAAGTAACATCAAAATGCACACATAGGTTTCTGAGCTCTTTTGACTGATACTGCTCAATTTTGTGATGTCACAGTGACACAGTAAAGTTCGTGGGAAGATACCTAATTAATTTTTCTAGTTTTCTCCATTATGTTAACGAGAGCTTCAGTCAAGTGAATTACATATCATAAGGCGGGGATATCAATGTATCAGATGTATTTTGAACAAAAAAAAACATTATTTCGTTTTCTGTCTTCGAAAAGACATATGACACATAGGGCTCAAAAGTTGCATCTCCACATCTGAATAATATTTGCTCAAAATGAACCTCTTGATTTATTGTTTTATTCTATTCAAGTGTGAGAAAAGGAAACTCTTCACTACTATGGTCATGTGTAATCGGGATACCTCCAGACCACTGACATTCCATATCTACCCAGCTTACAAAGTCTTCAAATTTGGGAATGAATGAAACTGTTACACTTGCGCCCAATTCTTGAGTTTCTATCACTCTTCGAAATATCCCTTCATAGACTGGGCTACGCCAGAAGTCAACAACCTTTTCACGCATTCTGTAGATATCAATAACAAGTTCTCCTTTGTTGTTGAATTCAAGGTCATACAGTGAACTATCTTGTTGAAGTTTGATAGACTGAAGAAAGTACCAGGCGGCTCGCGGTGCTATCTGGTCGCACATGCTCTTGCATCGCCTTTTGAATGATTTTTTAAATGTTTGAAAGTCCACCTTAACATGATATCTCATGACTTGAAATCTGATGAAAAGATACATGGAGAAGTATGTCATACTTAGAACAGACACTACCTCTGCAGAAGAATAGTCTAAAAGCCTCGGTAGTGATACTTCACATACGCCTTTAAAGTTGGGAGATTCTTTGCATCTCATGATAATTTCAAGCAAGTTCCTCTGAATTGAGCGTACCCTTTCTGCAAGCCAGCTTACAACTTTTATGTCAAGATGACCTATCAAATTTAAACTAGGAAGAAAATAACTACTGAGTGTTCTGCTTTTAAGACAATTGTGAAGAGTGTTAAGAAGAGCATTGATACACCAAAATATTCTACCTTCTCCCCAGTTTTGAGGATGTGTGTTCTCGAGAGTCCAAAACAAAATGTTTTTCATCATATAACTTGACAAATCTTCCGTCTTTTGCAAATACTGACGGAAAATTGTTTTCAAGAACAGATATGCCCGGATCTGATGATCAGAAAGAGATCGAACCAACTGTTTTTCGGATGATGCAAACGAAATTCTCCATTGATATTCCGTATCCACACTTCCAGAGTAAGCTTTTGCGACAAAACCGCATCCTTTACTTGTGATGGTTTGTAGTAAGTCTAGAGGGCCATCCATAAAACCTTGGTCTGGAGATGAATGATTTCGCAACTTCTGGCCATTTTTGCATGGTTAAAGCGGCTACCAGATCTGTCTGTATAACTCCTAGTTCAACATCGATTACACCACTTAAGGACGCACCTGTAAATGTTTCAAATGACTGATGACTCACGAAAACAAATTTTGCAGCCTCTAAATCGGCTGAGAGCTTATGTTTCAGTTTCAAAGCCTTCAGATATATTTGTTTCCTCTCATACAGGACCGATGAATTACATAATCTCATTTTATAATATCCAGGATTTTGTGTTTCTTCCGCATGAAGATATTCGCCCATATAGGTGGTTTTTATGTGGCCGTCAACTATTTCAATACCTCCATATTCTATAATAATGTCCAGATCTGTGTCATTCATCGGAGACGTGCCGCTGTCAAAAATTGGTAGACCTTTCTCTAAATACAACCCATCAAACATGCTTCCGAGAAAAATGAGGTTCCTCACTGTTAATTTACTCAAAATATTTCTATCAGTATCGCAGACATCAAAGATAATCTTCTTATTAGCAAAAGTGTAAATGTCTCGATACGACATAAAATCTTTCTTTGAGACTTCGACGAGAGTAGGTAAATTTTGTTCTAGCCATTCATTCTGGATACGTGAAGCAGCAAGCATTCGAACATCCCGGAAGCAATCTTGATCAAACATCATACACTGAATCATCATTTCCTCCATTGTAAGTCCAGCAATAACTCTAGAAAAGAATATACAGATTATTGAAATTTATGTGCTACTCTTGTGTTTTTTACGATAAGAGAATAAAGAACTTGTGAATAATTCTTGTTATTTGGTTTTTTAAGAGCTATTAGTGTTCCGAATTAATTCATTTGTTTAGTGTTTGTATCTGAACTCTGAACATTTTATATTTTAACATTGGAAAATTTTCAACATAATTGTTTGTAACCCTTAATTGCTCTTAAACTAAAACATAATTTGTTACGTAAGTGATGATATGAATTAAATATATCAAAACTTTCTTACCTCTTTTTCGTGGATTTTCCCAATTTCTTAGTCTTTACCCTTATTTAATGATACATTCTTAAATGTATTTGACTGGAATACATGAGATTACAAATAAAGGTATTTCAAAATCTTTATCAGTTGTGTTTTATCTACATGTAGCATATTTGCAAAACCTCACCATGTACAATATATTTCATGTTACTACATTTTGACATATAAAACACACCGCACAACCGAAAAAAAATCAGATAAGAGTTTAAATAAACACAATTGAAATATTTCAGAATAATCTGTGTACTACAAAATACACTTTTGCTGGATGATTGATACGATTTATCTCAGCTAAATCCTTATATCTACATATATATGTATGTTAATTAATGTTATTATTGTTGTTGTTGTTGTCGTCGTCGTCGTCGTCGTCGTCGTTGTTTTGACTTTATTGTATTTTACTATTTTTCGCAGTGAACTACTGACATCATTTTTTAAATTTTAAATTTTTAAGACATGTCAACTATAAATATAGCTTATATTTCTACATATAGATAGTCATTGTTTGGACTAATAAAGGCCCCCCCCCCCAAAAAAAAAAAAAGAGTTACTTGAGCATATACTAGTAGGCTGAAATAACTTCTAAACTAACATACAGGCCTTGAACAATGTGCAATTTGAGATAGAAAACATATCTATGCTATCATAGCCATATCAGCGATAATTGATAGTTTAAATTAAATATTGGGATTATTGAAATAATTATCTTTAACATAGAATTAATTTGTTACTCAAGAATTTCTTCTCTATATTTTTTTAGAATATACTACATGTACTCATCTTTTGATAATAATTATTACATTTTGAATGTTCTTGACAGTTCCTTCGCAACTGCCATATCACACGGTATTTGAAAGCAAAAGAGCTTAATTACCAGCCGTTATCACCGCTGGAATATCATGTTACCGTTTTTTCAACAACCTAGAGGCACCGTAACGTAACATTATGTTACCGTTTAGTAACGAGTTACGAGTTGAAGATTGAAAACCGGTTAAAGCCGGTACTAGTGAACGTGAGGGATGTTGCACTTTTCCATTATCCCTCATGAACAGACCTAATCAAACCGATTCTTCAATTTTCATTTTATTCAATTTATTGTTATGTTTTCATTGCTTGCTAGGTTACTTCCTTTTCCAAGATGTACACTGAGAATTTATTAAAATATGAAACCCTTAGACATGCTTTTAAGAGGCACATGATCATTTCACTATCGTGTCATGCAATAAAATTTATTATTTTTTGTTTAATTTGGGTTACAGATCACCAATACAATTTAGGTCATAATAATTATGGCGCCAAATCAGGATAGATGATTTTGGTTAACCTGGGGTGTTACAAAATTAAAGCAACCCTAGGGGTCAAAACCACCACACTTGCTGGAGCTAAGAGGTGCAAGAGCAAGGAGATGCACAGACTCCATGGCAGTAATTCAAACCACTAAGTCGCCTCTTACGATCACGCAGGGATAAACGGTGACTCCAGTTCTGGTGATGCAACCTCTCAGTCATAAAGGGGTAAACTTTATTAGCTTGCTGCAAGTGAAGCTGGACATTGAAGAAGCACGTATTTATTAACCCGTTAGTATTAGTAAGATAAGTGACAAAATAATTATCAGAATAGCATTGTGGCGGTGTTGGTAGTTTACCCGTCGGATCACCACTGTAAGTCACATTGAATTTACCAGAGTAAAGTTCAAACACCGCATTGTTCCTGTGTGATCACAATTAAGTGTTGGCCCCACATTAACGAGAAACACGTCTGTACATGCCAGAGCAGAGGTACAGCGCGAATGACCTTAGAAAGGATTTTATGATCAATCACAACGAAAGTGACCTGCGCTCTCCGGGAATCGAACCCGGGTCGCCCGATTCACATCCCAACGCTCTACGTATTGAGCTTACCGTACGGCAACAAAATAGCATGTGTAAAGTGAAATAAGTACATATATTTCGGTTTCTATAGAGGTTTATATCAATATTTTTCATCTAATATTAACAGTTGCAAATATTGATAAACTTCAAATTCAATTTTGATTACTGATTCACCGGAAGAAACACTTAAAATTCGATACAAACATACTGTCAAAATACGCCTTGATCTTCTAGATTTATACGTTACAGGATGTTAATAATGCAATGTGCAAGGCTGCCTTGACATTTGATTGATTACGTTCTAATTGTTGTTGTTGTTGTTGTTGTTGTTTGCTCTCTCAACCTCTTGCTGGTTTGAAGGTTTCTTTTAAAATGCTGGCTTGCATGCGTAGTATATATATATTCAAAGGATGAGGATTTAGTTGAATTGTACAAACTTATAAAGACATTGTGTTATCTGAAAGATGACAGAAAGTGTTAAAATACTATTAAACAGACGTTTATTCCGTTGCACCTTTGGCTGACTGGAGTATTCCTAGAATGTATTGAAGTAAATCTAAGGATTTAGAGATATTTAGAGAAGCTGCCGATATATATTCTATCACGTACATTGAACTGATTGTTGTTTAAATGAACACAGAGAATATATTACACTATTAGTGAAGCAGACGAACTATGGATGTGTCAGATTTAAAGATTTTTGTATCAATTCTTCTGTGCATTTTCATCGTGGTTGGGGTTTCCGGAAATATTATTTCAATCGTGGTATGGACTAAAGGTCCAAGGTGTTCAAAGACGTCATTTTCATTATACTTCAAACTTTTGGCAATCAGCGATATTTTCATATTACTTGTGCCTGGAAATGAGTTTTTACTGCAATACAATCCATTTGGAACTGTAAGCTTTCGAAGTATAAATAACTCACTATGCAGATTTTTTAACTTTTGCATAAATTTTGGCTTCGAGTTTTCGGCGTGGATAACGGTTATGTTAACAGCGGAACGGTCACTTGCATTGTGCTTGCCGTTCAAGTTTCATAAACCTTCAAGAAAACTAACTGTTTTTAGATTCTTAATAGTTTTGTCTATAATTTTGGTTCTTGTTATGGTAAATGTACCGTATATTATCGAAATGGAACTTATCGATATAGATAATAACCGGACCGGTAGCGAGGATTTGCTCACACAAATTTGCGATTTTTCATCAGAATCCTCTCGATATATCTTCATGGCAACCGTTCTGTTTTTCCATATAGGAATACCTACACCTGTAACTGTTATATGTAATGTCATAATTATAGTGAAGTTATGCAGGAGTAAAAAACTAACGAAGGTATCCAATGAAGTTCGGAATAAGGGTATTAAACATTTAACTATACTAACTGTTTGCATAAGCATTGTACACTGTCTTTCAACGCTACCAGAAACTCTCGTCTGGTTCGAAGTTATACCTACAGACGCAAACGCCGTCGTGTTGTCTAACGTAAGTCTGTATCTAAGCAACACGGTTCATTGTCTACTGTACTGTTTAGTAGGGACGGAATTCCGACAGGATTTAAAATACATTCACAAGTTGCCATTTAGTGAATGGTGTAATAAGAACGCTTCTCAAATACGAAGAAGATCGTCTTCATTGTCGACGAAAGTTTAGCATTCAGCTAGGTTATTAATACAAATATCTGGAGAAAGTGTGATCCTTCAGAAGCATTAAACACCGCAAGACTCGGTTTGAGTCGGTCTATACATGAGGGGTAATGAAAAACTGCAAAATCATTCACCTCCTAGCCCCGGCTTGAGTGGTACATTGTACTCCAATCTCAACATTTAAAAGTGCTGGAATAAATGATAAAAACTTCTATTTTATTGCTAATTTGTATGAATTATTCAACAGTCAAGTGAAAAAAACAACAACAAAAAACAGTAGTGCTTTCAATTAATATAATTTTGCTTCCTCTCCAACAGTACATTTGATGTTCAAATTATGTAAAGTGAACATATTTTTATACTCTGTAGTTTTAACTGGACTGAAATATATGACGATAAAAAAAAATTCAATTTTGTTTCTTACATAAAACATACGAAATGTAACATGTTTTATTTATTATATTGATATATGTTTATAAATACATTTATGAAAACTCTAATTTATCGTATACATGTATAATTAAAGAAATAAAAACGTATTTCTGATTGTTATGTGCAGATAAATCTCCGTCCGTAAAATATTAGCATTTAGCTATTAATCTAGTTGTAACTCTTATCAAATGATTTGGTCAATTGATTGAAATGCTAAAACGTGAAATTCAAAGAAAAAGTAGGATTGCCTACTTGCAATACTTAGACTCGGTCATTTTTAGTCAAGATACACAGGGGGTTAAAAGTAAGACATTCTACTCTTTTGTTAAGAATAGTTAAATGGAAAGCTTTGATGTTGCTCCCCTTTAAATCTGAAGATCAAATGTTTATTAAAGATTAAATGAAAAGAGCAAACATTCTTTATTGCTAGTGAGTCTGACTGCTCGAGGTTCAATTAAGTTTCTTAGCCTATTGCAGTCCAGTAAACAGAATCTATCTCATACGATCATCAAACCATGTCAAATCTCCCCATACCAATGATGGCGTAAGTAAACTCCTAACTGGTTTTTACCAAAATTAAGATTCTGGGATATACATATAATATAAATTAAAATCCGCAAGAAGCAATTTATCCATGGGTATCCATCAGCGGACCAAGCATATGAAACGTCAAACCCGAACAAAAAGGTGAAAGAAACGGCATATAAAACCTGTGTAAGAATACAAGTAGAATACTGCTCAACCATTAGGTACCCATGGCAAACCTATATCTAATGTTCATGTACATGTAGAACACGTTCAGAGATCTTCTAATTATGGTGGCTGATTTGGTACGCTTTTGTGCGTCGCGTTGGCGCTAGCGACAACACGTCAAACGTCAAAGGGCGCGTTGTCACGCTGACGTCTTGTCTCTAGCGCAACACGCCAAACGGCGCGTTGTCGTACGGCGTGTTGTCGCGATGTCACATTGTCGCTCGGTTCAAATTGAAGGATTGGCTTATAAGCCAAGCGACAGGGCGACATCGTGATAACGCACCGCACGACAACGCGCCGTTTGGTGTGCCGCGCTAGAGACAGGACAGGACAACAAGACAACAGCGCGACAGGACGACAAGACGAAAGTCAGACAACGCGCCGTTTGTCGCTTTGTCGTGTTGTCGCTAGCGCAAACTAGACGCACAAACGCGTACATTGTACCAAATCAGCCACCATATTAATGCGTTAATATTAAGTCGCCCTTGCTTGTTGGTCTTTGTTTTCATATTTTATAAGTAGCTTAACCAGAATAATATCCGAACTCTTGACTATGTTTAGCGCGGGAATGCGTAATTTAATTGTTAGTTGTTGTCATGTACCATTTGTACAAAAATCAAAACAACCTTGTTTTTTAATGACCGTCAACATCTCTCGCAAGAAATCTGAACTACTTGATATATATGTATCTTGTTTAAGGACGCAACTTACCATCTAGATCATCTGTGGAATAGATGCACCCTTAAACGTCCTGTCTAGCGGCAACTGAAACAAGACTCCTTTCTCTACACAAACTATATTTTATTTAGTAATAATTAAAAAAGGCTTGTAGAACTGTTGTTTTATGCATTTTAACTTGATGTAACCACCGTCTTAAACACTGACAAAGTCCTTTTAGCAATGCGCCTTGCTGGTCATAACAAATCGATAACGGTTGCGAAATCATGAATGTAGAAAATCAAGAAATATAAATAAAACCATTTTAGGGCATAATGGACTTTACGCTTATATTAAGATGCACTTGCGGACCGGAAACTGCTAAGAAACCAGTATATTTATTTGTATGATCATGCATTATTGTATGATTGTATGTATGATTTTTTTTTCAATAAATGGGGCCCGAAGCTAAAACAAAAGAAAAAAAGATGAATGCATTTTTTATTACAGAATATTTCTCATATGAGATCACATCACCCAATGGTTCAGCATTTGCTTGTTCGTAAAAATCATCAGCTTTCTTTGTATAGTTTGTTTCAAAATTTAATTTTAGCGGTGTTCGATCTTTTTGGCTTAATATCGAAATTTTCATGATTTAAACATTCTTACAATAACACCAAAATCAAAACGAGGTTTAGTTCGCGAAATGTTGTCAAAAATGTTTTTTTAATTAATTTCCAAGTTTATCATCATCCTTCTAAATTGTATTCAAGATGAATGTTATTTACTATCTCCCAACTTGAATCTGCTCAGATTCATTTAACTAAAGGTAATTGTCTACTTGCCACTACAGAGATCAGAGAACTTCAGCAGTTCAGTGGGTGGGGCATCAAAGACAAAGTTCCAATTTGTTTGTCGCTCTGTGAAATTGACAGCCACTTTTGCGAGTGTTTTAGACACTTGTTAGTTAGAATTCGATTCGAGTTTGTGATGGCGTCCTAAAAAGAAAATTTATAGTGAGACTAAAATTAAAGTCTCAGTTGAAGAAGTAGACAGGTAGAGGTCTAGTAGCTGCGTCATTACAGCTCAGAGTTGTCAGAGAAAGATTGACACTCATATAGAAAGGCTCCCCATTGTACAACCTTTTGAAACAGGAGTGCTGAAAACAGAAACAATACTGGTTAGGAACCAACAGAACCAGACTTCAGTCAAATATCGACGGCCCCGAAAATGCCTGATTCACTTGTTTCTTTGTTCATTGTTTATCATAGTTCTGGTTTCCAAAATTTTATTAGCCGCTTTTTAACATTTTTGTTTTTCATCTGATGCAGCATTATAGTTTTGGATTAGACCCATTACGATAACCTAACCAGAATAACATAATGTTGATTAAACCTTATTTTTTCATTTGCATATACCATTATCCTAATTAATTCTTGTGCATTTTGCGATTAAACAATTATTTTGATATTCTATACCATTTAAAGTATCAAAGTATTCATACAGTTATTAAAATTGCATATTTAACTGTGAATTATCAATAACACCGACAGCAGTCGGCCATGACATTTAGGATCTACGCGAGACCTGGTATGACGTAATTTGCCGGAACCAATTAGAGTAGAGTCGTGTACTATATTTAGAACATCTTTGTGACATGATTTCAATATTTTTAATTGAAGAAAATGTTTTTATTTTCTTTAATTTTTTAGTACTTAAATGAAATTATATTGAATACAAAAGTCAGTAAATCACCTTTTTCAATATCTTTAAAAAAGTAATTAATAAAAAAATTGGAAGCGCATGGTTTCTGTTTTCTTAACTGTCCGCTTAAATTAACCTGTAAAGGTCAATCTCGATGTTGTAATCACATGGTCAAACATTTTGGCAATATGGCGGCCAAGTGCAGAATTTATTACCTGTCAGAAACTATTAGGTAGTTTATATTCGTAATAATTTTTTTATGTGTTCATCCTTGGCTTTTCAACAGATTATACATACATGTAGTTTTATCAAGGTATGCTTCACTATACTTGAATTACTTCATGGCATTTTTGATGAATGAATACGAGAGTGTCAGATTCCTGGCACGATTATAGTCAGCGTTCACCTCATGTCATAGTATATAAATGGGTAGACTGAAGACCTGAAGCTTTGGTTGTCGATATTTTGTATCATTTGCTGTTTTATCAACCAACTAACATGGATTTTAACAGAATTATGGCCACTCAGTGTTTCTAACCTACCTAGAGGTGTACTGGTAAGAAATCCAGGTAATCCTCACAATCATGTATCAGTGCTATACACTGGGCATGCAAAAGAATCAAGGGGTCTATTCAGTAAGAGTTAGGGACTGGTTCCTGGATTCCCTTGTATCTTATAGCTGTCTCTCAGTTCAATGTATACAATGAATGTATACCTGCTTAGTGTAACTGAAACAATTTTGAAGCAGTATTATGTAGAAATAATATACTGGGTAGGGGCAGGGGCATTACCCTTTAATTTTGGGGAAAATAACACTGTATTTTTGCAACAGGTGAAAAATAACTGGATGCAAGTTTGATTTTAGGAGAAAACTGCATGGTGTTAAAGAATTTTTTTGGGGAAAATATCCTATTTATAAGCAACATTTGATTGAATGAAGTTCTGACTAATATTATAAAATGCAACTCATATTTACCCCAAAGCTTAATGATATAACAAAATATCATTAAAATCTGAGGCCGATTTGACTTTCCTAGGGATAGTTCCAGGTTAAAACATTTTTATGTTGTTTTTTTTCTTGCCAGTTTCCAATTCCCCAGTTTTGATTTTATCCAGAAAGTAAAAAGGTAGGACAGAATCAAATTATATGTATTACTCTTGAACAGAAAAAAAGTATTGGGAGCAGTGCATTCAATATCTATTACATGAAATTGTCTGTTTTTTCAGTGTAGAAATGTCCGGTTCAGGCAGTCCTGTGTTAGATGAAAATGTGAAGCCTGGAGAATATGTGCTTCAATCACTGTTTCTAGAATTTTGTAATCTATCAGAGAAGAAGATAGAGTTGGTGCTTGCGGAACCATTGGTATGTAACTTAAGAAACTTTGTGGAAGTCCTGTGCTTTTTGCTTTTTCTTTAATGCTGCATCTTGTTGATAAAAGTTGTGAGTGTATTATTCATTCACTATTAACATTCTATACTTCATCACATAATTGTTTTGAAACTTATGACGTACGTTCTGTTTACCAAAATTTCTAATCTAAAGAATTCAATTGAATAGGTCTTAAATAATGAACAAATAAAACACATAAAAAATAGCATTATTGCACTTTCATTCATTATAATAATTCAAGAAAAACTTAAAATTTAGATTTTAAGTTTTTCTTGAATTATTATAATGAATGAAAATGCAAAAATGCTATGTCTATTCATGGAAAAATGAATGATTTCTTTGTTTCAGGAGAAATTATTGACAAAGTCTTTACAGAAAGGAGATGATCAACAATTTGATCAAGTAAGAATTCTTCATATTCATGTCTTACCCCTTACCACACTAAATATCTTAAATGGACTTGTCTATCTTTCAATATGGACATTAAACCATTTATCATTTTAGGGATTATTTCAAAATATGTACTGACTGAATAGCAAATAGTTCAGATCATGACCAGACAGTATGGGTGTGCTGGCTGATCTTGATCTGCACTGGTTGCATGGATAGAATCTGTTGCTGCCAGTAGGCAATGGGTGAACCTCTAAACCTTAAGAAAATGTAATTGATAAGCTGTTGCCACATCTTTGCAAGTCTAGCAAGTCTGTATACTGTTGGTACATATATTTTTATATTTTGATATTAAACTATGAATAGACTGTTTGAAATTCTTAGCAGGGCAGATTCATTAAACATAGTCAGCAGCTTAAGGGAAAAAATTGAAGTTCAATGGTTGTTGAAAACTTGATATGTCTTTAGAAATTTTTTATGCAAAGCACAGTAATAAAGACGTTATTAATTTTTAAGCAAATTTCACTTTAGCTATATGTTTAGTTGAAAAGATGTGGTTTTTTATCTATAAGGAAACATACTGTATCTGTAACACTAGTAAGTCTTAAGATAGCCCCATTTTTGACATTTGATGAAACAATTATTTGTTGAAATGAACTTGACATTATTTTATGTAATTTAAGTTACTGAATGCACTGGGTAATGTAGCAGAACAAAGTTTACCATCGCTGTTACAAAGCTTGTTCCGCTGGTATGAGCGTCAACTGATGCTAGATGAGGGCGGACATGCTGAACCCAGGCTGAGGCATAGAAGTAAAGGGTAAGTAATAGCTGTTAATTTGATATGCCTCAAATACTGGGCACATTTTCATGCAATGTATCCCTTGTAGTTGTAGTGTAATAACAAGACATCTATAGATAAGTTTTGTTGTTAAGTTTTTCTTGCTAAGCACAATATTCTAAAGGTTGTGATGTTTTTTGCCAGTCATTTAAGTGAGCATGTATATCAATTTATATGCTTCTTTCACTTGAGGTGCTGGTCAAATTGGGTCTCCTTTTTGAACCCGCTGTCACGTTTTTCATTCAGAGACTGACAAACATTGGAATACTTGGGATACATGTATCTGTGTCCATAGTATGTGTGTTCGTTGAACACATTTCTAGTTGTTAATAGATTTTATGGCTGTACTTGCGCACTCTAAAGTTATAAATATTAAATTCTGTTAGTTTTCTCCTTATATCATTATGCACTGTATAGTACATGTATGCATCTCTGTATGATTTAAGTGGTTACGGTTATTGACTTTAAACCACTTTGCCCTCACCACTGTGAATCCCAACTATAGATTCTTTCATGCAAAGAAGCTATGCAGCTAGCTAGGAACGTTGGTGGTTCTACTCAGGTGCCTGTTTGTGTACAGAAGGGCACCTGAGGTCTTCCTCACCAATAAAGCTGTTAAGTCACCATATGACCTATACTGTGTTTGTGTGACATAAAACCCAACCCCCCAAAAAAAAAACAACAATATGTTTTATGAATATTCTTTCAATGACCGTCTGATTATGCACAAGTATTGATGTATGTCTGTTGAATCATTATTTATATAAATCAATATTTGCAGGAGCAAAGATTACCTGTGTGAGCGTAGAGATGTAAGTATAATTAGTAAATGTGCTTGATTTATAATCTATTTCATACTTTGATCAGTACTGAACAGTTGATTTTGATCAGTAAGGGTTAGTTTAGGAAAAGAAAAAAACAAGTTTGCTCTTTAAATATTGATGGAAGTATGTGCATGTATATAATACAATTTAATCAAAATTGTTCAATTCTTAAAGATTTCAGAACTATCCAGTTGTAATTGTTTGTCTGTTTCTTTAAATTTGTTTAATTGTAATTAACATTTGAACTATTGTATAAAAATTTTAAGTGCTGGATGAATTGAGAATGTCTGGTCATGTTAAGCTACAATAAATATCTATGTTTAATTGATATAATCACATTTATTTTACATTGCAGTTGGCTGTTGAGTTTGTGTACTGCCTGGTGCTAATAGAAGTTTTGACAAAAGTAAGCTTCTACAAAATACATTTCTTACATTCTCTTAGTACAAAAAATGAATCAGACATGCCTTTTGAATTATGCCATAAAATGAATAAGACAGGCATTTTGAATTGTGGCATAAAATGAATAAGACAGGCCTTTTGAATTGTGGCATAAAATGAATAAGACAGGCCTTTTGAATTGTGGCATAAAATGAATTTAAAGGAAGATCTCAAGAACACTTACATACATTATTTAAGAAATTGTTGTCTGTTTAGTAGAGCCACATTTCGTGACTCTAGCCATATAACTAACAAAGAATGAAACACCTTGTTTGTGAGATGAGTGGTCTGAGCTCAAGCAATACCAAAGCCCTGTTAGAATTGAAAATATAAAGATATTATTTTGTCTGTTTTGGAGAAAAAGCTGAGCTGTAATGATCACTGTGGCAGCGTCATCCTTGTTGTCATGCGAAAACATTACTGTAGCCTATTTTTCAAACATTTTAACAGGTATCAATATCAAGGTGCAGTTGTACGACATAGGGCATTATTGTGAAAACTATATTTTGGAGTTATACACCTTTTTAGCATAGAATTTTTGGGATTTAACTCACTACATTGTTGGAGAAGTACCAATAGATGCTTGCAGAAATCATGATCACAAATTAGAAAAATATTGCTTTTTTCGTTAATTACATTTTTAGCTCGACTTTTCTATGAAAAGGGGAGCTATCCTACTCGCCCCGGCGTCGGCGTCGGCGTCGGCGTTGGCGTCGGCATTGGCGTCACACCTTGGTTAAGTTTTTCGTACCACCCCACTTTATTTCAGAAGTATTACAAGTATGGCTTTGAAACTTACCATACTTGTTCACCATCATAACCTCCATCTACAGACAAGAGTACATAACTCTGTCAAGGTTTTTGACAGAATTATGGCCCTTTTTTGACTTAGAAAGTGTATTGAGCTTGGTTAAGTTTTTTTGTACCACCTCACTTTATTTCAAAACCATTGGAGGTATTGCTTTGAAACTGACCATACTTGTTTACCATCACGACCTTCATCAACAGACAAGAGGACATAACTCTGTCAAGGTTTTTGACAGAATTATGCCCCTTTTTGACTTAGAAAATACATTGAATATGGGTAAAATCCACTTATTGCCTTAACCCTTTGAGATATTGCTTTGAAACTTTTAATGCTATTTCACATCATTACCCCCATCTGTACGCAAGAGAAGGTAACTCTGTCAAGGATTTGTTTTAAAAATTAAGGCCTTTTATCGACTTAGAATCTTGGTTAAGTTTTTAGTACCAGTCCACTTTTTGACTGAACTGTTTGAGATATTAATTTGAAAGTTGGAATACTTGTTTACAATCATGATTCCCAAACATGTCCAGGAGAAGGTAATTCTGTCAAAGATTTTATTTGAATTATGGCCCTTAACTGTCAATGTTTTGTATTATAGGCAAGCACTAAAAAACTTAAAAAATCTAAAAAAATTCATTCCTATCCACTTGTTCACTTTACCATAAATTATGTCATATAAACATTGCTGTAATATTCAAGGGTATCAAACAACTAGTTCACTTTTAAAATACAGAGATTCTTGTATTGCCTTTTACTGCAAAAACTTTTTTTATTGGCAAGCAATAAAAAAGTCGAGCGCGCTGTCTTACGGACAGCTCTTGTTTATTCATTATTGTATATATATTGGTGCGAAGAGATGAATTAGGCGTTTTAAAGTTCATTCCGTTGGGTGTAAAGGCGATATTTTAGAATTTAATCATTCCAGAGCTTTGTCTGGTATATTCCAGAATATGGTATCTAGTGTGGTACTCTGCAGTGCTCTTGTTCTTTAGTATTGCAAATTTAGTATAGGTTTATTAGAATAAGTATAATTGTCTATGTATGGAAGCAATGGAAGAGAATTTGGTTCTTATGGAATATAAATATAATGTGAATATTAACCTTATTTCTCTTGTAATGTTACAGCTGTCTTACCACCCTGGGCATGATGATCTCTCAGGCAAGATTATCAGTCAAGCATTTAAACATTTCAAGTACAAAGATGGGTATGTACATTTAAATATTTTGTCTTGTTCGGATATTGTGACATTCTATTTTAGTTAGCCGTGAGCCAAGTTAACTACTACCTCATTTAGAATGAGAGTACTTATTCAGCATGAAAAAATTGACTCAATTTCTGAATTGAAATTTGTTTTTAAAAACTGTTTGATAAAGAGAGTGAAAAAGATATTTATATTGAAATTATAATTATTTTTATCAAAGAAAAGTACTGAATATGATTTTTTTTTTAAAAAAGCAGAAAAATATATCAAAATTACTAGATTAAGCTAATATTAGATTTGCATGCATGAACATGGTATTTTTACATCTTGAATACATGTACATCTAATGAAAAAGTCTTCTGAAATTAACTATAGTATGAAAATCTAAAACATGTAGAATGTTTACATGAGACATATATGTTTATACACAAAATACATACATGTATGCCATTCATGCTGCATGTGATTATTATATATGTTTTATGTATGTGTAATGTATTTACTGTGTAGACTGTCTTGCCTTTGGCATGTATTGGTTGTTTCAAGTTTCCTGCATACATATACATGTATAAGCATGAATTTAGTTGATACACATATTAGTTGCAAGCTGATTATAAATCCTTCTAAGTTCTATGTAAAAGAGACGTCCTTGTGTGACCTGACTGGATATCTTTATTTATAAATATGATTTAAAAAAGTCAATCACTTACTAAAACAGGTTAAGGAGGGTGCAGTTTTTGTGTCGCCTTGAAAAGGTGAGAGCTATGGAAGCTATGGACTTAAAACATCATAGAATGATAGATCTTATTGATAAGAAGTGCAGTTCACAGAAACTGCTGCTCTGCACTTATTATTTTTTTAGTTATTGCCCTTTGTTATTTTTCCTATTTCATTTTTGTCCTGGCCATTTCTCCTAAACTACATTGTTCACAAGGCGACACATCCGACTTGCGGAGTTCTAGTTATTATAAAGAATTAACTGAATTTATGACACAGAACTAACAGCAATATAGCAGAATTTAATTAAATTATTATATGAATTATATAACTAAATAAACAGAAAACCTTCATTCATATTGGTATTATTTGCTATTGTACTTGTAACAAACAATAACACCTTCCTTTTTAGCGATAAAATTACTTTTATTCAAAATATGCAAACTGTAAATAACATGTAGTATATGATTTCATTTAATCTGTAAATAACAGATACGGAACTTTTAACTTTGAAAATTAATGTGTATCAGTTAAGCATAGGTAAAAGTTATGTAAACTTCATCAGAGTACTTCATAATGACATAATGAAAACCTATGTGGTTGGAGCAACAAATATTCACGGATTTGTTACATGCAACTTTTTCGCAGATACAAAGATTCGCAGAAATGTATCCACCACGAAAAGCACTAACTTAAAAAGCGCGAAATAATTTCTAGGAATACAGTAAAGTTTTGATGAAATGTGATGAAGAGTATTGCTAAATTTAAATAGAGTACAAAATACGATGATAGGATTGGTTTAAATTATTGAAATACAAAATATGATGTATTTATCATAATACCTTCTATCAGTAATAAATGGGCTTTTGAGAGGGGATCATTTTATATATACATACATAGGTAATTAATGGTGATATAATATGATTATTTACAAACACACAGTTTCAGTGACACCGACAAAAGGTAAGCTAGTGTTCAAGCTTGGCTCTCCACTTTCTAGGAAGCATCTAGTTTGACATTAACTTTGAATAATCCACGTGGGTTACAGGTTGCTGTTTCTCTACTTAATAACATCACATGTTTTCTTATTAACGTAGCCATGCCAGACACTTTAAGCATCTGTATCGACCATTATATCAAAAGTAAGAAAGTTACAAAAATTTTATGAAGTTATATTATTTTTTTGTACTTGTTTTGCTTAAATTCAGGGTTTGTGGAGCAACTTAATTGTTAAATGGTGATTTTTGTTTAATTTGCTTGTTTTGTTGATTTGTTTTTGAATTTTTTTTCTCTCTGAGTGGTATAGAATGAATGCATGATTCATTGTTCCAGAGTTATTGTCCTTGATTTACTTTACATTATATATAATAATGTCCTTAATTTACATCATTTTAGGAGATGTTCATGTATATTTTCATATTAAAGAATACATTTTTGGATTGTGGACTTGGTTTAACCCTGAACCTAAAAGATCCAAATGTGCTTAAGAGTTTGCCATCAGTAAAGAGCCAAACCTGCCAGCACATCTGTGCTTTTGACCAGGCTGTTTATAGCTCAGTTTTCATGCATATAGATTTACCTTTGTCAGTCTATACTGCTGTGAATCTGTCAATGCATAGACTGACAAAACAGTGGAATGTAAGAGCATCCGTGTCCTATGGACAGATTTCTAGCAGTTGAATTTCATAATCGAAATCCCATAACTGTGAATGGACTGTTTCAATTTCAGAGCAAGTCAAATCCATTAGATAAGTGTTAGAGAGCGATCTCTTTTAAATATGTTATTTTAATGAAAATACAATCCCAAAAATGTTAAAAAGGGGTTTGTATTGGGATTATGAATCAATGTTGGTATGAGGGAGCAATGTAAAACTGTATGACAAATGGGGTTTATTTTTAGTATGAATTGAACGGTTTTGCCCAGCTTTTGATTTGTTACAGCCCATTCAAAAGACTGCATGGATATGCGGGCATATAAATAAGATAGATAAGGGAAACCTGATGCTTTTTAGTATACTGATGCTTTTTGCACATTGATTACAAAAAAAAATGCACAGTCAGAGTGATCTGTCATCAGTTTATTGTTAATGATCATATAACATTAAATCTATCATAATGACAGAATGCTATTTTAGAACCACCATGTATTAATCTTTCTATAGCAATAATTTACTACTACTTTTCTTTACCATCAGTTAATCACAGTGTCTAAGTATTTTGGATTAATAAATTACTATTTTTCGAAAGAACCAATTTGATAACAATTTTTATGTATAGGTTAAAATTTAAATTGTTCAGACATAGCACAGCCATGCGGCCAATTTAATTTAGTAAATACATACTGATAAATTTCAGCCAGCTTAGTGTTTTAAATTATTTTTATAAACAGTCGATTTACTAGAATGAATAACATTTCGCCGATTATCCAAAGTAAATGTGTTACGATTCATTTAAAATACTCCAATCCTATTGGACAAAAAATAATTTCAAACACTAATTCTTCATAGAGCTTTGTTTATTGCTTCATGCCTATGCTTGTGTGCTTTTTCTTCAAGTTGATTAACACAATGTTTTAAATACAGTCGAACTTCATTCACTCGAACTTGGAGGGTCTGTGAAAATTTGTTCGAGAGATCGGTAGTTCGAGCCAACCGAGGTTGAACTATTATTACATAGAACACATATCTAAAGGTTTTCCAGCTTACATAGGTCAAATGATAAATACGTCAATATAATTGTTGTTTGAACATCTGTTTGTCGAATACATCATATTAAGAATTATTATCCTATTGAAAACAAAATTAACGGTACACTGTGTTAATCTATATTTATGCATATTGTAATTGGTTGAGTTCGATTGGGCGATCATTATCCAAACTGTGAACAACTTTCAAAATATATTTATATGTCTATTATGGAATTAATTTTATTTTAAACAATGAATTAATTAAATATAAAAAATAGCATTTTACAGCAGCATATATTTGTAGTCATTTACTAAAATAAACACGTACAAGTATCATTCTATAAATAGATTACACTGACTTCACGATACATGAACCACGGTTGTAATTAAAGCCGTCCGGGTAAACGTCATTTATTTATTGAGTTTTGCGCATTTCAGGAGTTGTTTTCTTTTTATCGTTGATATACAATTTTATCATAACAAACAAATCGGTTACAACACCTTTTATTTTGTATCAAGTAACCTTAATTGCCTTTGTCACGATCATGAGGTGTTAAATATATGTGTCACCGACTGTCAATTATTTAGAACATGTGGACCTGCAACTTTTGTTGTCTGTTTGTGTTCGACCGAAAAGGTGTGATTTACACTATATTTCTGCCGAAGGGACCTGAGATCATGTTCGAGAGTTCGAGCGATGGGTGTTCAAGCGATCCGAGGTAGAACAATATATATTATATAGGAATTTTGCTGGGACTGGACGATGAGTTCGAGCGAAAGGAGGTATTCGAGCGATCCGAGTTCGAGCGAACGAAGTTTAACTGTATTTTATAATCAGATATGGAAATATGGCACAACTTAGTATACTTAATGTGTCCTATGTCCTGACACTATTCTGTCGTCTGCTCAGCTTTAGTAGGTTTATATGGCTGATATAAATTATCAATGAACAGTGTATGTGAGTTCAAAGGGCAAGCCCAAAATAAAAATTATACAAATTCATTGGTATAAGACTTTAATCATCATACATGTATATCAAAATGAGTGGTTCATCAAATCCCTCCCTTCTTGTAGAAATCTACAGCCAAGTAAATCACAACGGTATTTGGAAGTTTATTTATTGACCTTACTTTTTGAACTTTGAGAAATTCCCTGATCATGCTGCTGCCTATTCTGCACTGCAGCCAGCTAATGTAAGGAACCAATAGATAAACTATACTGTGTGCTTGTTTATTGCTAGCTTGTTTGGACCTTCTGTTTGTAATGCACAAGTCAATTGTTATCCTTGCCCACAACTCGAATAAGTTTTTACCTCTCCTCATGTTCCTGCTTATCTAGGTTTACACTTTTATTTGGGCACTACAATATTTTGAGGGTATCCAAGTCCAATTTTCAGAATGGGGACATTATAATTGTATCTTACTCAGCATGGCTGGGCCTTAGTTTGAGGTTTGTAATCAAATATTAAAAGTCCCCATTATTCCCCCTTGGTGGGGGCTAGACTATAGATTTACTGATGCTATAATTTGTTCTAGTTGTATGTAAAGAGGCTTCTGATCTGGCCACCTGTATTCCTGGAATTCTTTCATGACATATTTTTCATGATGAACCCTGAAAGTTATTGTTTGAGAACAAGTGATTGTAGACTGAGTGTTCAATTTAATGGTGCAAATGTCAGGCCAAGTGTTTAAACGTGAAAACTCCAACCATTCACTTAGATATTAATGCATGTCTGTGGAAGAAAAAACATCTGAGTAAAGTATTTGCAATATTTATCCTGTAATTTTAAACTGTTGGAACCTTTATTTTGTAAATATTGACTTAAATTATAGACGCACTCATTATGTGGTTGCAAGAATACAGTTGGTTGTGGGTAGAACAATTTTAATGTTTATATTAGATATGACAAATAGATAAAAAAACACAATGTTTTTATTATGAATACAGCAGTTAAACTTAACCATCTTTCTACACAATTGTTAATATGTGCTGAATGAAAAACAGTTTATCAGTCAGAGAAGATATATTAGTGTAGTAAAGTGTAGATTTTTAGATGTAGTTATTATGTAATGTTTGAAACACTGCTTTTACCTGTTTACTGAGTTGGACATTCAGTTCCTTTTTGGGCAAATTGTTTTGTTTTGTTTTGTTTGGTGATACATATAACAATATCGTGTCCTTGTATTGGTGGCCTTTGGGTGTCAAGGTCCTGTGTTTGTCATGGACCATGTATGCCAATGTCCATGTTTGCCAATCACCATGTGTGTCATGCCTTAAAGGTCCATAAAATTTATCAAGATCTTTGTTTATCAAAATCCATGTCAGTCTGTGACCATGTTTGTAAAGCACCTAGTATGCAGTATGAAAAAAGTTCATTTATCACATGTTAGAAAGTTCATAGTAATGCCTTTTAAATGTTCTTTGAACTAACTTTCAACTTCTATAATTGTATTTAATTATCAATGTTGAACTTTTGCTAACAGTTGAGTGTCTTATCTTATAAAGATTTTTTTACAGCATTCTGTTATTGATAGGTTTTGCTTTTGTTCTTTACCTTCTCTTGAATTTTAAAACTTTAAAAAATAAATGTCATTACAATGTATAGCCAGAAAAATATGTAAACTTTTTAATGCTATATGAGTTTATAACTTGCTTTTGCCACTTTGCCACCTGTATAGAGCCTGACCAGTTAGCTTATCTGTGCAGTCTAGCCAGGGTTGATACCTCGCTGTTTAATATTTGTGTATCTTAATATCAAAACCCTTAATATTTGCAATGGATTTTTCCAAATTCAAGGGGGCAAGTCCAGTCTATTTTACAGGTAGAGCAGTTAAAAGATTGAAGCAATGCCTTCAATATTGCAATGAACAGTATGATACAATATTTTAATGGCAAGATCCATATTTTTAAAATGTAGATAATGCAAATAAACAGTTAGTTTTCATGCCAGAATGGTATTACATTTTACTGGTACTTGAATGCTAAGTGTATAATGGTAATTTTGTCTGATACAGATATGTTTACAGTTATTCTATGCTAGACTGTGATATACTTTATTAATATTTTGGTTTAGTGTACAGCAGACTAAGAAAAATGAATGGAGCTTAGGAAAGCGGAACAACTCTTCTCAATTGCATTATTTATTCAAGACAAGGATAACATTTTAATTTTTAGGTGTTTTGTTAGCAGGCAAATATATTTTATGTTCATGGACTAATGATACTTAACAAGAGGAATAACAGTTTTAACTAATAATTAAATTAAAATGATGATATTAAAAGGATATAGGGAACTTGGTGTATATGTACATTATGGTCATTAATTTCCCGACTTACGTTATTATTTTAGATTACAGACCAACCCAAATGCTGCCAATATCAACATTATTGCTGACCTATATGCTGAGGTTATTGGTGTACTAGCACTCTCAAGGTGAGTCATCTATTCTACATGTATTTTATCTCAACTCCTTGATGGCTACTGTCTGGAAAAGTATGGCTTAACTGGTATTACAGACCTTAGCCAGCATTCAAACACTATATATTGTGTAAGCCGCCATTATGTTACTTGTTTGAACTGTCCGATTAGCTCAGTTGATCTTTAGACTGTGATTGGGGCGACCCGGTTTTGATTCCCGGACGGTGCAGGCCAGTTTTGTTGCGATTGATTGAAAAATTCTTTTTACCATCATTTGCATTGTACCTCTGCTCTGGCAGGTACAGATGTAATATCAGTTCCTTGCAAAAGTGAAGGCACTAATACTGGTAAACCTCTTGACAGTCTGCCCATGAAGGATTCGGCAGTGCTCTGGTGCATTCAAAGTGGCTTACTACCACTATTCAGAGAATGAACTACAAAAACCACCACCATGGCAATGAATTATCTTAAAATACTTGAATGTACGCTTCACAGTTTTATTTTACCAAGACTAATCAGTAATAAAAAATCAGTTTTGAAAGAGTTACATTCATTCTGTCCTATTGATGAGTGAGAATAACTTACACTTGTTGTTTGTTTCTCTTGAAAGATATACCTATAATTATGAATTGTAAGTATTTCTATCTTCATTTTCTTATGGAAGAAAAACCTCAAAACTGAGTATTGTGAAATATATAGAAGCAAGAATTTTGCCTGTATGATAGTATCAGATATATTATCATTTCAGATTTGCACCAGTACGTAAAACATTTCTGCTGGAATTAAGAGAGTTGAAGTTACGTGATCAAACTCCATACACTGCTCAAAGCATCATTAGCCTTCTGATGGGCCTGAAGTTCTTCAGAGTCAAGGTCAGTCAACAAACTGTTTTCTTAGAGTTTTGTTCTTTTTGATCTTTTGTTTCCTTTTAAAGCTTTAATCCAATTTTAATTTTAGATTTAAGAGAGAGAAATCATGTTGTTTGTTGAACATATATACACAATAGAGAATAGTAAAGGTAGAAAAAATAATGTTCACTTTTACAGAAAAATTTTAATAACATAAAGTCATTAGGAATGAGCTTCAGTTGGTTACCAAGGGCATGACCTCAATTGGTTGCCATGGGCATTAGTTTAATTAGTTACCAAGGGTACGAGTTCTGTTGATTACCAATGGCATGAGTTCAATTGGTTATCAGTGGCACAAGTTCAGTTGGTTGCCAAGGACGTGAGGTTCAGTTTGTTATCAAGAGAACGAGTTCAATTGCTTACCAGGGGTATGAGTTCAGTTGGTTACTAAGGGTATGAGTTCAGTTGGTTACCAAGGGCATGAATTCAATTGGTTACAAAGGGAATGAGTGAAATTTGGTTACCAAGAGCATAGGTTTAATTGGTAACCAAGGCCAAGAGATCTTTGTTGGATTGAAGATAGACCACCTTTGTAATAGAGTTATTCATTAATTTGAAAGTATTAATTTAATGATTTAAAGAAATTTCAGCTTGAAATCAATATTGTTGAAGAAAGAACAATTATTTTAATTTCTTGTGTTTACAGATGCATCCAATAGAGGATTTTGAACAGAGTGTACAGTTCCTGCATGACCTTGGTCATTATTTCCTAGAGGTCAAGGACAGAGATATTAAACATGCCCTGGCCAGTCTGTTTGTAGAGATATTACTTCCAGTTGCTTCAGTAAGTATAGACAAAATATTATTTTAGTGCTTACATATAACATAAACCTTGAAGAACTGAAAAAGGATGATTTTTCAATTAACCTTTATTTTGCCATGACCTTGGTCATTGCATTCTTTGAATGAAGGACAGAGATACTTAACCTGTCCTAGCTGCTTAAGCAAGTTATGTTTAACTCATTTCTAAATATGGAAATGTTATATGAACTTGGATGCCTCAAAAAATGAGTTATCATAATGACTTTGTCATTTTATGACCTACTTCAATACTTCTGAAATGTGATGTTTAAACAATGGCCTTTGTCATTCAGTGACAGAGAACAGTGTTTCTGAAATGTGATGTATAAAGATAATGATCATCTCCATGCTATTCCATTTAAAGAAATGTATTTGAATGTTAGATACTTGGATACAAATTTTACAATAGGTAAGCTAAGGTTAGGTTAATAGATCTTTTCTAATTCAATTTTAGACTGCTAAGCATGAAGTGAATGTACCAGTGTTGAAGAATCTTGTAGAGATGATGTATACACCCTGTGTAGACCTTACCATGAAGAGAAAACATTCACAGGTTTGTACATAACAGATTTGTATGTATGACATAATGTGCTAACAAAGAGAAAAACATTGACAGTAATAGTAATGTGTCTTTTAATCTTTTTCTGTCACATTAGAATGCTATGAATATAAAAAATAAAAAGAAGTTTCTGACATGTTGTGGACAATGAACCTTAAAGATATCATCCATGGATAAGGAGCCATGGATAAGTGATTTAAGTTAACTAACTTATTGTTAAATACCTGTGTAAATTCAATGCTCATACATTTATGAGTTTATTTATGTGACCAAGCCATTCACTTGATCCATGGAAGATAGGTGGTTCTACCAAATTTCCTGTAGTATTTAATATTTATATTGTGTATGTGTATGCCTAGGGTTGTCCAGCAGTTATACACATGTTAAAATTGTCATATTGCTCCATTGAAGTATTACAATGACTATGATATTATTTCATAATTTATGATATAGATTATGGAGGTAATGACTTGTTTAGACTTGTTTAAATAAATTAGGTAAATTTCAGCCCATCTATTTAATATATATAAGACACCCTATCTTTTTGATATATAAGATTTTTGCCTTTATAATTTTTCTGATTAAACGAAATAACAATATTTTTATCATGTATATTTAATGTACATGATTTATTTCATGTGTATTTCATGTGTATTTCATGTATATTTCAGTCAATGTTTCCACTAGTCACATGTTTGCTATGTGTGAGTCAGAAAACATTCTTCCTGAACAACTGGCCATATTTCCTCACCAACTGTCTCTCTCAACTGAAGAACAAAGATAATAAGTTGTCAAGAGTTGCTCTCGAATCTCTGTCCAGACTGGTGTGGTAAGTTTGTTACCAGTATTTATTTTGAGTAATGTATTTGCCACTGTTTGATCAAATGAAATGACATTGGAACCTTGTAAATGCTAAGAAATTTTAAAAAAGTTATTAAGTGACATTTTGTCCATGGTTAATGGTGAGTGCAAACGTAAAAGTCAAAATAATGTTACATTGTACCTTAATTGTAACTTTACATTTTGCCTTAATTGTGTTCAATTTTATATTTTAGTTTGCAAAAATGAATAATAATACTTGTGACCCATGGATGCTGCTATTTAAAATACAGTTTTTGCCACTTAAGAGATGATTTCGCTTTTAAGGAAATATACATATTTGTTACATACAGGCATTTTGGAATTATTCTTTTGAAAGTTCAAAACCAGAACAACCAAATAAATACAAAAATCTGCCTGCCGCAGAGATGCAGCTTAATACATTTTAATATAACATTAGACATTCAAGAATTATGTTATAATTACAGGGTATATATGGTGCGTATAAAGTGTGAGAGTAACCAAGTCACGACCAGTAGATTACAAAGTGTCATCAGCAGCTTGTTTCCTAAGGGACAGAAAGTGGTCACACCTAAAGATATGCCACTCAACATCTTCGTGAAAATCATCCAGTTCATTGCTACTGTAAGACCTCTTATTTGTTAGATAATGAAAATTGTTAACAATTTAAAAAATTGACCGCAATTTCATTTGATGCTTTGTTGGTGTCAAAAATGGGTGTCTCATCTGAAGTCTTTCATTAGATTGATTTCAGCTTTGTCCTCCTTGTAGCTGAGGGGTTGCCTTTAAGGGTTAGGGCATCAGAATTGCAGTCACTGATTATCCCTATATGATTGTAGGAGGCAAATGAATTGGTTCAAATTACTGAAGTCTATGAATCTTTTAGCTCCAGCAGGTTAGATGGTTATTACCCCTTGTGTTGATTAAAAATTGTGACACCAGAGATTAGCCAAAGTCATCTGTCATGTGTTGTCGCCATATGACCTTAATTGTGTTTGGGTGCCATGAAACCAAACAAAACAAACAAATGTCAGCTTTGTAGTGTAACATCCTTGTGACAGGTTTACTGCAATTTGCTCATATTGTACCTATTTGCCTTTTTTGGCAGAGGCATAAACAGTAAAAAATCTTTTTAACAAATAACTTAATGGCAGGATCATTACTAATGTTTGTAGATGGTTCTTTATTATCTCATACAAATGATGTATTAAAATCTTATGTTTATTCTAGGTTAGAAAAAAATAATGCATGAGATTAATATTTTTTCTTCTCATTTCAGGAGCGTTTAGATTTTGCCATGAAGGAGATTATATTTGACTTACTGAGTGTTGGAAAGAAATCCAATTTTCTCACACCAGAGGTATATTTATTAATATTTAAAAAAAGGAAAAAAAAGAAAGAAAAAAAAGAGCACTTTGTGAAAATGATGTCAAAATATTGATTTATTCTGTCCAGGATCTATTGAATAATTGGTTTCAATCGTGTTAGAATAATTATTGCAAATATACAAAAATTAATATTTTTGTATATTCTTAGTTGTTATGACGAAATTGGGAATATTTTGATTTATTAAGCAACATTTCTGATTTTAATGACACAAATTCTGTATTGACTTTTTGTTTTGTAACAATAATAGCTGAAGATATACAAATTACCTATGAATTGATACTTACCATATATGTAATATATAAGTTAGGTATATTATCATAAATGCCCTAACTAAGTATAATGTCCTTACTGTGATAGTTCATATAATTTACTCATCATAATGATGCTGATTGTATAGGTATTGAAAAAGGAGTATGAAAATATATCATTTGTTTTCCATAAAACATTTCTGTATTTTAATTTAGTTTAAAGTCTTCCTTTCCATTCTTGAAAAAAAAAACTTGATTGTAAAGAGAACTGTTATTTTTATTTAAGTCATTAGTAAATCCATATATTTTCTAGTCTAATTGGTAATAACATTAGGCGAGGAAACATTGTTCTAATAATAGAGTAATTCGATGTTTTATTCCTTGATCACTGTTGTGAAATGTAGATACATACTCAAGTCAATAACCATCATGGGTTATATTCCGTATATACTACATTATATCTAGATAATGTAGTATGTACAGAATATATACCATAGGTAACCCACGATGGTCTATAACATCTAATCTTAAAACGTAACTGTTACTTATAATGTTAAATCTTTCATTACTGAGAAGATTTTACTTAAATTTCCTTGCTCTTCAAATAGTCTCTATGTTTTTTGTTTTGTTTTTCAGAGGATGAGTATTGGTTTAAGAGCGTTCCTTGTTATAGCCGATAGTCTTCAACAGTGTGATGGTGATCCACCGATGCCCCAGTCCAACACCGTGTTCCCATCAGGCGCGACTGTTCGTGTGAAGAAAACATTCCTTAACAAAATGTTAACAGATGATATGGCCAAACATATAGGGCTGTCTCAGTATGTCCCGTACTTACTGAAGACCTTTGATTCAATGTTGAGGACATTGGACCTGAATGTTGGACGACCTCTACTACTAACAAAGGCTGAAAATGTGAACAAAGAGCCTGAGGAGTTACTGACGTAAGCGTTTTTTTATACGGGATTATATATTTGTTTACTTCATGATTTTATGTAACCTGAACACTGTGGTATAAGGATATTAATTAAATCACATTGTGTTATAAAGTCAGGGCAGAAAATTTCAAATCACATTTTGACTTAAACATCAACAAGATTATGACAAAGAAAAAGGTTTCAAAATTCTGGAATAGTGCAGTTTTCAATTACCGTATATGTTCTTTAAGTGAAACACACTTTTACTGTGTGCAATTTATATAATGAATTAATATGTTATATTAATATTGTCTATATGTACAGTGGTGACAGGAAACCTAAGATGGACTTATTCCGTACATGTATAGCAGCTATACCAAGGTTAATACCAGATGGGCTCAGTAAGTCAGAACTAGTAGAGTTAGTCACTAGACTTACTGTACACTTTGATGAAGAACTGAGAGGGTAAGAAACTTCATGATTTAAATTTCATTGCGGCATTTTTATTTGTCTTATTTTATTGCTTTACATATCTTAGGTGTAAAATACAAAGACTTATTCTAAAACTACAGTTTCAGTTGAAATTTGAATTTGATCATTAGCCGGCTTCTTTACTTAATCTGATGTATTGGGCTACTGTTTGGCCTTCACATCAAATATGATTAAATGAAATGATTCCTAAGAACAATTTTTTTATGCTCCCCGAAAAATTTCGGGGGAGCATATAGTCGGCGCCTTGTCCGTCTGTCCGTCTGTCCGTCCGTCCGTCTGTCCGTCTGTCCGTCCGTTGTCTTGTCCGGAGCATAACTTGAAAACCCTTGGAGATAATTTGTTGAAACTTCATACAGTGGTAAAGGGCATCGAGGGGGAGTGCAGTGTCAAAGAACCATAACTCTATTTTGCCCGGTTTTTGAATTATCTCCCCTTATAGAAAAATCTTGTCCGGGGCATAACTCTAAAACTATAAGAGATATCAACATGAAACTTTGTAGGTGAATAGATCTCAATGGGTAGATGTGCAGTGCATAAGAACAATAACTCTTTTCATCCTAATTTTGGAGTTATTGCCCTTTGTTAATTTTAATACTTTGAACTTTGTCCGGAACATAACTTGAAAAACCCTTGGAGATAATTTGTTGAAACTTCATACAGTGGTAGAGGGCATTGAGGGGGGGTGCAGTGTCAAAGAACCATAACTCTATTTTGCCTGGTTTTTGAATTATCTCCCCTTATAGAAAATCTTGTCCGGGGCATAACTCTAAAACTATAAGAGATATCAACATGAAACTTTGTAGGTGAATAGATCTCAATGCGTAGATGTGCAGTGCATAAGAACAATAACTCTTTTTGTCCTAATTTTGGAGTTATTGCCCTTTGTTTATTTTAATACTTTGAACTTGAACTTTGTCTGGAACATAACTTGAAAACCCTTGGAGATAATTTGTTTGAAACTTCATACAGTGGTAGAGGGCATCAAGGGGGAGTGCAGTGTCAAAGAACATAACTCTATTTTGCCTGGTTTTTGAATTATCTCCCCTTATAGAAAAATCTTGTCCGGGGCATAACTCTAAAACTATAAGAGATATCAACATGAAACATTGTAGGAAGATAGATCTCATTGAGTAGAGGTGCAGTGCAAAAGAACCATAACTCTGTTAAGCCTTTATTTTTGAATAATCTCCCCTTTTAGAAAAATCTTATCCAGGACATAGCTGTAAAACAATAAGAGATATCAACATGAAACTTTGTAGGTAGATAAATCTCAATGGGTAGATGTGCAGTGCACAAGAATCATAACTCTACCTTGCCTAATTCTGGAGTTATTGCCCTTTGTTTTTTTACTTTTTGAATTGTCCAGGACATAACTCGAGAATCATAAGAGATATCATCAAGAAACTTTGTAGGTTGATAGATCACATTGATTAGAAGTGCAGTGCAAAGAACTGTAACTCTGCCTTGCCTAATTTTAGAATTATTGCACTTTGAACTTTTTCCACGGACATAACTCTGAAACTACAAGAGGTGTACTTTCCTGTGTCCAAAACCTATTCGGGGAGCATCACCCGGCTCAAACCGGGCTCTTGTTTACCAAGTTTGTAACATATTTTTATGCAACAATTTATTTCTAGTCTTGATATTTTTCATTTGTTGAGTATGATTAAAATTAATGAGATTATTGTTTATGTATTAAAATGAGGATCTGATTAATTCCATTAAACTTGTTGGTTCTGTATTTGGCATAACAATTTTATGTAAAGATGTCTAATGTTTTCACAGGTTGGCATTTCAAGCTTTACAGAATCTCATGCAGGAGTCTGATGTCTGGAAAGAACAGGTGGTCAGAGGTATACTAAAGTTTTATGTTGTTATAAAAGCTAATAATAGCAGGATATGTCTGTAATTAAGAAATAATGTCAGAAATTATGCTATAATGAATCTGTATATGAATGAATAGGCTGTGATTTATTACATGCATAGTTTGAGAGTGGCATATGCTTGTTTTTATATCAGATTAAAGCATATTTTACTGAATTTGTATTTATAACAATGCCTACACAGTGAACAATGCATCAGTTTAGATGTCGTTGCCTTAAAACATGAAGGGCCTACAAAGATCTTCAGGAATCTGTTGACGTTATATACAGATCATTACATATTTGTGTTCCAGATATTTGTTATTCTTTTGTCTTTAATTAAACTCAGTCTTTAGTTTTATGTTGAAATTGTTAATGTTAGCATCGATAATGAATTGGCTATGTCATCTATATAGTACAAACAGGTTAGTCGGTACATGTGCACATTTAAGCATTTCTCCAATACACAAAACTGCTGTTTAATTTGTTTACAATGTATTTCTATAATGAAATCTTTTTAACTAGCTTGTTAAATCTGACTAACAAATTCAGAGCTGTACATGGTCATTATAGTATTAAACGAGGGTAACAGTACCATAGATCTGTTCACCATAATATATGAGATATAATCAGTTTATTCCAAGGCATAAAATCGGAGATGTAATGAGTTTGTTCTAAGTAACACTTTATGATAATAATTTCATATGTTCATATCATTTCATTGTATAATGTTGCCTAGAAAGAAGGAGTATTGGGACTTTTATTTAAGATTTGTGTTGGGTATTATTTTCCAGGTTTTGTACAGTTTATACAGAAGGAGATTAGTGATACAAATACTCAACAAGCACAACAGCTGGACAGTGCTCTACGTCTGTTGATGCAAATCATTTCTAAATACAACAATCAAAAGGTAACACACACAGGTTATAGTTCAGTTTTCTTTCTTTAAAATAATACTTGATAATTGTTTTTGTAAACTGAAAATGATTTTTACATATTTGGCTGATCTGGCCTTGACTGTAGCTCTGTAGTATTGTGAGATTTTTCCAAGGAGATGATAGATATCTACGGGTTTATGGAAAGTGAGTATATTTTTGATTTTCAATCCCAATTTTGGCTGGTAAATTTCCAAATGACATTACACTGTTGGTTTGACTTATAAACAGTTCTATTGTACTCCTATTTTAATTGTTATATGTTGTTTGGTAAATATGATGTTAACTTACCTGTTATTTGTTTCAGTATGTTGGTATATCAGGGAGCCTACTTGCCCTACACGAGGTTGAAGGCCTTGCCCTGGTTATGTTGTGTAATCATCGTGTTGTCACAAGAAAGCTGGCAGCCCATCTGCTGAAAGAAGTGAAACAGATCTTCTTGTGTGTTCCTGCATTGTCATCTGATAATGTAAATCATTATTTTGTGTTTTTTTGTTGTTTTTTTTTGCGTGTGTTTTTTGTCTTTTTATTCATTAAAGTGTTAAACCTTTAAAATAGATATTTATGTTTGAGAAAAGATAAATATTAATATTACATTTGACTTCAACAAGGGTCTTTGGAATTTGATAAAAGCAGTGATAATGCATATCAAAATCAAACATCTGGATTTGTTGAAATTAAGTTTTGAAGGAAATTAATGTGAAGAAGGTTTTAGTAATACATAATTGACCATTTGAATGCTACTGGTGCTGTTGTTATTGTAAGGTGTAATACAGCATATGTTTGTGTATACAGGTTGTGTGTACGAGCCTGTTAGAGACGATGGATAATGCCTGTCCTGCTGTAATAGAGAGATTGCTACCATCGTTAATACCATCAGAAAGGGTAAGACCATTTGAAATTTCTTATACTAAGTGTCGGATTTTTAATCAGTAAATTGTTGAAATGTGAGATGAAAAAATATTTGTGCACATTTACACGTAACTTTAAAGTTTAGCTAGAAAATGCAGACATGAATTACTTTCGAGTTCTGAACTACACTGAATTGGCAATTAAAGAAAGATGGTATTAGCCATATAGGGCTTTGACTTTAAACATACGTTGCTTTAAAGGCCCAACTGCACTATAAAAGCCAGCAGATGGCGCTAGGGCAGGTTTCTTATTAATTTTATGCATGCTTCACTTCAGGGACCCTTTTTCAAAGATTTAAGATTAATTACCAAATGCATTTAAACAACACTTGGCATGTATGTAGGCATAGATATTCTTGATATAGATTGACCAAAATTATTCAAAATAAAACTTTGTTAAGTGTGTTTCTGGAAAAAAATACTGGCTGTCAAATTTGAAATTTGAATTTCCCTGGGAGGAGCCAACTGATCATTACAGGTCATGAACCTTCAGTAGTAAACAGAAACACGTGACAGTGTTTATTTCAGTGAGAGAGATTTGTAGCAGACGATATATATTACAGGGAGGGAGATTTTCAGCAGACGACACATTGGAATGCTGAATACATGATAAGAAAAAAAAACAATACCTTTTACTGATCTTACTTTATCAAAAAGTATTTATATCCAACAAATTTACAATAATCCATTAATCTATGATTTTTTTTTAATTTCAACGTACTGATTCAACTTGTATTTAAATGGTTTAAACTTCATGAAAACAGTAAAAGTAACTTCCAGGTATATTTCATTTACACTATATTTTGTTGTAAATATCTTGAAGTCAAAATTACATTTCACAAATGTTTATCAAACTAAATGTAGCATTTGTATAAAATTTTTATATATTAATAGTTTAAAAATATTTTAAATGCCTGTCAAGATCATTTTTAGCAGGTTTTCTTAAAAGAAATGTCCCATGTACGGCACATCCTTTGGATTTGGATATAGTTGTCTGACTTGATGCAGGACACAGTCAGGCATAATTTCTCTTACAGTCAGTTCAACATGTGCTGCACGCATAAGTCTCTCCTTTCTTTCTAAATATACACTATTGCTCCAAAGTCCCCTTCTGTCGAGCATAGTCCAGTATTTTCTATAAAGTTTTTTTCTTATTAAGTTATTTCCTGGTCTTGCTAAGCGACCATCTCCTAACCAGGCCTGAGGACTTGCAGTCACATATGGGGAACTAAGACAGTGGTGACAAACATCTGTATTACGGGTAGCAAGTTCAGATGATCCATTTTGTTGATCTGTTGACATGTTTGCATTCTCTTCAGAAATTTCTTTTTCGCAAACATCTGAGTTTACTGACTTAGTCTCAGTGGATGTTCTGCTCAAATTTTGATACTGGGTACTTGTTGCTTCAGTATCGTCATCACTTGATATTTCAATATCCCACCCATGAAATTGAATATTCCACAAGTAATTTCTTACTGTTCTTCTGTCATATAAATCACATATCTCTTTTTCTTATTATCCTGTGCCATTTTTAGAATTCAAATTTGTACGAAATATATATAAAATCAGATTATAACAGCTTAAAGATTTGCACTATTTCCCTCCAAAACAAGCATCCTATGTGAATTTTAATTCTACATGGCAGGCCATACAATGAACAATTATACTTCATTGTGACAGCATCTTAATTAGGTGTTGGCAGATTAAAATGTTTCCCAGCAGAGTTTACAGTTAAAACAATGTGAAGCTGATATCATTTTCATTTGTGTGAATTCATTAGTAAAGTCAGGTATACAATATAGTGATAAACATGGATGATAACCATAATCAACAAGTTGAAGATCATAATAATGGAATAAAAAGAATACGCTTGGAATTACGTAAGGAGCCAAAAGCCTATCCATCAAATTCTGGTGAAAAAAGACGTGCAAGAAATAAAGAAAATAGACAAATAAATAGAAAATCAAGAGGCAAATTGGAGTACTATTACAATGATGAGTCAGAAAAAACTGAATTGTTTAATAAAATTGACAAAATAAAATTGTTTCTTGGTGGAGGACAGTTTAATAAAATATCGTTGTTTGAGCTACTCCACAGGCTTTGTGATTTTTTATACGCCCGTTTGAAAAACGGGACGTATTATGGGAACGCCCCTGGCGGGCGGGCGGTCGGGCGCGGTCGGGCGGTCGGGCGGGCGGGCGGGCGGCGTCCAATTTTGTCCGGAGCATATCTCCTACATGTATGGAGGGATTTTAATGAAACTTCATATAAATGTTCACCACTATGAGGAGCAGTGTCGCGCACATGAACCAGGTCTCTAGGTCAAAGGTCAAGGTCACACTTAGAGCTCATTGAAAAATGCTTGTCCGGAGCAAAACTTCCACATGTATAGAGGGATTTCAATATTACTTGGCACAAATGTTCACCATTGTGAGGCGGAGTGTCGCGTGCAAGATTCAGGTCCTTGCGGCCAAGGTCAAGGTCACACATAGAGGTCAAAGTTCAGATAAAAATATGAAGATGTGTATATGGACCATTTAGTCATCATTTATTGAGGGATTGTAACACAAATGGTCATTATCAAGACTATGGCTGTGATACATATAATTTAGGTCAATATATACAAGGTCAAGGTCACTAAAGATGTCGCGCACATGAACCAGGTCTCTAGGTCAAAGGTCAAGGTCACACTTAGAGCTCATTGAAAAATGCTTGTCCGGAGCAAAACTTCCACATGTATAGAGGGATTTCAATATTACTTGGCACAAATGTTCACCATTGTGAGGCGGAGTGTCGCGTGCAAGATTCAGGTCCTTGCGGCCAAGGTCAAGGTCACACATAGAGGTCAAAGTTCAGATAAAAATATGAAGATGTGTATATGGACCATTTAGTCATCATTTATTGAGGGATTGTAACACAAATGGTCATTATCAAGACTATGGCTGTGATACATATAATTTAGGTCAATATATACAAGGTCAAGGTCACTAAAGATGATGAAATATCCAGATTTTGTAAATAGAATTTAATCAAAGGGAGACAACAAAGTTATTACTTTGTTCATAAATGACTTACACAATTACTCCCCTTGATCTATTTTCTAAAAATAGAATTTAATCAAAGGGCATGAAATAATCCTCTTTCTTGGACTTGAGTATGTTGTAAAGAATGTAACATTTATTTACACATGTTTCATTCATTGGTCAAGATACTTAACTGTGATAACTATGGTGTTCTGTAGACTTGGTATTTGTTCATAAAGATCATACAGTAATTACCTTATCAAATGTAAATACTTTCTCATAGAAATTTAATTATATTTTAATTTTCAAGTAAATATCAGTTCAGCTCATTCAAAGATTAAGAATTGTAATGAAATGTATTTCCCTAGAATAAAATCTTAAATCAGAATTTTTTAGTTATTAAATTACATGTACTTTTTATACGCCCGTTTAAAAAAGATAAAAATATGAAGATGTGTATAGGGACGATTTAATCATCATTTATTGAGGGATTGTAACACAAATGGTTATTATAATGACTACGGCTGTGACAATGTACTTTAGGTCAATATATGCAAGGTCAAGGTCACTAAAGATGGTGAAATATCCAGATTTTGTCTGGAGCATATCTCCTACATGTATGGAAGAATTTTTATAATACTTTATGGAAATGCTCACCACCATGATATGTATTGCTCCATGCATGATCCAGGTCTCCAGGTCAAAGGTCAAGGTCACACTTAGAGCTCATTGAAAAACGCTTGTCCGGAGCAAAACTTCTACATTCATAGGGGGTTTTCAATATAACTTGGCACAAATGTTCACCATTGTGAGGCTGAGTGTCGCATGCAAAATTCAGATCCCTGCGACCAAAGTCAAGGTTACACATAGAGGTCAAAGTTCAGATAAAAATTTGAAGTTGGTTATAGGGACCATTTAGTCATCATTTATTGATGGATTGTAGCACAAATGGTAACTATCATGACTACAGGTGTTACACATTTAATTTAGGTTAATATTTGCAAGGTCAACATGGTCAAGGTCACTGGAGATGATTAAATATCCAGATGTTGTCCGGAGCATATTTTCTACATGCATGGAGGAATTTTAATGTTACTTTTATAGAATTGTTCACCACCATGAGACGTAGTGCCCTGCACATAAACCAAGTCTCTAGGTCAAAGGTGAAGGTCACAGTTAGAGCTCATAGAAAAACACTTGTCTGGAGCAAAACTTCTACATGCATAGAGGGATTTCAATATAATTTGGCACAAATGTTCATCATTGTGAGGCTGAGTGCCGTGCATAAAATTCAGGTCCCTGCCACCAAGGTCAAGGTCACACATTCTGTGCATATCTTCCCTATTGATTTGTTTTAAGGTTCATTTAACAACACAGTGCTAAGAATAAAAACTTGCTTGCTAGATAACACTTATCCATAATGCCCCCATCTCCATCTAAAGCTTTTTCGTAAACGGGCGTATTTTGTGACTATGGCACCCTTGTTTACTTCTCTGAATCTACCCGTTGAAGATAATGTGACAAATGAAAGTTTAGACTTTGAGCCAGAATATCAATATTGCACCTTGGAAGATGCAAAAACGGAAGACATTTTTATAGGATGTTTATCATCAGTTCAAAAACTTATAACACAAGTACAAGCCCATGATATAAAATGCAAGGAAAGATTAAGTCTTGATAAATCAAACAACAAAAAAATGCATGGGGTAATGACTGCCAATATCAAATGTAAGGAGTCCCATGCCTTGAGCTGGACGTCCTCGCCACACATGGGAAACGGAAAGTTTTTAGCAAGTTACAAATTTTGTCATGGTTATTTTTCCAGCGGCATACTACCTAACCAATTTCAAAAACTGTGTGAAGCTTCAGATATTGCAGATTTTGGGGAAAAATATATTTCTGAAATGATGGAGACTTACAAAAGAGCTGTAGAGAAGGAAGTCTTAGAATCTAAAAACAATGCTCTTCAAAATGAAATTGCCATGACCGCTGCACTTTTGCCTGATGATGAAATACTGACAGGAATAAATATTGTTACTGATGCCCGCCATTGTTGGCGCAAGAATGCAAAGTTCACTGATGTTGTCTGTCTTGGTAAAGCAACAAACAAGTGCATTCAAGTTGAGACAGTCACCAAGTCTGATGATCCCAGCTCTCAACGGCATGAACTTGTAGGAGTACGACGCTTATATGATTATCTTGACCAGAAGGACTGCCCAGTAAACATCCATGCACATGACAACAACAACCAAATAACTAAATATGTCAGAGAAGAAAGAAGCCCAACAACGAATGCAAGTGATACTTGGCATATGACCAAGGGCATAGCTAAAGCTGCAAGAAAAAATAACAACAGGCTTCAAGTCAACACATGGAGTTGTGTGGCATGAGGAACTGTCTGACAAAGCTGCTGCATTAAAAACTCACACATTCCATTCAATGAAAAACTGCCAAAATAATCCCGAAATTCTACGAAAAAACATACTTAACTTTGTTGACCACTACAAGGGCAGTCACGACAATTGTCTACCAACTTCTCGATGCAAAACAGATCCACATTATGAATGTTCCAAATACACCATCAAAGATGAAAAAGCTGTTTCTATTCTTACAAATTTTTTAAGATCAATGCCAGTATACAAAGATGCAGAAAAATATAGATACTGTATGGACACTCACTACGTAGAATCATTTAATAATGCATTATTACAGTATGGAGACAAAAGAATATGTTTTGGATTAGATGCCTACAAAATCAGGATTAACTTGGCTGTCCTTGACTGGAATGAAAATGTGAATCGCCCTCAAACATCAGAAAGGCAGATTCCATATAAAAGAGATCCTTCAAGAACATACAGCATTCCAGTGAAAAAAAGAAAAACAACTGACTTCAAAAATAATATCTGGACAAGATGGCTTGATAATGTCTTTTAATTAATCTGATTAATCTGTGAGTTATATAAAACATCCATTAAACCTCTCCTGTGTAAAATCAGCTGTTTTTGTTTACATTCTCTCTGCAGGTTAACACTGCATGCTATTTTTAGATCAGGGTTTATAACAGACAGTTTTACATCACTTATTAGTCACACCCACAAATACTCGCTGCCGCGGCAGCGAATGTTGCCCCTTTAAGGCAAATGCTTAAATCATGTGACTCCTTTCTTGTTTTCAATACTATATTTTAGCTCATCTGAGCGCAAAAAACTCATAGTCCAATTTGTTTTATTATTTTAAATTTGCTAGAAAATGTCTAGGAAGAATGTCACAAGCAATTCTGTAAAAAAATGTTTGTTTAAAGACGAATCTATTTAATGATGATAAATCTTCTATATTTCCAGAAATTAGTAAGTATATGAATGCTATATTTTTCAGACATTTATCCTGAACTGTTCAAGTGTTGATTTACAATGGTTGTTGGAGAGATCAGCCACAGTTTGGAGTAGTTCCCATGACACCAAGGAGTCTCATTCTGATTCTAACTTCTCGAAGGTGGATCCATGGATGCAGTGCATTGCTATGTTTGTCTCAAAAGATTTCGCTATGACGTCATGTCATCTAGCCATAGCTCATGCATGGCCCATAGTGTATACAAGACTTAATGCTCTATACACATTGTTAGACCCTGGGTAAGATAGTGATTTTATCCTTATATTTACATTTATCAATTAAGAATATTTTATTACCAATTTTATTTAACCATTATGTTGATAGTTTGCTTGTAAGACTTTGTTGTTTAAGAAAACATATCTGGCTGAAAATGAATAATAGGACTCATTATAATTGCCAAACATGAGATCTAGACCAGTTGTTGGTGACATCATTTGATTAGTCAGTTCTTAGAATTGATATTGTTTTCTTTTTCTGAGTTGTCAACAGTTTTAACACCATTTTAGTTGGCAGTAAGCTTATTTGAGTATTATCAGATATTGTTTCAGTGCCAACCTGCATTCCTGCTAGTTATTACCAACTTTTCTTTATTAATCATTTGAAACAGCAGAGAAACATGTGTGGCATTGAGCTTATTACCAGTTACCATCAAATCATTAGTAAACTTTGTAAAATCACCTGAAAACTTGCAATAAGTAGACCTTGTTCCATCATTTCCATACTAATTGAATGATCATTATTTGGTTTTGAGTTTGTCATATGATATACATTTATTTATGAGAAAGGGGTGCTTGATATATTAACTTTACGTGAATATTTTAATCATCTGTTGACAGTAACATGATCAATGAGAACAGGGCATCATCATTTATCCGGTCAGGAAGTAAGAAAGCACCTACTGAGAAAGATCATCATATGCAGCTATGGCAGAATTACGTCATCTTAGCTTGTAGTGTGGCACAAAATACACCTATCACAGATATTGTTAATAGGATTGTACTTCCTGAACCAAGGTAGGTTACCTGCACTTAGAGCATAGAGTATTTTTGGGGCCACATCCCAACTCATTTATCGGCATTATTAGTAAAGACTTTGGTAAAGATATTTTGTTGGCCTAGCTCTCCTAAGAAAGTCTTTCTATACTTATATATGTTGGAGAAAAATGAGAATTTCATAGAATTTTTACGCATTTGGAGAGATGTTTGTTTAGTTTATTTTTAGTTATGAATTGTACTTGTAGCTACCTTTTTGTTGAAGCTTAAAGGCACATTAAGCCTTAAACAAATAAATTATTACTTTAGAAAGGGCAAGTATGGATTTTATAATGTTTAAAAATGGTTTTAGAGAAGAGAATGTAAGATGCTTGATACCAGAAGGAAGTAATGATAAATGTGAAATAATTGGTCATAAAAGTAGGAAAATGTAAACAAAGTAGTATTTTGACTTCTATATAAAACACTAAAACTGAACTTATTGCCAAAAAGCAACAGATGAAAAAGATGCCTCAGGTAATTGGCCAATCAGTAACTTTTTGGCTACTATAGCTGTACACCATTGGCTACTATAGAAGTACACCAAAATAAAAAAAAAATGCTTTTGGGAAATGAAGATAAAAGCATTTCTAAGGCATATTGAGCCTTTTAACTAGCATAAAGATTGTGGATTGATCTTTTTTGTTAAAATTTCGTCAAAAATTTTGTATTCAGATTAGTAATTAATCTGATTTTTACCTGCACTTAGAATAGAACAGATCATTTATTCAGATTTGCACATAAGACATCATGTAGTATATGCATAGAAATAAATTTATATGTATATAGAGCATAGGGGTATCTTTAGGCCACATGCCAACTCAGGCATTTTAAGTAAAGATTTTTGAAAAAGATATTTTGTGAGCCTATATCTTCTATTGAAAGTCTTTCTATACTTATATATGTTGGGAAAAATGAGAATTTCATGGAATTTTTACGCATTTGGAGAGATGTTTGATTACATGTAGTTAATTTTTAGTCATAAACTGTACCTTTAGCTACCTTTTTGTTGAAGCTTCACTTAAAAAAACAATTTGGGGATTGATCTTTTTTGTTGAAATTTAGTCAAAATTTTTGTATTCAAATTAGTAATTAATCAGATTTTTAGACTTACAATAATTTATTTAACTATTATATATTATAATTTGTTTAATAATATGAATGTGTTTTGTTTTTTTCTAGCACTTTGACAGATGAGAAGTCAGACAAGAATTCTAATGTGTGCAGTATGTTTAAACAGCTGGTTCCCCTCATCAGATGTGAGAGTGCAGACATGAGGGATACCATCGTGAACGGTCTCGGATATACCAATCCAGTAGTGTTCAAGTATGTGTGATATATCGAGGCTTTGATGTATTCTTTTATGTAATACATTGTAATTGATTGAAATATGTTTATAGATATTAATTTCTTGCATATCAGACTGGCGTTTCTGTTAGTTTTGTCATACCAGAAATTTCATCTGGCATGAGGGGTGCCATATGAGTCACATGCTATACAAAGGTACACTTAGTATGAAGTAATTTTACCGTTATGAGTGAAGTTGTAATTTCATAAAACTCTTGTAATGACATAAATTTCCCTGCAAAATTGTTTGATTAAGGTAAAGAAGTTAAAAATAATGGAAATGGTAGAATATGCTTGTAAAGATATGTGACATATGTTTGCTGCTTGGATTGGAATATCTGTCCCTTGTTATTGCCCAATAGGACAGATATTCCGATGCATATCGCAACATATGACAGATATTATTAATCATATACAAATATCAATGTCTTAACGTCTTTTTAAAAAGCCTTACTTAATTTCAAAAGACTATAAGAGTGCACATTTTTGCTTTACTTGAAACAACCGTGACTTTAACATGCCATCTTTAAAAGTTGAAATGATTTGGTCACTGTTTCTTTTCTTGGTGAATAAAAAAAAATGAAATTGCCTTATAAAAGTTTCACATAGTGTAAATAAACATTACTGACAAAAAGTTTTAATACAAAGTTATATAATCCTTGAGATTCCTTTAAAGTAATTTAGTAATTATTAGGGATGGATTAAGGCAGAAGTAAAGAAATTGTGTAAAATTATGATGGTCATTATGTCAAGGTAAGTTGCCATGGTAAAATCTTGCTGGATTTGTTCTCATAACATATCAATTCAATTTTAGGGAGTTGATGGAAGAGTTAGTGCCCTTGTTGAAGGAGGCAATTGAGCGTAAAGCTGAGAACATCAAGAGGCGAAGGAAACGTGATGTCTTCCGTGTTCAACTTGCTCATATATTTGAACTGATGGCAGAACACAAAACATTTGCACAGAGGTTAGTTAGATCTAATTACACAAAATATTTGGATGAAGTAAGTGAAAAAGGACTATAAGTGGTGACATGTTGATTGAAATGTGTAAAAGTTGTAAAACTTGCTGTTAATTAGTTTAATTGTTAGACATAGTTTATGAGTACATTTCATCGACAAGATGATTGATATTTCTACAAGTGGGACTTAAATATATTGTGGCATTGACACGATACCATCTGAATCTCACAAGGAATTGTTTAGTGTTTTGAGTGGGACTATTCAGAGACATCTTTCTTCAGTAAAATCTTTGCCTGCAAGTTTGTATCTCAAAAACTACTGAAGGAAATGAATTGAAACTTCACATGCTTGAATTATTTGAGAACATAATAGACACTGTCCAAGGCCCATAACTCTAACTTGGATTTTGACTATATTATAGACCAGAAAGACTGTTATCATATCAATTAATGTTTGTGATATGGTTTTACCATTCTTAAACCTTTGGGCATAATTTATTAATGCACTTGTTCTGCATTTCCTTTTACTTCAAGGGATTTCAAAATTTTGAGCACATGTTTGGTAAAAGTAAAATCCAACTGAAAATAGAACAGACTGGCCGTGTAGATTACATGTAGAGTCATGTTATTATTTCATCTAAAGCTCATAAATGTATGACATATAAGATAGAAAATATGTTTATATATTACAGTGAGTCAGCAGTGATAGATGATAACCACTGTTTAACAAAGCCATTTGTAGAGTATATTGATGGTGCTAGGATATACCTGGAGGGCGAGAGTGATCGAGACTTGCCCACATTACAGGATATCAGACTGCATTTCAGCAAGTTTGTCAGACATCTCATCTGTAATACACCCGGTAAGGGAAGATAAAACATGTTTACTATAATATGAACATTATCTATATATATTTGAGAATGTTTCTTTTTGAGAACATTTCTTTTTAGATCTTTTCTCAGTTATTATACCCCCGCACAACAAAGTTGTAAGGGGGGTATACTGGAATCAGCTTGTCCGTCCGTCCGTCCGGCTGTCCGGCCGTCGGTCGGTTTTTTCTTGTCCGCCCAATAACTTAAGATTCCTTTGACCCTTAGTCTTCATATTTGGCATGGAGGTTAGTCATGATTAGTAGATGACCCCTATTGATTTTGAGGTCACTAGGTCAAAGGTCATGGTCACAGGGGCCTTGACTTCAAAAAGCTTGTCCGCCCAATAACTTAAGATTCCTTTGACCTACAGTCGTCATATTTGGCATGGAGGTTAGTCATGATTAGTAGATGACCCCTATTGATTTTGAGGTCACTAGGTCAAAGGTCAAGGTCACAGGGGCCTTGACTTCAAAAAGCTTGTCCGCCCAATAACTTAAGATTCCTTTGACCTACAGTCGTCATATTTGGCATGGAGGTTAGTCATGATTAGTAGATGACCCCTATTGATTTTGAGGTCACTAGGTCAAAGGTCAAGGTCACAGGGGCCTTGACTTCAAAAAGCTTGTCCGCCCAATAACTTAAGATTCCTTTGACCTACAGTCGTCATATTTGGCATGGAGGTTAGTCATGATTAGTAGATGACCCCTATTGATTTTGAGGTCACTAGGTCAAAGGTCAAGGTCACAGGGGCCTTGACTTCAAAAAGCTTGTCCGCCCAATAACTTAAGATTCCTTTGACCTACAGTCGTCATATTTGGCATGGAGGTTAGTCATGATTAGTAGATGACCCCTATTGATTTTGAGGTCACTAGGTCAAAGGTCAAGGTCACAGGGGCCTTGACTTCAAAAAGCTTGTCCGCCCAATAACTTAAGATTCCTTTGACCCACAGTCGTCATATTTGGCATGGAGGTTAGTCATGATAAGTAGATGACCCCTATTGATTTTGAGGTCATCAGGTCAAAGGTCAAGGTCACAGGGACTTTGACTTCAAAAAGTTTGTCCGCCCAATAACTTAAGATTCCTTTGACCCACAGTCGTCATATTTGGCATTGAGGTTAGTCATGATTAGTAGATGACCCCTTTTGATTTTGAGGTCACTGGATCAAAGGTCAAGGTCATAGGGACTTTGACTTCAAAAAGTTTGTCCACCCATTAACTTAAGATTCCTTTGACCCACAGTCTTCATATTTGGCATGGATGTTGATCATGACTATAAGGTGACCCCTATTGATTTTGAGGTCACTGGGTCAAAGTTCAAGGTCACAGGGACCTTGACAAAAAAAAAGCTTTTCTTCTCAATTGCTAAAGAATGTCCTGTCTGCAATGTATTGATTTTGACATTTTCACATTTGAAGCATGTAGAATACATAACTTAGCAATGCACTGGCTTAGTAACCTCAGATTTGGCAGGGAGGTTGTCCTTGCGCTCTAAATGGCCACTGTTGATTCTGACAAAGTGGTATGCGGGGGTATTCACGCCAAGATAGTGGCAGTTCTAGTTTGAAACAGCTTAGAAATAGTAGCTGAAAAATTATGTTTTACGATCAACTTAAGGGTATTTTGTTTTGAGTCATGTCAAGAACATTTCACATTGCATTTCTTTCGCCTCTCCAAGTTATCAACTTTTATTAGTCAAATAATAAATGATCAGTTTTGAATTTATTCATGTCAAATAAAGACGTAATGTGGATTGTTTATGTGTCATGATTGTCATAAAATTGCGATTGCCACTATTTTAAATCATCATAAAACAACTAGTGCCATCTGATATGATATGTTTGAATACACACGGTGACACCTTCATTACTCTAAAAGTCCACGTCTGACAACTCTGCAGGGAATCAATTCTTTGGCTCTTTGGTCCGGAAGATTGTTGCTTTCGCTTATAAACAGATGGTCATGAGTTCGAATCCTAACCATGGCGGAATCTTTTCTGATACATTTGTGTCTTTCTGTTATGAACTTTAAATGGTCAGAAAAAGTGGTTTTGATATATAATATTTGTATATTGATTGAATATGTTGTATGATTATAGTTGAATATAAACCGTCATTGTTGACACGAGAGTTGAGGTACAGTCTGTTTGACTTGTTTGCAAGTTGGAGCGGAAAGTTCAGTCATACATCTAGTGCAATAGATAGAAGGTATGCCATTATATTTACTCTGTAATTGTTTGAGTGCATATTTGTCAGTGATGTTTTCTAAAAGAAATAACTTTATAGACAAAAGTAACAGGGCACTGTTTTCATTGGCATTGAAAGAGCTATTTAATTTACTCAAATCTCAAAATGGTTTGTTTGAAAGATATTCATTGTGCTGGCATAAAGATGTTGTACATTGTTCATTGCAAGCTAGAAGAAGGCCCATTATGCCTCTGAAATGCTATTATTTTTATTTCGCAAAAACTTTTATTTTTAATACCTTGTTTACAATTTCAAAAAAAAAAAAGTCATTTGCCATATAGATTATCTTTGCTTCTTTTGCTTAGTTAGTAGTTGGTATAATTATAGTAAATAAGTATTTTGTATGGAAGTCAAAATACTTCTTTGTTTACATTTCGCTACCTTTGTGACACATTACTGCACATTCAGCACTACTTTCTTCAGCTGTTTAACATAGGACATGTTCTAAACCCATTATTAAAACATTATCAAACATATGTTTGACATTTCTAAAGAATTTAATAGATATAGATTGTTACTGTTCCTTTAAGATATGAAATTGTCTATAAATCTATTTACTCATAATACATTACAGGTTGACAAAGGATGATGGATGTACAGAGCTAGAGCTGGCTGCAGTGCGAGCCATGTCGGCTGTCGTCTGCTGCGGTCCAGTATTCGATATCAATGGTCTGAATGATGACGGCTACATATACCACTGGCTAGATACTTTACTGAGCTCTCATGACGACAGGGTGAGTTTGAGTCTCGAAAAAAAAAATCTATTTTTAGAAATATAATCTATTTTTAGAATGAATGTTTTAAAATTAGCTTTTATGATATGATATTTCTGGTGAAGGTTTTTATATGTTATCTGAAATTTTTCTTGTCAAAACTTATTATTAACTTCAGTGACTCTGATAAAACTTGTGCGAAATTAAATTGAAAAATGTCTTCTTTTTTTTAGATTTTTTCTTTTAGTTATGATTTTCTTGTATAAGAAAAATGATAGACTTAAAACTAAATTGCTATTACATCACATGACATTGTAACTATAAGATGGTTTATTTTTTCAAAATGCGAATTTATGTATGAATTGTTCTACTCAACTTCACCACTTTGAAAATTACCTTATCATACATGTTGAAATGACACAAATATATTTAGGAAGAATTTAACTTGCTCTTAGGTGAAAAAAAAAGATAGATAAGTTTCTGTATAAATTACTGCACCTTTTATTAGATCCTAAACTTAGTTTAATGAATCCATATAAGATTTTAACAATGTCTTTAATGATATCATATTCTTTTAATATGTACCAAGCACATTCTAAACACATTATAAATATGCAATTTTAGGATAGAACTATACGATCTAAGGTAGGTAACTTTAGATTCTACTTCTCAGAATCTAAACAGAGTTCTTGTTCTTGTTTTGGACTCCATTACTTTTTTTACAGCTTCAATATTATTAGTAGACGCTTAAAGAGATTTCTTTTGATATAATATGCGTACAAGTTTTTTAGCTAGCTAACATATGAATTGGAGCATTCAAAGAATCCCACATATTTTCCACTTGAGTGCCATGTATTAATTAAAGGTTTGATAACACATATATTATTGAATGCATTTGTCATTTTTTTTATAAAAAGTAAGGTATGATTTTTGTCAGAACATAGCTTGCAATGGTCTTGAGGTAATCATTAGCTTGACTATTTGAAGAATACGGAGATATACTGTTCAAAAGTGTTAATGCCAGCGTCACTACAAAAAGAAAAATGGTTGAAACTTCACACTCTTATTTGAGAGCACAACAGGTCACTGTTCAAGGCCCATAACTCTATTATTGAATTTGACGGAAAATATTGCCATTTTTGAAACATTAAAAATTCCACATTATCCAGGCCCCTGTTTTACTATCAAGCACTGAGAATAGTCGAGCAAGCTGTCCTACCAACATCTCTTGTTAAATATTATAATGACATTTGTGAGACAAGCCATCTTTGTCTCTTAATAATTTTGTTAAGAATTGAACTCAGAAATATTTGAACTTTGACCCGTGTACTAATTATTTAATATTGTCTTGTCAAAAGATAAGTTGCAGAGTTGTTAAAGTGTCTGCCTGTCAACTCAGGAATTGTGGGTTCGAGCACTTCTTGGGTCATGACTGTGTTCTTTGTTTTATTACAAATGACACCATTCAATTAGCAGACTTAAGAGTGGTTTTAACAAGCCTGAAGGTTTGGTCACAAAATAAAATATTTATGTTTATACCAAGTTAGACACTTCAAATAAATATATAATCATGTCTGCCATAATGACATATTGTATGTACTGTATGGGAAAAAACAACTCTCTGCATTTCAAAATTCAATTTATTTCTTTTCAAATATGGTTCAACGCAATTTAAGTTAAAATGGCAACTTAATATCTGTTAGCTGTATAGACTGAAGGTGGCCCATCAATGCATTATGTTAGATCGAAGAACATTTCCTAAAAACAAAAACTTTCTGCCAGCCATCTTGAATTGAATAAAACCTGGCAACAGTATAGACTTGGCAAAATGTTGCAAAGTCATAACTTACTCAAGACATTGCCATAGGGCATCTATTTCTGTTGATGACCAATAATTGCCTTGCTTAGGTAGTCTGAATTGGTGAAAATATATCTATATCATGTACAATAGATTGAGGAAAACCTGTATGGCATGGCTGCAAAAAAAATGTAATCCATTTTATCTTTGTGACTTGCTGAAAACCAGAGACTATAATTGCGGGCTTATTGGAAATAGGAAGAATCTAGACCTGGACATAAAATTTCAAAGTGTTTTTGTTGTTTGTTTTGTTTTTCTAATTTGGTATGTAAAAAGTTTATAGTTTTAAACATCATATGTATAGATTTTAGTGATAATACTTTTTTGATGACACTACCTTACTGCTAACCATGTAAGTAGGACTTTGAAATCTCTGAAGTGTCCTTTAAATAATCAATTAATTTTATTTACGAGTATTTTCGTATTTGATAAACCATGGAAAATTGAATAAAAACTGGTTAATGGTTTTCAGCAATATGCAAAATAGTTAGAACAATGAAAGGTTATGCTTAGCCTAGTATTTAATGAAAGATTTTACTGTATTTTCTGTATTCTGTCCACCACCAGATGAAAGAGGAGGTAAGGAAATGAAATATAGAAGAGAGATTTTAAATCATACCCCACCCACTTTATAATGATAATATATAATATTTATCAGACTGATGGATCTATGTTTTTTGGTTTTGTCTGGTTTTTATTGTGTTAAGCTCTTCAGGCTACAGATCAGTATATTTGTGCTGTTATTCTTTGTGAATGCAGCATCATCTGAAGATTTAGCCATATTCTTGTGAAATGTTTTTCGGAATAAGTTACTAAGTTACAAAATTCATTGAAATAAGAATTTTATAAAGGAAAACAGTATGCAAAGGTTTTCTGCTAATAACATGGTTAATACCAGTTTAACAATTGTGTCAAAATCTCTCTTCTGTATGAACATAATTTCTACAATCTACCAACATAGGAGCTTTTTGAACTGTCCTGGTCCCCTATGTGGCCCCCCTATATGTGCAGCTTATGTGTAGAGAGCACAATGTTACTTCAGTGGTGCAGCTGTGTGCTATTACTATCCTATGTCATTTTTTTGTGTCTTCTGTGTTAGCATGGAGGACTATTGTAAAAATGTGGGCGTGATTACAAAATGTGGGTGTGATTTTTTGGAAGAGGGAGTGGTTTAGGTAAGAGTGAGTGTGAATTTTTAACTTAATATTAATTATGTGTAGATGGATGTGTGAAAAAATTTAATATGAAGGGTAGATTTAAGAGAGAGAAGAAAGGTGTAGGAAAAGCAGAGCTTTTTACAAAGAAAGGGGAATGTTTTTAATCAATGAAGGAGGAGTTTCAGTTTAGAGGGAGGATTGGGATAGGAATGTGACATGGGGGAGAAAAGGCTTCATTAAGAGTGGAAGCAAGAATAAGGCAGGAAATAAAGAGAGAAAGGATTTGAAACAAAACATTAAGTGAAATGGCCTCAGATAGGGATTAAAGATATGCTTATGTGGTTGGGGGTTGGAAAAAGGGATGTGGATTGCAATGGAACTGTAAGGAAGGTTAAGGAGATTGAGAAGAATGAGGGGTCATAAGGGGAAAAACTTATTGGCAAAAAAATATTTTTTTAAAGACAGGTGACATAGGGAGGAGAGTGTAAGAATAGAAATGGGAACCTTTTCCCATTCAGTCTTTTCTTGCTATGGAGTGGTACATTCTTTTATGTGATGCAGATTTATGTTTGTTCGGAATATTATTCTTGTCTTTATCTATGTATTTTGGATGGATTGCTGATTGTGAGAATTTCGAATGACATGTATCACAGTCAGTTGTAATTATTGGTGTATTTTGTGCAGTTATATTACCCACTTGTGGTTTATGATTTTTGCTGAAGTAACACTTCTGTCAGATCTGTATAGTGTTATACTTGTGCTCCGGGATTATGTTTTTGTGCTTTTTTATTCTGTTAAAACAGTTAAAATGATTAACATTCAATATGGCTGTTGTATTTTACAATGTCAAGTATATTTTTTTCTTAATTTTGTTTCAGTTACTTGATTCCATTAACACTATAATTAAATCAGTTCAATTTTGATTGATTCTTAGATTTCTAACTTAATAGAAATTTACAGTCTTTTTTTGTCTTGTTTTTTTCTTTTTCAAAATGAGATGATTTTTTGTTTACTCACAAAGAAATTAATAGTATTAAGTGATCTATTTTCTTCTTCTTAAATTTCTTCTTATACATCTAGCCTTTTGCCTCAATAAACAGCTTGTTACATGTATGAAAGATACTCAAATCACTATATATATAATCAAAGATAAAATGTGTGTATGTTACAAAGCTAATTTGATTAAAGTTTGAATCATTTATAAATGGATTTTTAATGACACCATTGAGTAATTTGGGCTTATACAGCAATATTTTGACCTTGATATTGGTAAGGCATTGTTATGGTTCAGTTAACATTTCTCCCCTTGTGGCAGAGGGGTTGCCTTTAAGGGTTGAGACATCAGAATTTCAGCCACCGTTTTTCCCTGCTTGATCGGAAGAGGGGACTAAATGGGTTTGAATTACTGGAGTTTATGCATGCCTTAGCTTCAGCAGATGAGGTGGTTTTGATCCCTGGTGTTGCTTTAAGTTTGTAACACTTTAGGTTAGCCAAAATCATCTTTCCTGTGTTGGCGCCATATCATATGACCTAAATTGTGTTGGTGCGCTGTAAAACTTAACAACAGACCAACAAAGTTAACACTTTAGACTTTATATAGTCACTTATCATCTTTATTAAAGACAGGTTTAGATTTGTTTTGTAGAAGTATTTATGATAATAATGGTTAAAGGTACAATAATGAAATCTTAATGATTTGTCCTCAGCAGAATTATTTTGTTACTATAAATTATAGATTGTAACATTTTTGTAGGTCAAACTTCACTGCGTATGTAGTTTGGAGGGAGAGTCCAAAATAAAGATGCTACATCAGAAAATTAAGGCGTGGAAAATTTTGTGTGACCACACTGAAGCTTGTGTTAGTTGTCCCTTTCTGTTTCCATGGTTACCAGTATTCAGTTGCTTAGCAACTGCTCTTCTGCGTAAATCTTCCTAGCAACTTAAGTCGTTACAATGGTTATCTGGAGTTTTGTTTGAGTATCCCAGTTCAGCTACACAAGTTCTTTATTTTACCCTTGGTTGCCAAGTTGATACTTTTGGCATATTTTTCAGTATCACTCACAAATTTATTTTTCAGTTTATTCATTTCATCACCAAGGTTTTGATTGCTTCATATATATTAACTACCTTTTTGATTTTATTTACCCCACTTTTATTTCATAAAAGGGCATACTTTTTGAACATTTGCTTCTTGAAACTTAAAACAAGATTTTGTCATCTTAAATTGGTAACATCATTGATGGAAAAAAGAATAATGAAGTTGAAAAAGAGATGCTTTAGTATGTACAAAAGTTATTATTACAAAATTATTAAAAAAATAAAAATAAAGAATTGTTGTAAAAATATAACTTAACTATGTTTGTTGCAATTTCAAAGATTTAATTCCAATGAAAGAAATGTGATGTTTGTTGGTTTCATTTATAAAAAGAAATAACTGGGAGAAAGTGGCCAGCAGCAAATTATAGGCCTAAATTATTAACCAGTACCAGCTTACTGCTAGGGCAGCCGGAATACAGTCATGCACATGTATCTCACCACTGTAGGTTCAAATCCCAAGAGGGACTTTGGATTCTTTTATGCAAGAAAACTATCCAGCTAGCTTATGGAACGCCGGTGGCTATTCTCCGGTGTCAGTTTTGTGCCTGAAATAATGTACAGAAGGGCACCTACGTTTTTCCTCCACCAGTAAAGTTGGGAAGTCGCCTTATGTCTAATATACTGTGTTGGTGTGATGTAAAACCAAAACTAAAAGAAAAAATCTATATGTTTCAGTTCTAACCCCTAATTGATATATTTAATTATTTTTAGAAAATTAATTGTAGTAATTTGGTATTGAATTCCTTTAAATTAAAAAGATATTAAAAATTGCGAAGAAAGTGTTATGTGCTGATTGCATACATGCCATAATTTTTAGACTCATTTCCGGGACACTTTTCATTTGAAGGTGGGGCATTGATCAGCAAATGTATTTTTTTTTAATTTACATAGTGGCATACAACCTATAGGCCCTATTACCGGTAATTACAACTTGCAAATTTAATGACACCATAAACAAAGTCAGAATGTAAATAATTATTAACAGTTTTTCTATCTTTTAAGTATTTAGGCATTGTTAATTCAATCAGACATAGAATAGAATAAAGCTATGTTAAGTAATGACAATTAGCCATGTCGTTTACCTGAAACATTCGCTGAATCTTGTAGATTTTAATATGAAAAAGGCAAAGCCTCAAAGCGAGCTCGATGTACTTTTAACGTGAAATAATATTAAATAATCGTGCATTTAATTTTTATTTCAAATGCATTGACGAGTGCGTGTGACGTTACACGTACTGTGTTAAATATGGCTCCGCCCCAGTCGTTAAATGAATAACGAGTTTTGAAAACGTTGATAAAACTTTGTTTATTTTATTTCACTCTATAATTTTTCAAGCGAAATAAAGATTATTAAAAGTGAAATAAATGTAAAACTTAAAACGTTTGCGACATTAAAATAGCGTACTTGATTTGTTTGTTTTGCACGTGCTGTTTGGCGCTACATTGTGACGTCACGTAAACAATACTTTAAACGTCTGTACAGAGTTAACGACTGAATAAAAGATATTGGTGTTCGGATTCATTTTCTTAGTTAGACCATTTTCTTTCATTCTACATAGTTTTCACAACAAAATTCGACAAAAAATTGTTTTAATTTATCAGATTTTTCAAACAAAATGGCGCCTTCAATTTTCATTTTACATTTCCGTTCGTTATTTTATCGACAGCTTCCGTTATTCTGGTTTCCTGTCAAATTATGATTCCATAGACGTGCGCGGGTGACCAGTCTACACATCCGTTTTCAGTCAGAATTCCTCAGTTTTTATCGTTATCTTTAAATTCGAAAGGTTGCGATGTGTCCAATTCGGTACTTCGAACGAAAGTTTTCAAAACCATCACTTAGCAGGTACTCGCGTTACCGTCGAGCTCGCTATTACCTCATATTTAGCGAGTAATTTTCACGGTGTTTGACCACTAATAAAATTTAATTTATAATGGCCAGTTGGCCAGTGTATGACACCTTCACTGGGGTAATTAATCTTTTATTTGATCAAAATTATTGCCGATAATTGTTAGTTGGAAGGGGCACGTTGATATACGAATCAAAGGATTAGTGTCACCATTGCAAAGCTGTTATGCCACTTAGGGGATAATCGTTCCTTATTAGCGTTCTAGATAAGTTTACAAAACCTTGACAATAAAATTATATAAAAAAGTAAAATTTCTTGCTTCAATGTAGATTATTTTAGATTTTTTTACCGGGACATAAATCATCTCCGGGACAGACACCTTATTTCCGGTATTGTCCCGGACACACGGGACGTTATGGCATGTATGGCTGATTGGGAGTGTTAGTCTGGTTTTTTCAAGTACTGATTTCAACACATTTTTGGCCATATTTTGGCGGTCTGACAGTCCACTTAACCAGCTTTCCAGGATAACTAACCAGTAATTACCAATTTTTCTGCAAATTACTGACTAGTTTAACACGGGCTTTACTTTAACTGATGCCTAAAACCTGTCGAAGACATCGCAATTATTATCTATTGTACAATTGAAGGAAGTAAAAGATAGAGGCATGTTTATTGACTATGTTGGTTTGAGAGTGTGCAATATATACCCTCTTTTAGTTCAAATATGTTTTTATTCTTGCTAGAGAGCCCAAACTGTAAAAGATATGTTATTAATTGTTAATTTATACCTGCTTTCTTTTAGCAACAAGAACAGATGATATCATGTGACAGGCTGAGATTTTATATTGAGATATACATGTATATAGGAACTATTTTATGGGGACTTAAAATTTTCACCACAAAAAAATTACAAATTTAACTAGTTGTGAAGATGGATACAAAGTTTTTGTTGTTTGTTTTATAGTTGCTTTCTTTTTAGGGGCGGGGAAAGGGGGTCAGTGTGTTAGTTTGAAGGTGGTCTTTTTGCTTTGAAGCGAAGGGGGGGGGGGGGGGTAAGATTCCAGAAATCACAGCCTGTCATGTGACACTCTTGATTTTTTTTCTGTTTGCATTATGAGCATATCATGAATCTTGTTTGCACTGTAATATTCAGATCAGTCACTTGCACTTTGTACTATTCTATGAGAACATAAAATGACTATTTCAGCACTTGCTCAGATATTGAGATATTTTTGTGAATTCTTTTTTTATTCTTTTAAGTTTCAGAGATTCTGATTATAATGTGATTAAATGATTGTTAGTATGGAAAAAATACTTAATCTTGTACTAGTCATTTTTCTATGTTGACCATATATATTTCTTACTCACGAGGTATTGAATTCCTGTTTGTGCCTTTGAAAATTTAGAATAATCTAAATTTTTGCATAAATTCTGCATTAATTGATATACAGCTTAATTTCTGAAATGGACTTGTCCAGCTTCTATTGTTTGGAACTGTTCATTGTCAATGTTGGGGATATCAAAATGAAATGGAAAGTTATTTATACATCAGTATAGAGCCTCAGGTCAGACTGCATATGGATTTGCAGGCTGGTCTGGTTCCATACTGATAGCATTTAAGACTAATCTCCTTTAATTTTGTTCTGACATTTAAAGTGGTAAGGAGTAATAAAATTTATAAAAAGTTATTTTTTTTTTTAAGTACAATGTACATTAGTAAATATAGAGATGCATCAATACAAGTTTTCAGACATTTGCCTGAAGTTCAGGTTTTCTTACTCCCGAAAGGTTTCTTTTTCTATATAAATCCAACTGAATTAATACTAGATTAAGAGTTTTCAGATTTTCTGATATTTTTAACTTGCACTCATGGAGATGCATACTTATGTACAAATTAGGAAAAGTTTTGTGTGAATATACTTACGGTAATTAAAATGAAAAAAGAAATAATTTAAACGAAATAAATATACTTAATTAAATTGAAAAAAAAAAAGAGATCAAAATGAAACAAACAAAAAATTCCATATGTGATATTCATTTTTAACTTTGCCAAAAAAAAAAGGTTGATATAAATTGACAGTAGGATTCCATCCTGATGTGCTTATTTCCCTTTCATTTTAAAATATAGAGAACTTTTGTAAGATTCCTTTTTCTTCTGTAAATACTATTTAACTGCTTTTTTATGTCTAAGATATATTTCTCGTTTGACATCTTATTGTGTCGCCTTGAAAAGGTGACATATAGGGGTTACTTTTGTCGGCGGCGGCGGCGGCGGCGTCTGTGTCGGCGTCGTTGTCGGCGTCCGCTAAAGCTTGTCCGGAGCATAACTCACTCACTATAAGTCTGATTGACTTCAAACTTGGTATGCATGCTTCTTTCAATAACCCGAAGTGCAGTGCACAAGGACCGGTACTCTGCAGTTCTTATTTTTTTGAGTTATTGCCCTTGTTAATTTTCATACTTTAATTTTGTCCGGGCCATTTCTCTTCAACTAAAAAAGCTATGGACTTGAAACTTCATAGGATGATATATCTCATTAAGAAGAAATGCAGTGCACAAGAACCAGTACTCTGCACTTCCTAATTTTTGAGTTATTGCCCTTTGTTAATTTTCATACTTTATTTTTTGTCCGGGCCATTTCTCCTAATGTATAAAAGCCATGGACTTGAAACTTCATTGGATGATAGGTCTCATTAAGAAGAAGTGCAGTGCTCAAGAACTGGTACTCTGCATTTCTATTTTTTGAGTTATTGCCCTTTGTTAATTTTCATACTTAATTTTTGTCCAGGCCATTTCTCTGAAAGTATAAAAATTATGGACTTGAAACTTCATAGGATGATAGATCTCATTAAAAAGAAGTGCAGTGCATAAGAACTGATACTCAGCATTTCTTATTTTTGAGTTATTGCCCTTTGTTGCTTTTCTTACTTTATTTTTGTCCTGGTCATTTTTCCTCAAGTATGAAAGCTATGGACTTGAAACATCATAGAATGATAGATCTTATTGATAAGAAGTGCAGTGTACAGAAACTGCTGCTCTGCACTTATTATTTTTTTAGTTATTGCCCTTTGTTATTTTTCATATTTCATTTTTGTCCTGGCCATTTCCCCTAAACTACATTGTTCACAAGGCGACACATCCGACTCGCGGAGTTCTAGTATTGTCATCAAGTGCCTTAATAAAATAAATGTAAGTAAACATGTTCTTAGGAAAATAATTTTATGTAACTATTATATATTCATGAATATTTCTTGGCATAATAAGTACATGTACATGTTTTTTTCTTCAAGCTGGAAATAACCATTGATAATAGTGTGTTTAATATTATAAATGACATGTTTTGAATTTCAACAGTTAAAAAAAAATAAGAAAAATAAAATTAGCTAGAATTTCAACAGTTGCCAAAAAAATATTAAAATTAACTAAAATCTTATCTTTGAATCTCTTATTAATTATTTTATCTCAAAAAAGTTTGGTAATGTATTTTCTTTTATGTTTCGGTTAAATAGATTTATGATCTGGCAAAGGAGACTGTAGTATTGTTGCTGGACTACAACTCGGACAACCAGGGGTTACTAGACTGGGTAATTGACAGGTGTTACACAGGGACTAATGAAGTATCTGATGGCTGCTTTAATGCCCTGGCTGCAGTGTTCCAAGCAAGGTATGATGTGACTTAATAAAATAAATATGATAAATAGCTACCAGTACTTTTTGTCAATTTACAGATGTTGAATTTTATGATTTGCTTATTATATAAATTGGTTTGTGTTTGCCTTTATACAGAATGATGTGCCGGCTAATCTTGGTTTGCACTGATCACATGGCTAAATTCTGTCATAGTTTGCAGACTGTCAGTTAATTTGTCAGTGAACCACTCTGAAGTCTTCATCCTGGAACTTACCAGTACTGGTGTCATATGAAGAAACATGGTCCTGACTCTAATAGGGCTGGAACACACAATCCCTGGGTTGAGATGCTGACAACAAAACTTTCATAATTGCTCAGGAGACCTTCATTGACAATGTTATCTACCTGATTTCATTGACAAAGTTTTGAATATCAGTTCATTATACCCCCGCACAACAAAGTTGTAAGGGGGGTATACTGGAATCAGCTCGTCCGTCCGGCCGTCCGTCGGTTTTTTCTTGTCCGCCCAATAACTTAAGATTCCTTTGACCCTAAGTCTTCATATTTGGCATGGAGGTTAGTCATGATTAGTAGATGACCCCTATTGATTTTGAGGTCACTAGGTCAAAGGTCAAGGTCACAGGGGCCTTGACTTCAAAAAGCTTGTCCGCCCAATAACTTAAGATTCCTTTGACCTACAGTCGCCATATTTGGCATGGAGGTTAGTCATGATTAGTAGATGACCCCTATTGATTTTGAGGTCACCAGGTCAAAGGTCAAGGTCACAGGGACTTTGACTTCAAAAAGTTTGTCTGCCCAATAACTTTAGATTCCTTTGACCCACAGTCTTCATATTTGGCATGGATGTTGATCATGATTAGTAGATGACCCCTTTTGATTTTGAGGTCACTGGATCAAAGGTCAAGGTCATAGGGACTTTGACTTCAAAAAGTTTGTCCACCCATTAACTTAAGATTCCTTTGACCCACAGTCTTCATATTTGGCATGAATGTTGATCATGACAATAAGGTGACCCCTATTGATTTTGAGGTCACTGGGTCAAAGGTTAAGGTCACAGGGACCTTGACAAAAAAAAAAGCTTTTCTTCTCAATTGCTAAAGAATGTCCTGTCCGCAATGTATTGATTTTGACATTTTCACATTTGAAGCATGTAGAATACATAACTTAGCAATGTACTGGCTTAGTAACCTCAGATTTGGCAGGGAGGTTGTCCTTGAGCTCTAAATGGCCACTGTTGATTCTGACAAAGTGGTATGCGGGGGTATTCACGCCATGATAGTGGCAGTTCTAGTTGAAAAAGATATTTTTCGAATTCAGTGTCAAATTTATGAACTTGACCCCATGGATAAAGTTATGTACTTGAGTTTATTACTTGAGTTCATTTAGGATGTACTTGAGACTTCATTGACAAAGTCATGTACTGGAACTTATTGACAATGTTATATACTTAAGTCCATTGACAAATGTATGTATATGAGTTCATTGACATTAGTTATGTACTTGAGTTCATTGACCAAGTTTTTCTCTTAGTGTTTAAGCATGATATTATTTTACCATTTCAGGGAGTATCCATGTGATCATGTTGCCATGCTGAACCTTGCCATTCTAAATGTGGGAAATCCACGAATGCCAACACATGAGACTGCTGTACAACTGCTCCACTTACTGGACCGGAGGTTCTTCCAGGAAGAGTCAGTTCTTCGTGACAACAGTGAGCAACATCAGGCATTAAATGACGTGTTTTTGTCTGTCTCCTACTGCAAGTCACAGATGTTTATGTCAGATCAGCTAGCTAGACTTCATCCAGATCTGACCATGCCAATATTTTCAGGTAAAGTTTATATTTTCCTTTCAGTTAGTTGCTTTGTAATAAATTTTAAATAATTTCAATCAATATGCTTCATACCACTGATGGTTTGATATTTTGACCGGAGACCTTGCGTTCATACACATGAGGAACCTGTCTTGTGTAAAAACATACTACAACTAGGATTCAAACTAAAACACTTTAGGTTCTTATACCAAACACTCTATCTACTGAACTAAACTCTCAAGTGATAACTTGACTTCAAAATTTATAATAATAAGAAATTAAAATTCTACATAGAAACTGAAACCATCATCACATCATCTATAATTAAGGATAGATATTTTTGAGCTCTGATTATGGATGACTTTTTGAACTTTGTTAACCTTTGACCTTGTGATAAATTGATATTATACAAATATGGACTTTTTAGCTGTTGAATATGATGTGATATGTACTGAAAAAATTAATATTGACCGAGGCGATAGCCGAGGTCAATATTAATTTTTCAGTACATATCACATCATATTCAACAGCTAAAAAGTACATATCTGTTTTATTATATAATTTATAAATAGCTTTTATATGGCTTATCACATCTGCCATTGCATACGACGGAAATCATTATTTTTCAGCTTGTCTACTGTTTCCATAATTTGGCCCTTTCCATTGGCATGCTAATCCCTATTGTTCTTAAAAATGAGAAACGGTAACTAATATAGACTAATTTGACTCTTATGTACACCCAACTCAACGTTTTTTTCAGAATAATAACAACAAACTTGGCGTGACGTCACGTCAAAGTCCGGTGAATATACTCTGATATTGACCTGTTATTTTTTTACAAAAAGTTGCTTATTAGCCAATCAGGGAAAGGCATTTCAAAGCTATTTATAGATTATATAATAATACTTTATATTCTTAAGAAATATAGGTTATTCATGACTTTCTCTTGTATTCTTTACAGAGATTACACACAGATTTCAGACTGCTAAACCAGCAGTTAGACAAACACTGTTGAAGTATTTGTTGCCATGGTTACATAACATGGAGCTTGTTGACCCTTCATTGCCACAGAGTAACCCACTGAGTACATTCCTTATCCGTCTCCATGACAACTATACAGAAACATTTAAACCACCATTGAAAGGAGAAGGCTGGGGTTCACAGGAAGCCACCAAGATGGTTCTGAATAACCTGTTCTATATAACTGTCAAGGTAGGTATTAGAATAGAATTTATCATTGTTCTATCACTGAATCTATAAGAAGTGAGTTCTGGGATTGCAAAAGACTTACTCCAGAATTAAAAATATTTGGGTTTTCCCCAGCTTGGGGTACAAACAAACTTTTACAGTTACAGCTTCAAAATTAAGCGCAACAGGTTTACTTACCGAATGTGACCTATAGTGCACCATGACGCTGTAATGGTAAAAGTTTGTTTTTGCCAGGGGGAATTAGCATGAAAAAACCCACATTTGCCAAGTTCCGGATAACTAAATAATTAATAAACTAAAAGTTATTATTGAAAGAAAAATCATTATGTGTGTTAATTTATATTGAAAATTTCAAATTGACAACTTTCCATCTTTACTTGTGGAAGGAGATTTCAGTATAACCTTCATGATTAATTAACAAACAGACATGAGTATTAATATCAACCTTTTCTAATTTGCTGGTTAAGATCTATATAATCTAAATAATATTATTTACAGTTTGGAGATGACCATCCCCAGGAGCTAGAATCTCTGTGGGCAGCTCTGGTATTGTGTTGGCCAAACAATATCCGTGTAGTGATGCATTATCTAGTTATACTGATTAACATGGCTGCACCGGAACTCCTGTCTCATGTAAGGGTTTTACTATTTCATTTAAAAATAAGACTGTATCTCCATATATTGCTTGTAAGTTTGAGATTACTGCTTGTTATAATTATCACAGTCCAATTTATCAATTTAGTTGAAAAAAAAGCAAAATTCATCAATGAAATAAGTGGTTATTAGGAATGAATTGGTTTGTAATTATTGGTACATATTCTTTTATGTTCCTACGATAAGCTTTTCAGAAAGGTTGTTTCATTTTCTTTCATTTTAAAAATATACAAGTACAATTTAAACTTTTACTTTTGATACAATTCGACATTATTTCATTAAAATTTGATACATTAATTTAGAGATTTTTGATAAAAAGTATACTGAATAGATATATCTATGTAATATTTTTAATTGATGTAAGCTAAGCGTGTGGTGAATAGATATATCTATGTTATATCTTTAATTGACATAGGCTAAACGTGTGGTTGGTTATATTGGACGAGCTCGACCAGAACGACTGGTAGATGAGCTTATGGCAGAGTTACAAACAGTTGAGACATTAAATCTAAACATAGAGAGAACACAGACACCACCGTTCTTCCGTCTGTCTGTCATCAGAAGACCGACTATTGTACCTAACACAACTGATGATGAGAAATTAGAGAGTCATGTGACCAACTTGGCATTAGAGAAAGGAACGTTACACACAAAACGTCATAGTGCTAACCCTGATGATGTTCTCTCTGAAACGTAAGTATTGCAATTGAGTGAATTTAAAAGAGTAAGGCAATTAAGTGTATTTGCTTTGAAATATAGCAGGCTTTTTTGCAGATTAATGTTAAATAATTTATTATAATTACTAAGCAAGCTTTTTGCAGATTAATTTTAAATAATTTGATATAATTACCAAGTTAACTTGTTCATTCAACAGCTTAGAGTTGTAGAGTTTACATTTTTGTAACTAAATCATGCAAAACAAGACATTCTAGGATGAGTGAAAAAAATGAATTTGAAGACACTGATGACCTTTTATATTTTCCATTATTTTTTAAAGCAGGCATTACCTTGTCCACATGCCACGTTTAGCATGATGTATTGGGGTAAAATTAATGATTAAAAATGAATGGCCAAAGGGAATGATAATAGATAGTCAGTTGGATTATAGAGGGTCTTTTTTCCCATTTTCCTTATGACATATATATTTTTGCTTCAGTACACCAAGGACTGATTCAGCTCAGGAGAGTGACTCAAGTCTAGAGTCGGAGGACGAGATGTCACTGCCCTCACCTATGCGAGGAAGTTCTGAACAACGAAGAAATGAGACAAATGCACCATATCCCCTACCTATGCCAGCATATGGAGGATATTTTGCACCATTGTCAGAATATCTACCTGATAGCCTTCATCCCTCAGCAGGATTTCACAGGTAGCAAATCATCGCTTAATTTTGCTATTTGCATACATTTTACATGTGTTTTGTTAGTATGTTAGTAAATTTTTTTTTTTAAACATGTAAAATATAAGTTACTGAATTTTAGTATTTTGAAAATAAGAAAATGGATAGTTTTTGAAGTTATCAGGACTCCAAACTTCATAACTGACCTTTTTCTATGTAACTTTTACTTAAAAAGAGAACATAGTTTTAAAAAAGGAAGATTTTTTTTTGTACATGTATCTTTGATTGTCTTCAGTCTTTTGTTAAAATGAAATGATTTAATTTTTGTGAGAATATAAAAGAACAGTGATTAAAGATTTTACAGATGTGTGAAATATTTTATATTTCAAGAGCAAAATTGCCATGTTTTTGTCTTTTCTTATAAAGGTAACAATTTAAATTGTTTGAAATGTAGGAAGTACATGTAAAGATTTTGTTATTTCAGGAGTAATTATGTCAAAATGGCTTATCTGGAGGCATGTGACTTGAAAGCAGCATGCTTCCAGATTCATGCTAGTTTTCATGAAATTTTGAAAATGCTTTTAAAAGTAAAGTATTGTGAACATAGAAAGTAATTAACATATTGCAAATGTGTCTTACAATCAACATTAATTACCAAAATGAGGTCAAAATATGAAACATAGCCCTTATTGCGTTAGTAACACAGTAAAAATATGGTTTTAAATACTGTAAAATCAGTTATTAATCGCACATAACTGTTAAATTAACATGTAAATTATTAGTTGAATCTTGGATATTTTTTCTAAAGTTTGATTTCTTGAAATGATTTAGCTAATCTGGAGACATGCAGCTTTTAAGATGAATGTATTAAAGGTTTTGAAAATATCAAATACATGTAAATATTTCTATATTTCAGGAGTAATATTGCGATTATGTTTATGTCAGACCTGGTTTTAGATGGTCTGGAGATTGACTGGTCGGCTCATCTTCCCCTCATGTTACATGTCATATTCCTAGGTAAGATATTTTTTTATCCCTTAAAATGCCAAATTTATGTAATGGACTTGCCCAGCTTACCATTTTTGGAACTGTCCATTATCAATTTTGGGGATGTCAAGATGAAAATAGTAATATAATGATCGCTAGCCGAATAGGTTCAATCCCTGACAGGAGCAAGACCATGTTTCCTTGAGCAAGAAACCTACACTCATTGCTAAGTACTGGTTGGTTCCAGGAACGGATTCCATAGTGTGTTTATAAGCTAAAAGCTTCCTACACAATCTAACTATTAGAAATTCTGTATAAACTAAGATGAAAATAAATGATAGTCGGTCAACAGTTAAGAGCCTGGTCAGACTGCACGCAAAGACTAATTACTTTGAGTTCCAGTAGGTTACGGGTTAAGTCAATGCTTTATTTGCCAATATTTGTTGCAAACTAAGGAATTTATACTGAAATCTAATAAGAACTGTATTCATAATGCAGCTATGTTAATTTGATTTGACTGTGGTACAGGTTGTAGTTTCAGACATAACACAGTATTGAATGAAATTGATAAGTTGAATATATCTAGATCTTGGATCTCTATTTAGTTTTGAACATGTCTGTGGATGTTTCTAAATTCATAAATTTACCATTTCAGGTTAATTGTTTCATTCTGCTCAAGTTCTTGCTATGATTTGGTTGGTAGTTTTCACATACCAGTACCATCAAAGAGGAGTCTTAATCAAACGGAATCTGCAGTTTGACCATAGTCACGGTCCATAGTTTTCATTAAGTGATAAATTGGAACATGATCATTGTTTATTAAGCTCGTGAGCCATTTGGGATGAATTTTAAAGCAATCATAGCACTATGATAAGTGATTTACACAATGTGTTGTTTTTATGCTTGCAGGTTTAGATCACAACAAGGAACTGGTGTATGAACATTGTAAGAAGTTGTTGTTGAATCTCATGTTACTGGCAGCCAATCAAGACTGTCCTGAGGTTGCTAGGCTGTTGCTAAGTTACCAGACCAACTTAGATGATACTCTTCAACTTATCAATGAAAGTAAAGATTCATCAGCATCAGAACAAAGTATGTAATATCTGTTTAATTTTAATGATATATTCTTCTCAGTATTATAACAAATTATGTAAACATAAACAGTTGGTTGGATTTTTTTAATGCTTTTATTCAGGAATTTCTAGTATTTGTTCCGAAGAAAGTTTTTAAGGATATCGGAAGAGAAAATATTTTATTATACAATATGACTTGATTATAGAAGTACCTCATCATTACACATATATACAATATACATTTAATACAACAAAAGTGAAAATACAGACATGCAAATTTAACGTTTGGTATTATCTGTCAGATACATTATTCATTCATGTGTTCCAAATCTGTCATGTTTTGGAAAATTATATACTATTCTGTTGTTTTTTTCTTTCTTAAACGTAAGACAGTATTTCTTATGGCTGAAAAGTACTTAATCAAATAAGGGATACTTTAAAGTTATTGTGGTGTTTTTCAAACTTTTTGTGGTAAAAATTATCCATTCTACGTTGTATTTTAAAAGATTATTTTTTGTAATCTGTTTTTCTTTTTTTTGTGTGTGTAGATAATTCCAGTACAGAGGAGCAGCCAGAACCACGTCCTATATTCAGAGTTGACAGTTCTACAACACTGATGCCAGGTACACCAGGTACCCCACCCACCCCAGAACAACCATCAACCGAGTCTGTGACTGAATCAACAGATCCTGATACTCTAAACTCTGTACTAGACATTGTAAAAGTTGTCCTGGATGTGATGAGCAGAAGGTAATGTTTGTAAAGATGGAACTTTTAAGTTTGATTGTGTGTTAATTTTTTTGCGTGTTTCTGCATCAAAACAATCACTGTACTGAGCTTAAAGTTTGGCATAAGCAATGTTAAGTCGTATTTAATGGTACATGGAACTGCTATTAACCCTTAATCTGTTTGAACCAGGCTTTATACTTTTGGTAGCTGAATTTTTGTATTTTGAAATTGAACTCCCTGTAACTTTGAAAAGACTATTTCAGCAGGGTTAAGCCAATAAAGAACAGGGTAAAGGTTTACTATATAAAAAAAAGAAATGTTTGATAAAGGAAATTTTTAATATAAAAAGCTTTAATATTTTTTTTAGAAAAGAAGTAAATGCAATGTTCAGTTTAAATTTTTCAGGAGAGGTCGACCACTTTGGTGCTATGAGGACATTACTCCTAAAACTCTTATTACTCAGAGTGCCGAGCAGCTTGAGAATCTTCTACGATTTATTGTCAAGTTCTTTAAATATCTGTCACCCCTAGCATTGGTAGAGCAACGATGGTCACAGGTTGCTATGCAACTAGCATTATCATGCTCTTCCAGGCATTATGCTGGAAGGTCATTCCAGGTAAAAATTATTTCTATTTATAGAATGTTTCTTGATTAAAGTTTGTATATACAACATATAGTACATAAATGAAATGTTGCCATAAATACATCAATGAAATGTTGTTTCAACAATTCCTTTACAATGTTATTGTGCTATGTTTTTTTGGCTGAATTTAAAGTTTCACAGACATTGTTAATGTTATCTGGCTACTTACCTGTCTAATGGAGAAGGACCTCAGGATATTTTACCTTGTGTAACATACACATCTGATCTCATTCAATTTAATTGATGTAGGTACATAGTAGAAACATGTATAGATACTAAAAAAGTTTTTCTATATTATCTAGGTACTGAGAGCTTTACATATAAGACCATCCTCACAGATGCTTGCTGATATTTTATCAAGACTGGTGGAGACTGTTGCTGAACAGGGGGAGGATATGCAGGTGAAATAAATCTTCAGTTTTACATTCATTATTAAGTTTTTAGCTCACCTGAGCTTGCTCAGGGTGAGCTTTTAGGATCGGTGAATGTCCGTCGTCCGTCCGGCCGTCCACAATTGCTTGTGAACACTCTAGCGGTCGCATTTTTTCCTCAATCATCATCAAACTTGGTCAGTATGCTTATCTAGTTGAAAGCTCGGATGAGTTCGAACATGGGTCATCTCGGATGAAAAACTAGGTCACAAGAGCTAAAAATAGAAAAACCTTGTGAACACTCTAGAGGTCACATTTTTGACCCAATCATCATCAAACTTGGTCAGGATGTTTGTCTAGGTGATAGCTCAGATGAGTTCGAACATGGGTCATCTCGGATGAAAAAGTAGGTCACAGGAGCTATAAATAGAAAAACCTTGTGAACACTCTAGTGGTCACATTTTTTAACCAATCATCATCAAACTTGGTCAGAATGCTTGTCTAGTCAATTGCTTGGATGAGTTCGAACATGGGTCATCTCTGATGAAAAACTAGGTCACAGGAGCTAAAAATAGAAAAACCTTTTGAACACTCTAGTGGTCACATTTTTGACCCAATCATCATCAAACTTTGTCAGGATGCTTGTTTAGATAATAGCTCAGATGAGTTCGAATATGGGTCATCTCGGATGAAAAACTAGGTCACCGGAGCTATAAATAGAAAAACCTTGTTAACACTCTAGCAGTCACATTTTTGCATCAATCATCATCAAACTTGGTCAGGATGCTTATCTAGTTGGTAGCTTGGATGAGTTCGAACATGGGTCATCTCGGATGAAAAAGTAGGTCACCAGAGCTAAAAATAGAAAAACCTTGTTAACACTTTAGCGGTCACATTTTGCATCAATCATCATCAAACTTGATCAAGATACTTGTCTAGGTGATAGCTCGGATGAGTTCGAACATGGGTCATCTCGGATGAAAAACTAGGTCACAGGAGCTAAAAATAGAAAAACCTTGTTAACACTAGTGGTCACAATTTTGACTCAATTGTCATCAAACTTGGTCAGGAAACTTGTGTAGGTCATTGCTGGGAATAAATCGAACATGGGACATCTCGGATGAAAAACTAGGTCACAGGAGATAAAAATAGAAAAATCTTGTGAACACTCTAGTGGCTACTGTTGTGATCCAAATATTCTGTTAATTGGTCTGAAAGTTTGTTTTGATGATTTCTAAGTCAAGATCGAACATGGGTCATCTTGGATGAAAAACTAGGTCACACCGCCCAAATATGGAAAAACCTTGTTAACATTCTAGTGGTCACATTTTTCGACTCAATTATCATCAAACTTGGTTAGGATGCTTGTCTAGGTAATTGCTTGGATGAGTTCGAAATCGCATGTGAAACTAGGTCACCGGAGCTTAAAATAGAAGAATCTTGTTTACACTCTAGTTGCTACTGTTTTGATCCAAGTATCCTGGAAATTGGTCTGAAAGTTTGTTTTGATGATTTCTAGGTCAAGTTTGAATATGTGTCACCTGGGTAAAAAACTAGGTCGCACTGCTCAAATATGGATAATCCTTGTTAACACTGTAGTGGTCACATTTTTGACTCACCTGTCATGAGACTTGGTCAGAATGCTTGTCTAGGTAATTGTTTGGATGAGTTTGATAATTCAGGTGAGCGATCTAGGGCCATCATGGCCCGAGTATAGTTCCTTTAATCAATTTAATATCCAGATTTCTAGAGTTTCTCTATCCTATTAAATATCCATATTTCTAGATGTTTTTATTTAAGAAAGACTTGGGAACCAATGCATATAAATAAGGTATTGTAGTACTTAAATCTGTTGAAACTATTAATGGAATGTTCTGACTTCAAAGCAAAAGAAGTCATGTCTTACAGAATAAGGGCTTTCTTCAGTTTACATTACTTCACATAATATTTTCATTGTTTTTACAAAAAAAGGCCTTTACTTGTATCTTTCAGGGTTATGTGACTGAAATTATTCTTACTCTGGAGGCTGTAGTTGATAATGTTGACCTTGAGATTAGACCTATCGATTTCATGCGAGACATCTTCATGTCTACACCAAATTTGGCACAGAGCCAAGTGGGGGCGGAGTCAAGAAGAGGTGTTTTGATGGCACCAAAAACGCAGCCCTATCAGCAGCAACATATGCGCAGTATTAGCTATGCTGCACAAGGTGTGGCCAGTAAAGTATCAAGCAGTAAGTCTCTTTGTTTTAATCAGTAATGAATTTATCAGCATAATGGGTACTTTTAAAAAGTTTAAGCTTCATACATAATGCTTTATAGTAAAGTTACATGTTAGATATTTTGTTATAAAGAAGCGTCATGTTGTAAAAATTATGTTCTATGAATGTTTGAAAGTAGATACCTTAAAAACTTTACAAACTTGATTTTTTTTTGGAATTTTGAGTCTTTATTGGGATAATAACTAAGAATCTAATCATGTAAAAACAATTAGAATGATTCTCTGACTGCAAGAATAAAACTATGTTCATCAATCTTTATACAGTGATTGGTACAATTATGAAATCTACAGGAAAATTATTAACCACTATGGTATTAATTTCAGTATTATTAGGGTGAGAAAAAAAGTAATGAATAACTAAAGGTACATATACATGTATATCTGTAACAGTGACAGATGCTAAAAATAGAAGTGGTACGGATCTTGAAATGCGGCTAAAAGCAAATGTCCCAAGGTCTCGTAGTGAGAAAACATTGAAGAATACAGAACAAGGTGTCGAGGATAAGTTGACCATCATGACTCAGATGTTCTGGATTGCTGTGTCCCTGCTGGAGTCCGACTACGAGTATGAGTTTCTACTGGCAACCAAATTGTTGGATAAAGTAAGTTTATTCTGGCAAATGACGTATCATGCTGGCATTCTTTGAGGAAGTGAGAGCATGCTGTTTTGCATATGTCATATTGTTCTCAGTAAAAGAACAGAAATTATATTGTAGGTCAAAGTTCAAAGTCTTGATGCGTATTATAATTAAAAAAGAAAAATAAAGAATCCTTCACAATAGTTTGAGATATAATATTTATCCTTTTGATTGAAATAAAGCCCACAAATAGATACATTAACTTTGTGGTAATATTATCTACACAGAGACTAGAAGACTTTTATGGTTCAAACAGATTTTCCAGAAGACAAAATGTATAAATGTATAGATGTGTTGTGTTATTATGAAAAGGGTTGATAAAAATGAACTTCAAATGTAAGAATACATTATACAGCTAAGAGATACTTTATGATAAGTTATCTTCTTCTACAATAATGGCTCTGTTCATTTATAATCAGTTATGGCCAGGATTAGTCATTTCATAATGTTTCATTGTAAACTTACAGATATTACAGCACTTGCAGCCAGACAGACCAGAGTGTAGGGAGAAACTGGAGAAGATACAACAACAAATTAAATGGACCAACTTTCCTGGTGTACAAACACTGTTGCTTAAGGTATTTACCCTTTAACCCCCGTGTATTACAGAAATTATGTGAAATAAACTTGGCCTTCTTTGAATTTCCTAGGTCTGTTTGAGAGTTTGGTCAGTTTTAGAGATTTTAATATGATAAAATTAAGTTAATCAGTCAACAAAATGGTGTGTGGCTCCATTTTAGTTGCAAAAGTCATATTATTACTGCAAATATAATGTAAAATACAAAATAGCTTGTAATTTTAGAAAATAAATATCAAGTTTTAGTCATTTGTAATTACAGAACTTAAGAATTTAACACGATCTCTTGAAATATATTATCACAGATATATGAAATATTATCATGTCCTCATTTGAGTAGAACATATTTTATACAACATTTTACTATTTGCTCTTTTTGCTATAAAAATGTAAATATATTACACTTTTATGTTACAGGGTTGTACATCACAGATTGCAGCAGAAAGTACATGGCAGCTACTGACCAGGTTGACAGTCTGTATTAACTCCTCTGTTGTAGATCCTACAGGCAGCCATGGTAAGTTTTTTGTTTAAAAGTTTTGAAACATTGTGAAACTTGAAGCATGTTTGTCATCACACCATTGATAATACAGCCATGATAGAAAATTGATTTCCGAATCCTTAGAATAATCTGTTCCTTATTTATAATTGATCAGCTTCAATGTAGCAGATTTTGATGAAACTTCAAGTGGAATGATGATAACCGCAACCAGATTTGCAAATCCAGTGATATTAGTGTGCTGTATACTTTCGTGTCATATGATAGTGCCATCTCATAATTTGAATCAATAATGTAGTAGCTTTGCATTAGTATTTTTTCCAAGAAAGAAACTTATCTTTGGAGCTTATGTAACTTGGGTGGGTTTTACCCATCTGAATTGCCAGCCTGAAATAATGCATTGATAAATGGCTAAAGTAACACATGACCAAAATGAGGTATGATTACAGATATCTGAGGTTTATTAAATAGCAAATAGTGTCGTCCCCAAAGTTGTGATGTTTATTATGTTGAAAACTTCTGTTATAATACTTTATCTTATTACTTGTTTTTACTTATTGTATGTAAGTATAGGAGGAAACAAGAAGTGTTTAACAGGCTATATACCATGTTTCATATTTTGCAGGTTTTCCCATGAATGTGATAGCTCTGTTACCATACTTGGTTCATCATTATGAAAATCCTTCTCAGTTGTGTAGAGACTCTGCTGACCATATTTCACAGGTTCGTTTAGAATTATGTGAATATTTTATAGCTGGACAAAACCATACTTATAGCCAGTACAAAATAAAATTTAAAGAATTAATGACTAAAGGCTTATATATATTTTGTACATATTTGGAAATTGAAGTGGTAATAAAGTAGTGATACTTTTAAGAGAGTATTTTCATTAAAATATTTCTCTTAAATATGATAGTCTTGAAGTAGCGCAGAATTAAAGTTATTTTAACCTTTTAAATACTAGCGACAAAATGTCTTGTTTGTGCCAATAATATAGAGTAGGGCCTGCCTTTTAATCTGGTAAAAATCCATACTTATGTCTTAATAAAGTGAAATAATCAATAATTGAAGGTCCTTATACATTGAATAATTATTCTGAAAATATTTAGTATTAGGCATGACAAAGAACTGTGACAGAATCATACTTGGAAAATGTTGGCAAATGTGAGATGTGGGATATTTCATATATATTTATATGGCAGATAGAACAAAATATTATTATTAATCATATAAATATTCATTCTACATCACTTAAAACTTTATCAACATTATTTTCAAGCAGCATTTCATAAGAATATCCAAATGATACATTGCTATTGTTTTTATCAATATTTGAAATAATTATAGAAAATGGGGCACAAGTCCTTTATTGTTTTCTCATCTGATGTTATTGATTACATTTTTTGTATTTTTATATTCACAGATTTGTGCTCAGAAATCAGACAGATTAAATAATCTGGGCACAGTTATGTCCCTTTACAGCAGAGGAACATTTGGTAAAGACAGTTTTCAGTGGACTAAATGTGTAGTGAAATATTTACATGATGTGTATGTACAGGCCAGTGTTTCCATGGTTTCTTTTCTTGTAGAGGTAAGTTTATTCTTTGAACAGGAAAGTTGACATCCGTTTGAGTGTTGCTTTAATTAATTCTGAAAATCTGAGAGTGAGCTTTGTTTGTGTGAAAGACGAGAAAAAGATGCATCGTAGCTCATGTATGTGGTACAGTAAGTTATGTGTTTGATGCAATAGGTTTTGTGTGTTTGGTACAGTGAATTCATTCAAGAAATTCAGCATGTAATGGGTAAATTATAAGATATAGACAGAAAACTATTTCTGACCTAATTTATAAATAAAAAAAATATTTTAATTATAATATATATACAAACAAAAAATAGCTCAGACTTAGTTGGTAGATAGTGAGATTCCATAATCATAACATAGAGACAGCTTTGAAACTCTGAGTTAGTTTGTATTATGAAGTTTCGTGAATGGAAGATATATAGACTAAAGGGTACTTCATTGAGATACCTGAAACAATGTTATTATTTCTACATGAAACCATTTCAGTAGAAAAGAGTATATATTTTTATAATGGCATTATTACATTTAATGTTGTATATTACAGGTGCTAGAAAAAGGTCCTCATAGTTACCAGTTAGCAGTATTACAGATTTTACATTGTATGGTACATTATATAGATTTAAATACTCAGCCATCTGTTGTTCTCAACCAAGAATTGTTCTACACGGTCTCCAAACATGTTCAGGTAATTGTTTACACTAACATTTTAAATCAGAATCTACATTGAAATCAAAAAATAACTTTTAGTATATGTATGTGGTTTTAATGAAATTGGCCCTTAATGCTTATTGACTTGTTTATTTACTTAAACGTATTTACTAATTCTTGTACAACGATATTCATACAATATGTTATAATCAGTTTCGTATTGTTTTAGGAGCTATTGTGCCTTCTTTCACTGACATTCGACCTGAAATTGTCTCTACACAATCCCACTGACCTAAATTTACCACTGACTTATAAAGGTGTCATGAAGGGTATTTTTAGCCAGTTGTTACCCCGAAACTTACAGCTTATAGTGACTGATGGCAAAGAGTAATTTTTGTATTCAGTTTTTAACAAAAATATAAACCTTAGGAGATTAGAAGTTTAGATGAACTCGTAAAGAAATATCTGTTAAATATGAAAATGGTATTTTTTTTAGAAATAAATAAAGTTATAATCTAGTCATAAATAGATCTTGAATGTTTGCATTTCATTCTGTTGTATGTGAATTATTAAAACTTGAAATATTGAATTCAGGGTCCCCATTGGAAAGAAGCAATAAAGATATTAAAGCTTGCAGTGGCCAGGTCTTCAACACTTACAGCAGCTGCTTCTAGTACATCAGAACAGACGTACGCTCTACATAGATCTCTAGCCGAGATTGATGTTCTACATAAGAAAGAGTTGCCAGGTAAAATGACCATTTTCTTCAGTGCTTTGTTAATGAATACACAAAAGCTATTTTCTTGGCTTTAAAATTGTTAGGTTTACTATTGAAAGAATAAGGAGAGCTATTGTACTCAGCTAAGTTTTTGTTTGCAAGTAAGTATCTCAAAAACTACTAAAGGGAATGTGTTGGAACTTCACATACCTATTTGAGAGCATGATAGGAGGTCACTGTTAAAGGTCCCTAACATTGCCATGGATTTTGAAAGAATTATAGCCTTTCTTGACATAGAACAATTATCCATGCTCATGTTTTACTGTCATGCCCTGAGAATAGTCCAGCACACTCCTACCTACAGCTCTTGTTAAATTAATTCACTAGAAACAGACCCTTCATTGTAATGTAATTTGAAATGATCAACTACCAATGTTTAGCTGGACCATACCTTATTTCAATTTATACATCAATTTGTTAGTGGAAGGGCATAAAGGAAAGACTACTGTTTTACTTCTTCAAAACATTCTTATATCAAAGTGTGTGATGTTGATTTCTTAATTTTTTAAACATTTTCTCTTTAATTAAATATTTGTACTGAACATAGACATTTATTCATCAATTAAAAGAATTTAGATGACAAGTTCTTGCTTATGAAATATTATTTAATATTTATGTTGGAGAGTATTATCCTTGAGATTTTTATCAATATGCGTACTTGGTTATATAACCCTTGTTTCGTTGACCATTTATTTTGCTTAAATGAAATTTAATGATTTGGCTGCTGCTTTAAATGCCATTTGTATATTACACATATAGGCAGAACCCTTGACTTCAGTGTTGATCTATCTGGCACTTCTATCATTGGGAGGAAGTACTTAAATCAAGAATTACATGGTTCCCCTCACAGTGATACAACTACACCTAGTAATCAGTCATCTCTGAGTAGGAAGGGATCCGGTAACGAGGCTGATACTTGCTGGAAGAAACCACAAAATTCACAGGTATGGTCTTCAATTGTTCTGTTATCTAAGGCTGTATCATTGTATGTTATGTCCGAAATTATTCATTTTGAAATCCCAAAACAATTGTGGAATACATGTTGTTAAATCATGTAGTGAAAGTCTTAAATTGACACATAACGGAGTAAATCATAATCACAGTAATAAAATAAGTGAAACACCTTATCTGAAAACCCAGAAATTACAGAAAAAGCTGTTGTATTGTAAACCTAAACATTCACATGAAGTCAGAAATTATAATAAAATCATTAAACTTTAGATATTCTGGCACATCAGACTGGTGTTTCCATATTTTTATCCATGCTGAAACAACGAGTTGCGTGCTATACAACAGCGTCATTTTAGAGCATTTTATGAATGAAACATGTAAAAATAAAGTCATTTTGGTGTATTTAAGAATGGAACTCCATTCTGTCATTTTGCCATTATGAATGACATTGTATATCCAAATGCTGTTGTAAGAAAATAACATTAAAGGACATTTCCATGGAAAATGGTTTTATTTAAGAATTTAAGATATGATAGAAGATGGTAGAATATACAAGAAAAAATATCTCACATATGTTAACTATTTCTACTAGACAAATTGAGCAACGCCATTTACAAACATGTTCACAAAATAGAATTTAATGCTCAGTAGTAATCAACAGAATGAAAAGAAGTGATAGACATGTACGCCTACTAAATTTAATAGTTAAATGCAAAAAAGGTACAACTTCTTTCTATCTAATGATGTATGTCTATATATGAAATTAAATAGATGTTGATTTATTTATAAGTTCATTTCCTTCATCAAATATTCCAAAATAATGAATCTAATCCAGCTTGTAGACTTGAAGAAAGTTGTTATAACTTTCATCATCAGAGGAGCAGCTTAGGTATACAGTACTTGTCTCGGGGCATGAGCAAATAGCTTCTAGACCCATGTGATGTTGCTTTATAACCTTTCCCGTTAAACAGTCTTCTGATATCTCCACTAAATCATCTCCCTGCCAGTCACAGGCATAGACAGTACCATCGTCTGACAGTGCCATACCTCTAGGTTCACCCAAATCACCATAGCTACCAGTCACCTCACCTTGCCAGTTAAATCTTGTAACTGATCTCATTTTGCTATCAGACACATAGATAGAACTTTCATTGGCTTTGACATAAACAGGATGGCTAAGAATAGATTCTTCCTGAAGTGTTTTCAGTACGGTTCCATTTCTATCAAGAATCATGAACTTAGCTGGATTGCAGAATGACACAACCAGTTTACCTTGGTAACAGCTTATACCGTGACATTTCCCATCAACCTTCAAATTGTGCTTCATCTGCAGTTTGTTCTTAGAGACTGATAAAAATTGAATAGTTTGTATTGCTGGCAGTGTGACAGCAAGTTCTGCACCTGTTACCATGGTGATATCATGTGGCGGATCCTCCAGGTGTACTTGATCAGTGACAGATTGACTTGTGGTATCTACCAGTTTGACAGCGTTATTTGTTTCATCAGTGATGATAAGAATATCAGGAGTAAAGACAGTCATCCCAGTTATACAGCATGCATATTTATCTTTAGATGTTTTCACACAGATTTCTCCCTGATGTGAAGCATGTCTGGATTTTATCTGGGCAGTGTTTTGAAAACCTTTTTTGTTTAAATTTTTGCCGGATATTTCACCCAGCGACTTTTCTTCTTTGAGCAGGCTTGATAGTGTATTGCTTGGCTTAAAGCTGAACTGACTTAAATCAAAATCTGTTTGATCAAGAAAGCTTCTCTTGGTTTCTTCAATCATTTGGTTTGCAAGTTTGAGTTCCATGAAGAGTTTGTCGGCTTGTTTAGATGTGTTAAGGTATTGGATAGAATTAAATGATGTCATCATAGATTGGGAAATATCGTTCCATGCCCTTTCAACTGTCTTTATATTCTTTTCATTCTGTTCTTGAATTGCAATGGCCTCATCTTCAACTGCTTTCTCCAATTCATCCAACCAGTGATTGACTTCTTGTCGGAACTTCTTGATATCTGCCAATACTTCCGTCAAGGAACTATCAGATTTTGCTGTCATTTTCTTTATGTCTTCTGTTCTCTTATAAAATTGGTCGGATGCAGTCTCCATGGCTTTCAGCATGTCTTGATATTCTTTGCTGTTGATGACCTGCTCAGAAATATCTGGTATGTAGTTGACTTTACAAGTACCGTTGTGTTTAAGGGAAACACATATACGACAGAGTATAACTTGATGGTCATTGCAGAAGAATTTTATGACTTCCTTGCCATGTTTAGGACAAGGTTCTGTTAGGTCATCAGAATTCTGTTGGACAGCCATAACTAATCTGAAATATATGAAATATAACATACAATAATAATTATAATAAAAGGTTTGTTATAAAAATATTTAAAAAATATACCTTTTTAATGAAATGTGGTGCTATATCAGTCAAATATATTTTTTTTAAATAAATATGAAATATAAATAGGAAAGAGGGTGGAGTCAAAACTCATATTTATTTTAAGGGACTTCTTTCGCCATTTTGCTTGAAAAATCTGATAAATACAAAGCAATTTTTTGTTGAATTTTGTTTTGAAAACTTTCTAGAATGATAGAAAATGGTCTAACTAAGAAAATAAATCCGAACACCAATATCTTCAATTCATTTATTAACGCTGTACAGATGTTAAAAGAGTTGTTTACGTGACGTGACAAAGTATCGCCAAAAAGACGCGTCTAAAAATAATATATAACTGCGCGCTGTATTATTGCAGTTGCGTAGCAAGCAAGGGGATTCGTAATCATTTTTCTTTGCTAATGAAATTAAATAAAAAGGTTAGTTTTTCATTTTCGTGAAATATGGTATATATTTTCACTCCACATTATAAAATGCAACATATTTTCACTCGCCGTCCCGGCTCGGGGAAAATATGTGGCATTTTATCATGTTTCGTGAAAATATATTCCACACTGAAACGAAGAAATATCCTCTTAAGAACAATAAAATGTAACAAGTTATTTGCAATATTTTCATCCTATATTAAATTATGTGTCATATACATTCCAAACTTAAGTTACATGTACTTTAAACTTCATTTAAATTAAATGATTCAGAAGGACATTGTTTTAAAAAATGACTAACTGAGAAGGTCATATTTTGCCATTAAGACTTGCTCAAGTATACTGCAAATTTTTGCCCCTCTTATCTGGTTTTTTTTTCCATTCATAAATATAATAAAATAAAAATACTTGAAAATAACAGCTTGCTGAAGGAATAAAACCAGTGCTGTAATATTTGTAATAAAAAATAACTATTATTAATGAATTATTATAAAAAAATTTAAGAATATTACCTTTTTATGTCCTGAGGTTTTATTCAAAATTATATTCAAAATGTTTCACAATGTTGACTTTTATATTATGCAAAGATAGGTTAAAGCTATTATTTCCACCTTGATTGTAAAGTTGGCTATTGTCCATAATATATAATGTAGTTTGATATCTTGTATTAAGCAATTGTCAATGCATTGTTTTATATCTGTGGTAAATATATTTAAGTTTAAGAAAAATAAAACAATTAATGATTAACATTGATGAATAGGTCATTGATCTTGATATTTAAAGTTAAAAGAAAAATACTGAATTATAGCTTTGATAGACGTGTCTTAACAACTAGAACAAAATCCTAGTCTTAAGAAAAATTGTCTGCATAAGATATATTTGTTTATTTTACAAGTTGAAATCTATTTAATAAACTTCCAGTGTTTGCACCACATGATGATCATTATTGGATCTAGCCTTGTCAATTTACAGTTTTTTTTCCCAAAAAAATCTTATTTCAAATCCATATTGTATTCTACCTAGCATTGTCCAAAAAATCATATCAAATCGATAGTGTACTCTGTCTAGCATCGCTTTCATTTTCCGAGTCCAAGAAAGCCATATCTAATCTATATTGTACTAGAAATAATAAAGATCTGTCAAAATGTTGTATATTAGTGTTGAATAATATTATAACATTATACATTGTTGAATAGTATAGTGATTTTATTCCATTATTCAATGATTTTATTGGGCACATACACAGTTGCAAAACCTGTATTGGACTCAGCTAGTACATAATCTAATATAGGTTTGACAGATGTGAACACATCCAATAGAATTCAGTTTTGTACTGAACAATTTATGATTATTATCATTGGGCGGGTCCCCTCGAGACGGATTTTCCAATCCAAAACGCAAACATATGTAAGATATTTTTCCTTGCATATTCTACCATATTCCATATATTATAATTTAAACTCTTTACCTTCATAAAACAATTTTCCATGGAAATTTATATCATTACACCTGTAACTTGTTTCTTACAAAAGCATATGAAATTACAAATTCATTAAAACAGTAAAATTACGTCATTCTACACATGTCATCACACGACAAGAAAACCTTATACTATGATTATGTGAATGATACTTGATGTTATTGTTTTGATTTGCCACATGTAAATAGTAAAGTCTCATGAATATGAAGTTACTGACATGCCGTAGAAAACTGACCAGTCATGAATGATCAGGACAGTGTCTTAGTACAACAAGACTAAAGTAAAGGACAGGTCATCATAGGTCAAGGATCAAATATTTTGCCTTAACTATACTGTGAATTGTTCTTATGTCTTTCTTTCTTTATTTATGTAGACATTAATTTTGTTGTCATGTTCAGACAAATTGGGACATTTCACTTAAAGTTGACTTGTTTGTTGTATAGCATGTATTATTTATTTATCATTTTTTCTGTGAACTTAAAAGGGAATATCAAATTAGGCTGGTATCATGAACATTGCAAATGATGATTAATATCACACAAAAAAAAGATATCTAACTAAGTTACATTGTAAGCACGTTGATGTTTAATGTATTTCAGGCGAGAACAAGAGAGAGGCTCACAGAACTGCTGGCATGTTATGGTCAAAAGAGGTTACCAAAGAGTCCATCTGTAAGTAGCATGGTACTAGGATACTTGTTATTTATATATGATCATTTGATATCTAGTTTGTTTACAAGTGGTAAAACAGTGTTGTGTGTAGTGTCAAACCTGTTTTAAAAGGCCACTGTTGAAACAAGGGAAAAGATAGATTTATTAACAAGTTATTTCTTCAAATTTATAAAATATATGATTATCAATTTTTTAAAAAAAAAATTGGGCCGGGGGAAGGAGTGGAGCAGGACTGGGGCATAAGGTGAGGATTTCTCATGGGAAAGATCTTTACATAATCTTTATGACAGGTTTGACTGTATTGATTTTAATATTTGAAAGCAGGCAGATGGATGATAGTCCAAAAATTATTGTTTTAATAATTTTATAGTCTAGGTGAACATGCATGTTATAATGTGAACACTATAGAAAGGAATACACTATTTAGCATACATGGATTTTGTTTTGCCTGAACATATTTAAATTTAGAATTTATTATCAAGCTTAAAAAGAACCATTATATTTGAATGTTTATATTTCTGCAAATAAAGGAACTCTCTTTGATGAAGGTAAGAAACTCAATACAAACAATTATTACACATATCTTCCATGTAGAAGGGGTATATTGTTTTGCTCAATGTCGGTTGGGATTTTTTTTTCAAACTTAATGTAACATTTGTTCTTGTTTAAAAGGTAACCTTTATTATTTATTTTTGGGTGTATAGGTCAAAGGTCAAGGCTGCTTTAAGTATATGTACATAAAAACTTTAAACATTTTCTGAACAATAAGTTTGAATGCTAAAAGGATATCACTACTAAATAAATCAGTCTACTGAACAGTTTTTGGACTGACGTTTCTGGTGTCACCAAAATAAATGTCAAGGTCATAATGGGTTCAATGCTAAAAATAACCTTTATACATTAGAACATGACAGACTGTTGTTTTGATAGTCTATTGATGCTGGTTTAAGCAAAAGGTCAAAGTTCACTATGAAATTAGATGTGAACTGTTATGGGTCAAAGGTTGAGGAAAAAATAGACACATACTTTGTTTTTGTAGAAAACTTTGACCTTTTTGCACATGCATACAATGTGATGTGGTTAGAAATAAACAAGATCACTCAGATGACCACTGTATTCTTTTTTTTTTAGTCAGCTGATAAATATTCTAGGTTAAGATAAAAGAATTAATGAATGAAGATTAGCAAAATATTTAAACAAGTATTAAATAAGTTTTTTTACATAGACTCTTTGTTGATTCTAACTTTCTGTGCCAAATTTATTGGTGTTTATTTAAAGAGGCTATTTTAAGGAGCATACATGTACATATTTCTACAAATATTTCCTGTAGACATCTGGACTCTGTATATTTGTGCATGATTACATTTAGATATCTCTATTTAAGTTATGACAGTCTCTGACAGAAATTAATTTTTGCCATTTAAATACTCTAACAAAGGAGATGCTTCTCTAAAAATGAATTGAGTGCAAAGGCATTGTCTTTTCTGTAATAAAGTAATTGAAAAGCTTTTGTGGAATAATAGAGAGGGACTAATATTGACTAAAATGCAAGTCTTGAAAAGTAAATAATGATGGATTACAGTTAGAACACTGCACTGTTTAGTGTTTGAAATTATTTTGTGTCCAATAGGATTGTAGTATTTCAAATAAATCAACTGTTTATAAAAATAATTTAAAGCATTAAGCTGGTTAAAATTCATCAGTACGTAATTACACAATTAAATTGGTTGTGCCCGGCCAATTTAATTTTGTAATTACATACTGATAAACTTTAACCTGTACTTTATGTCTATTAATTTGCAGAATATGTATTAAAGATTTAAGGAGCTTTAGTAAAAAGGAATGGATTTTGTTACAGATGGCTTTTTAACATAGAATAACAATAAGCATAGTGACTAAGTAGTTTGGTTTATAATATTATAAATATGTAAATATTTTACTCAATGGGGGAAAAAATTTATATGAAATTACTTATTTTAATGAAATAATGTAAGTAAAACAAATATTTAAGCTATGAAAAATTGATTATGATAAATGCTCAGGAAGCATGTATTATATTTAAAAAAAATATGCAAAAAAAAAAATTATGTGTAAGACTGACATTTTGAAATAATTCCATTTGCCATATTATCTTAAAAAATATGCTACACAAACATAGGAAAAATGAAATGTTAGTATTTTCTTGTTACCAATTCACCATCATCACTTCTTTGTAAAGTAGTTTCATATTTTGTTTTATCTATTTTCAACCTTAATGCATTTTTGGAAAGTTATAAAATTATGTTAAAGAGTCCTGGAAGTTCCTTTTGTTTGCAATGTTTTACCCTCCACAACAAAGGTGTATGTTACTGCTTGAAACCATGGAAACGGGGTTATGTTTATAATCAAGAAAGAAATAAAAACCATTAAAAAATATAAACCTGTATTCATGAATACCTGTATTTATTCTAGAATTATAATATATTGATGCTATGTTACAGTTTGGAATTAAGGGTATTTTCAGTGATTTTTTTTGGAAAAAATTATTCTGTTTCTTTTATTTTCCAGTTACATTTTCCTGTTCATCAAGATTTATTTAATATGAGAATAATAATTCTTGATCTTTATATACTAGTAGATTTTTTTTCACTTTGTATGATTTATAATGCTCAAGCTGTTTTACTCTATCAAAAGGTCTCATTGCAAAACTTTTGTCTATTTTATTTCATTTTCTCCATGGAAAAGTGCACATAATCCCCCCAGGGGCACTAGTTGGAAACCATGTGGTACATATTTAAAAGACACTTTGCCTTGAGACCTTGAAATAAAATATGTAGTCACAAAATGATCAGATTTCATAAAATAATCACTCACTTTAGTTGTTATTTAGTTGTTTCTTCTACAGCATTCTTTTTCTTTTAAAATAGATTTATTTCTCAGTCAATTATATGATCATTTTGTTATGTTATACAACCCATGAAAGACATATAACTGGTTAAACTGTACAGAATATGGCCTTTATTCAAAATTTTATATAGAGTTGCTGCCCTTTATAAAACTAATTCAGAGTTATGTCCCTTTGACATTTTTACTTTTAATATTTGCAATTTGTTACCTTATTAAGACTAGATTGATTATTTTATTCTACTTTAGTTTCTCCTAGTTTTACTCATTTGTATAATTAAGTAAAAAAAAAATAAGAAAAAAATAGTAAAATGCTGTAATTATAACCACAAAAATGTATTTAAGTTATTGATATGCGGCTTAATATGTCATCAATTAAATAGATTTTATTCTATAGAATGTAGAAATAATATGTAAAATCTTTAGAGTTAACAGTTTTATATAATTATGCATTGAGGTTTCAGGGGCAGCATAGTTTTTTACAATTTGATAAATGGCATTGCTCCCATGAACTTAAAGATTCATTTTGATTTATGTCAAACAGGGTTTAACATTTATATATGGTATATTATTATGATAAACCCTGTTATATGGTATATTATTGTTTATGTATATGGGATGTTATTTTGCAAACCCAATTATATATTATAATAAAGTTTATGTATGTGGAATGTTATTTTACAAACTCTATTATATGGTATATTATAATTGTTTATTTATATGGTATGTTATTATACAAATCCTATTAAATGGTATATTACTGTTTATGTTACATGTATATGGTATGTTATTATACAGATGCTATTATATGGTATATTGTTATTGTTAATTATATATGGGATGTTATTTTACAAACCCTATTATATTATTGTTTTTGTATTACTGTATAATTTTTTTTTATATAGATTGTAATTTTATGAACCCTATTATATGGTTTATTATTGTTTATGTATATGCTATGTTATTTTATATGGTATATAATTATACAGAACTTGTTATATGGTAAATCACTATTTATATTTTAGGTAATATTCAGCCAGTCCAGTGATACCCTGGATCATCAACAGAGTATTGCATCAAGTGGGGAAGATTCTATACCAGACATTGCACAGTCATGTAAGTTTCCTATGTATGGTAATCGGTTTAGTTGTGAAAATCAAGGCTGGAATTTTAAATTTGCACATTTTAAAAATGCAAGTTCTCTATGTTGAAGTGAAATTTAAACTTTAGCTCTGACCATTCCACACGAAGTCTGCAAACTTCCATAATACAAGATTTTCACAAGGTATTTTATCCAGTGAACAATATAGAATATATCCTATTATCAACATTTAAAGAATTGAAATATGTTGCATTTACCAATTGGAGACTGTGAAATAGTCCTAATTGTGTTTCATTAAATATTTTTTGATGAAGATGAGATTATTAAATTCCATTAAATTGTTTTTTCAGCTGATGGTATATACAGTGTGGACAGTAACGGGTTAGACATGGTGAAAATGACAATCAAGAACTTTGACTTCCTGGGCGAGTACGAGGCAGAATATGATGTAAGTGTTGTATCTTACATCCTTGATTTCACCAGAAATTTGATCATACAAAACTTAAAGGGACTCCACTGTGATGACTTTTGACATGACGGAACTGGAAATATTTTTTTCGGGATTTGTGTACCATTTGATTAAGGTCTGGATCAATAACTAATGTGCAAATTTTCAGATCATTCCCTCACTCAGAATAATAATTTTTATTGTGCAAAATGACCGAAAAGAAAAGCGTGGCAACAATATCACTCAAGGTTTGGCTAGGAATCGCACAAAATATCGAATTCAATTGAATTCTTAATATATTTCTCATATATCCTTTGTAGATGTTTGTATTTTTAAGTCCTACACAAATTCTATGTTTTAAGACTTTTTGGCATCAGTGGAGTTCCTTTAAGATAATTTTGTTTTGTATTGAAACAGTTTGCTATATTAAAGGGACTCTACTGAGGTTTTTTGAATGATGGGATTGTATATATTTTTTTCGAGGTTAGTGTTCCATTTCAATGTCTGAACCAATAGCTTGTGTGAAAAATTCACTCAATTTTTTTAGAGTGTAAATTTGTTTTTATGTAAACTGACCCTAAAAATGAAAAGCATTAACTCAAAGTGTTATATTTAAGGGATTATAGGTACATCTACAATAAGTCTTTCAAATATGTAAAACTATGAAATCATAATATACTAATCCTTATTATCTATTATACCTTTAGGTTTTCTTACTGTTCGCTTGCTATGTATAGTTTTTACATAATTGGAAACATTTATTTAGGCATTTTGATATTGATTCTTTCGACTTGAGATAATGCAGGAAACTACTAACTTAAATTAAAAAGTTGTCTAAATTTTCTTCTGAGAATGTGATCATATAATTTGGTAAACATTTTGAGAATGCTTTAATGGCCAAAATATTTTATCCAAGTGGAAAAGTTACTTCACTAAAATAAGATTAAAACCTAGTATCCTGGTATGGAAAGACATTTTACATATTTCGTGTAAAAAATGCTTTCCAGTGAATTCTCAAGTTTAAGCATATATCACTTTAAACCACCATTATGAATCAGACCTCTGTGTATATTGTTTCAGTAAGTGCATGCAGCTTCATTTTGTTGTTGTTGTTGGGTTTTTTAGGGGCGAGGGGGGTGGGGATGTGAGGGTTAGGATGTTGCTTGATCTGTTATATTTTGGTATTGTTGTTATATTTATTGTTACTGGTTATGTGTATTGTTACTGATATCATATGATTTGTTTCAGTATACCACTAACTCGCATGTAAGTTTCATGTATAATATCCAGCACAGAGCTTACATACAGAATACCATATCATATATATATATATATATATATATCACCTTTAATACATGTTACCCTATTGTTTAATATAATTGTTTTATCCTAATTGCAATTCTGTATAAATTAATATTTCTGCGTGTTGAAAAGTTAACCAATTTAAAATTCCAGACATTTCTTGTCAGGAAATTTAAGCCAATCGTGCAAGGATAGACTTTATTGACAGATTGGTTGATATCTATGTCAATGAAAATTTTAGTGATTTTTGTCCATTCATGAAATTCACCAATATTTCCATGTGGCTAACTTAACCACTTATACAGTCTTATATGTTAGTTTGGAAATTTTAACATTTGCATGTCTTAGTGGAGTCAGTATATTCTATGTTTGTACTTTAATGTGTCAGCAGTAGATAATAGATTACACAGGTTCTTTAACATAGATTGCTTGTTTTATTATAAAGTCAGGAAGAAAAGAGAATTTTAATTTTTATGCAACCAACCAACCAAGAAAAAAGAATATCTGGGACAATATGCCATGTGCAAGATTTAGGTCTGTAGCTCAATGGTTAGGTCATACTCTGACTTCAAAGAAAATTTGTAATAAAAACTGATTGATGATTGTCGCCCAGAATTCAGTCATTGATAGATGGCTTTAAAAAATTAGTATGCATAAATGTGTTAGACATAATGATGCATATTTTACCTTATTCCATCATAGTTTTATTTTGTTACTTTAATAAAACAATTCTTTTTATTTGATTTGAATCGAATGTTTAAATTACTTCAGGGTAAACAGTGATTTTTTCCCCTGTAATTTACAGCCCAATAAAGGCTGTTTCCCTAGCCCAAAATAGGTATATTTTCCCCTAAAAATGCTTATATTTCCCCCTAAAATGCCCTGTGCACATTCTTCAATTAACAGCAGCTAACTTATATCAGCTAGAAGATAGAAAGCTGTTCCTGAAGATAGCCTCTGCTATGTACCATGCCTGTTAAACCAAATTGAAAATTCTCAGTTGTTAGAATTTGATTTTCCCCTTTTCTTATTTATTGCACCATATTTTCCCCTTCAGAAAGCCACAGGTTGTTTTGAAAATTGAAAAAAAAATCACTGGTAAATTTATTCCTTTTTAGAGAAAAAAAGAGTATGCAGTAATATGTATGAGGCATTTGTTGTAAATGTTGCTTGATGCTTTTACTGCAATGCTTGGAAAAACAGTCAAACTTCGTTCGCTTGAACTCTGAGGGTGTGTGGAATTTTTTGTTTGAGGGATCGGTAGTTTGAGTCAGCTGAGGTTGAACTATTATAATGTAGGACATAGGCCTAAAGTTTTTCCAGCTTACATTGTTTGAATTATAAGTACGTCAATATAATTGTTTGTAAGTACATCAGTTTGTTGAAAACATCATTTCCCAGTGTTTTCAAAGTAGTTTAAGCAGTACACTGTGTTTAATCTATATTCATGCATATTGTAATTGGTTGAGTTTGATTGGGCAATCATTTTCAAAACTTGTTGCACAATTGTTAAAATATATTTATATGTTTATTTTTGGATAAATTTTATTTTAAACAATGAATTGAATTGTTTTAGAAAAAGATACTATCGATATTCATTGAACAGTAAGTAAAAATCGTCGGCATTATGTATGCGGTGGGTGGGGTAATGCAGTAATTTCGCAATGAGCGTTCTAATGAGAGCCTCTTCAAACGTGGTGTTGAGACATTGGAACCCAACATGAGGGTTATAATGAGGCTGTAGTGTATGTGTGTTTTTTTTTGTAAATGACTACAGTAAAAAAGATTTATTTTTTTAATTCATTGTTTAAGCGCTATACTGAGATTAGGGTTATAACGAAGAGCGATATATTGAGGCTACAGTGTACAAGTCTATAAATAGACAATCTATAAATAGATAATATGGTTACAATTCAGGTTACATGAACCACGGCTGTAATTAAAGCTGTCTGGGTAAACATCATTTATTTATTGACATTTACACATTTCACAAGTTATTTTCATTTTATTATTTTGTTACTAAAGAGGTCAAATAAACAATATTTTCATAACAAACAAATCGGTTACAACACTTCTTATTTTGTATCAATTAACCTTAAATTATTGCCTTTATCATGACCATGAGGTATTAAAAACATATGTCGCTGGCTGTCAAAACATGTCAATTTTTGTTGTCATTTTGTGTCGCCCAAAAGAATGTAATATTCACTATATTTCTGCCGAAGGGACCAGAGTTTAGGTTCGAGAGTTCGAGGGATTGGTGTTCAAGCGATCCAAGGTAGAACAATATGTGTTATATAGGAATTTTGCCGATCCGAGTTCGAGCGAGCAAAGTATAAATGTACATGTATATGATATTTCATTTGTTTTTTGTTGTTTTTTTTTTTTTTTTTCATTGGATCATTTATCATTCTACACATATTACAAAAAAATTTGATTCACAATGAAAGCCTTCTTTTTGTATGCGCATAATTATGATACAATGTTAAGCTTGTTCATGTTCATTGTTTATATTCCAGGGCAATAATAATTTCAAAATTATCATTTATGATAATTATGTATTCTTCATTTTCATTTTTTTCCATTCGTTTTCAGGACAATGATTATTTCACATCATTTGATCAAAGCAGACGTCATTCATTCAATGATTCACCTGATCCTGATCATCCTAGACACAGGTCGTCACAGTTTGGCAGCACGCCAGATCTTAATTTACTTGGCAAGCTTTCACTGACAGAGATCCCCGGTCACGGTATTTCCACGGAGAGTATTAATATAGACAGGGAGACATTGTCGGGAAGGGAGGTAATTTAAAAACATACTTTCCTTCAGATAATTTTAACCCTATGAGAAATACTCTCTCAAATATTATCTTATTATAAAACTATATTTTCTGCTTTGAAATTATTTTCTTAGTTAAGTTTAAACATTATTTAAGATTGATTGTGAATCAAGTTCAAGCCACTCTCTTTAGAGTCAGCTTCCTGGATCTAACCAGTACTGGTATCATGTTAGAAATCTTGGTCATGACCCCAGTAAGGCTCGAAACCATGATCCCTAGTTCGAGTTGTAGACACCATAACCATTAGGCCACCATTTCCCTTCACTTTCTTAGTTTTTTAATTGTCAGTCTGTTGCTCCTGAGATTTCAGATGTTGGTTTAAATATTAGTTTTGGCAGTTCAAAATTTAAAATTTTCAAATTGATTTTACAAATTTACATTGACTCAAGATTTTTAATTCTAATACTTTTAATTTTTGTACCAGTCTGTGTCATCAACCCCAGAGGAGCCTCATCACAGGAGTATAACACCATGTGCTAGCAGTGTTATTGTTATACAGAACCCTGGACTGATGGAGGAGCAAGAAAATAGTCCCATGACTGAATCTGTGTAAGAAAATAGTAATATTACAAATTATATACAATTATAATTTTTAATGTCACAAATTACAGCAAATATCACAACCAAAGCAGTTTATTTGTTTCCCTGTATGTTTGATACGATTCTGGATTCCTGCGTTCCAGATCACAGGTCACAACATTGTCCTTTACCATCACATGGTACTAGAAAAAAAGACCTGGATGAAAAAATTTGATAGTGTAATAAAAGAGGGTATATCCATTGGCGGAAAAGCGAACTTTCTGTTTTCAGAGCAAAAATGTTAAAATATGAACAGAAATGTTAAAATGTTAGTTTTTTCTGTCGTCTTTTGGATGCATGCTGCTTTAAACATCAATGATAAGCATATCGATGGCTTGGTGCGAAAGGGTCGTAACTCATATTAAATAAAGAAGGAGATACAACCCTTTCGCACCAAGCTGTCGATATTGTTTTTATTTTGCATATTATATTGTGGATTAGCATATTTATTTTCAATTATATTGGTTGACCCAAACTGTAGTTTTTATCACACTGATATACTGAATGAGGTGGACTTTCCTATTACAGACATAGTGTTGACAGCATCTGTAGCGATGACCCAGATTAAGTCTACCTTGGAGCAAGCGCTTCATCTGTATTATTCCAAAACTTTCTTGTCAGCTATGTGTACTTGATGAACCAAGGTGACGAGGTTAACGAGACGTGAAAGCAACAGGTTTCAAAGGTCATCTTAGAGTCATCTATGACCAATACAGTTTATACATCACAGATCTTCCCCAAACTTTACAGGGTAACTGTTTTCTTTTGAAACAACACAAGTCCAGATTCATGCTAATTTTCATGAAAATTTTAAAATGTATTTAAAAGTAAAACATTGCGAAGTGAACAAAGAAAATAATTTACTCATTGCAAAGGGCAGTTACAACCCATGTAATTTACCAGAAAGAGGTCACATCATGTAAAAATAGCCCTTACTGCGTTAGTCACACAGTAGAAATATTGTGAAAAAATAATGTAAAATTGGTCATAAATCGCACATAACATGGAAATGATTACTCTTTTCTTGAAATCTCAGTACATTTTTCACAAGTTTAATTTCCTTGACATATTTTGGCTCATCTAGAAGCATGCAGCTTTAATAATGGATACAATGTTTAGTTAAATATTACATTAAATTAGTGCAAATGATATGCAACACTTATAGTAGAATTGATGCATATGGTTATGAGCTTTTGAAATTTGAAGATTCACTCCTATCTGCTCTATACTTGAGCGTTGGTGGTTCTACTAAGGTACCTGTTCATGCCTGGCCTGTTTGTGTATGGAGGGGCACCTGAGGTCTTCCTCCACCTGCATAGCTGAAAACTCGCCATGACCTTTACTGTGTTGGTGTGACGTTAAACCTTAACTAAATAAACATAATGTCACTTTAATATTGTATTTTATACATTATTTACAGGAGCTGAGGAGAAGACTTGCTACATTAACTAAAGATGCTGTGTATTATATTTCCAAGACAGAGGGACTGAAAAACATTGGAGCTCAATTATATATCCTTTGTAAAGTTTAGTTTAAGTTTGACTTGCATAAGTATTTAAGAAGCCTCAGCCTTGCATTTATTCCTAAAACTATAAATATTGGCATTTCCCTCGCTGAATTTGTAGAATTCGCTTGCTTTTATTACAATGAAGACTTAATTTCAAATAGTGCTTTTGAGCTGTGAACAATGTAGATTAATCGACTTTGTGTTCACTTCCGTGGTTTCAAAATTGTGTCAAGAATTCTTTCAGTAGAAAAAGCTATTCAGTATTCACCTAGCTTACAGAGGGTTTGTAGATCTGTGATTTTCTTGGACTAGGGCATCTTGAAATTGGGAGAGTAACCATATGTCCTTTATGTGGTCACTTTGAATTAAAACTTACAAAACAAACAAAATATAACAAATCATCTTGTCAAACTGCATGGGGTATACATGTCCGCCTCATTTTATATAAGAGGTATAGGTAAATTAATATTGTTGCAAGTGATGTAAGCACTAACCAAAGTTATTGATTTTAATTTTGACCTTAACTAAGATTACTGCAGGCATTAGATACCATGTTCACCCATCTGGAATGTCCATATTTCTTCATTGAAACCGATGTGGTATGTATGAGTCTTAAAAAGGCTATTTTTACCTAAAAAAGCGATTAATTTTCACAAAAAGATGATCTATGTTGAATTTTTTACATATTAGATCTAATACAAAATGTTAATTGAAATTATTATGTCTCCCCCACCTCGGGGGGAGACATATTGTTTTTGCCCTGTCCGTCCGTCCGTCAGTCCGTCCGTCCATTCTTCGTTTCCGGACGATAACTAGAGTTCCTTTTGACCTACAGCTCTCAAACTTCATAGGATGAATGGTCTTATTGAGCAGATGATCCCTATTGTTTTTGGGGTCAGTAGTTCAAAGGTCAAGGTCACAGTGACCGTTGGTCAATTTCTCGTTTCCGGAATGATAACTAGAGTTCCTTTTGACCTACAGCCCTCAAACTTCATAGGATGATTGGTCTTATAGAGCTGATGATCCCTATTGTTTTTGGGGTCAGTAGGTCAAAGGTCAAGGTCACACTGACCGTTGGTCAATTTCTCGTTTCCGGATGATAACTAGAGTTCCGTTTGACCTACAGCCCTCAAACTTCATAGGATGATTGGTCTTATAGAGCTGATGATCCCTATTGTTTTTGGGGTCAGTAGGTCAAAGGTCAAGGTCACACTGACCGTTGGTCAATTTCTCGTTTCCGGATGATAACTAGAGTTCCTTTAGACCTACAGACCTCAAACTTCATAGGATGATTGGTCTTATTGAGCAGATGATCCCTATTGTTTTTGGGGTCAGTAGTTCAAAGGTCAAGGTCACAGTGACCGTTGGTCAATTTCTCGTTTCCGGATGATAACTAGAGTTCCTTTTGACCTACAGCCCTCAAACTTCATAGGATGATTGGTCTTATAGAGCAGATGATCCCTATTGTGTTTGGGGTCAGTAGGTCAAAGGTCAAGGTCACAGTGACCGTTGGTCAATTTCTCATTTCCGGATGATAACTAGAGTTCCTTTTGACCTACAACCCTCAAACTTCATAGGATGATTGGTCTTATTAATCAAATGATCCCTATTGTTTTAATGGTCAGTAGGTCAAAGGTCAAGGTCACAGCGACCGTTGGTTAATTTCTCCTTTCCGGATGATAACTAGAGTTCCTTTAGACTTACAACCCTCAAACTTCATAGGATGATTGGTCTTATTGAGCAGATGATCCCTCTTGTTTATGGGGTCAGTAGGTCAAAGGTTAAGGTCACAGTGACCATTGGTCATTTTCTCATTTCTGGATGATAACTAGAGTTCTTATCAGTGAGGACATTTAACTATTATTGATATATCAGTGATATATCAGTTGTCTGGTTTTATATACTCTGTTCTTTTATCTCCATTTCCATTCCTGTTTCCATTCACAGTTATTCTCAGCAGTGGGGGAGACATGCGCTTTTTTACAAAAGCATCCTCTAGTTTAAAATTGCTATTTCAAGTCTATCCAAATTAACTTAATGAGTTATAATTAACATATTATGTGCTTCTTAGTCGATTCAAAGCAATTTGATTGTGTCCTAGTGTCCGTTCAAGCACCTCTTGTGGCTGAGGGGTTGCCTTTTCATGTTGATACATCAGAATCGTAGTCATGGTTTAACCCTGCATAATCATAAGAGGTGACTAAATGGGTCAAAATTATTGGAGTCTATGCATCTTTTAGCTCCAGCACGTGAAGTAGTTTTAACACTTGGTGATGCTTAAAGTTTGTAACACCTAGGGTTGGCCAAAATTGTCTTTCAAGTTCCGGTGCTATATGACATTAACTGTGTTGGTTCGCCGTAATACGGAACAAAAAACAAAGTGTCCAGAATGAAAATAGAATATAATTCTCACTGATTTATTCATGATTATCTTATTGATCGTCTGTGTAGAGGTGATAATTGTAATATTTTGGTCATGAGCTGAAAGTGATGTTTTATAAAAGAAAATTTTGTGACATAGGTGTTATATTATTTAATGAACATTATTGATATTATATATTTAATGATATTATCTATTTGTATATTTAGTTGGTTGGTAGTAGAGTGGTAGACAAACACAAGTATTGTTTACTAGAGATGCAGGAATGTTTTGAGACCTACTGTATGAGGAAAGACCAAGCTGAACAGGTTTGTTATTTTTTGTTCTAGAGAAAAATATATAAAAAACAACTAGTTATATCCTAAAATATAAAAAAAATAAACCAAGAGGTATAGTAACTAAATTGTCCTTACCTTTTAAGTTTTAAGTGTACTTTAGGTCTACTTGAGAAGTTTTCTTTTTCTTTCATTAGTCCCCTACCGGTTTACCGGAGGGGACTTTTCCCCTACCGGTTTACCGGAGGGGACTTTAGGTTTACCCTCCGTCCGTCTGTCTGTCCGTCCGTCAGTCCGTCCGTCCGTCAGTCCGTCCGTCCACAAAACTGGATCCCGCGATAACGCAAAAAGTACTGAAAATATTTTAATGTAACTTGATATATGGATAGATGGCAGTATGGAGATTATGCACGTCTTTTTCTTTTCTTCCTATGTTGAAAATTCTGGTTGCTATGGCAACAAATAGACTGAAAATATGGCAAATTTTACACATAACCTGGATCCCGCGATAACGCAAAAAGTACTGAAAATATTTTTATGAAATTTGTTATATGGATAGATGGCAGTATGGAGATTATGCACGTAATTTTCTTTTCTTCCTATATTGAAAATTCTGGTTGCTATGGCAACAAATAGACTGAAAATATGGCAAATTTTACACATAACCTGGATCCAGTGATAACACAAAAAGTACTGAAAATATGTTTATGAAACTTGACATATGGGTAGATGGCAGTATGGAAATTATGCACATCCTTTTCTTATCTTCCTATGTTGAAAATTCTGGTTGCTATGGCAACAAATAGACTGAATTTCAAGATTTCTGATTCTAGTTTTTAAGTTTTTTCACTATAAGTTCTTTATTTCTTAAGGTATTTTCTTCAAACTTTAAATATAAGTTGCTTGTCATCAACCACATCATAAGTGACAAGGTTTACAACTCTAGCACAGAATTTTTCAGATTTACCTCCCTTGAACTTAAAATTTTCATGAAAAAAACATTGTTTTTTTTTAATAACTTCTTTTTCTGAATGTATCTACTTCAAACTTCATATAAATGTTTCTTATTATCACTCAACATTAAATTTTGTGAGTGTTCAATACTCTAGCAAGACTATTTCCAGAATTATGCCCCTTTTGAACTTAGACTTTTTTTTGAGAAATTGGTAATTTTTACTCCAACTTCTTCAGTCATGATAGGATTTAAAAAAATGTTATATTTTGATAACAGGGATGTTTAAAAAATAACTTTAGAGTGTCTTTCAGTCCGTCTGTCTGTACATAAAAACTGTTTCCTGTGATCACTTTTAAAGAACTTTTTCAACAAATTTACTTAAAATAGGAACCTAAGTGAATGGCCCTTCAGAATGTTGCTTGGGCTCTTACCGGTAGGGGACTTATGGATTGCTTGCAATACTATGATAATTGCTTGTTCTTTAAGCAAGTGATGATAACTTCTAGTCATAAACATACAATAAGCTTTGTTTTATTTAGAAAACAAAACACTAACCCATTTATAAGGTTATGATCTGTGAAATCTGATCCTTCTGTTTCCAGAATATTCTTCGCTTGGTTTTTGTCAAAATATCGATGATATCCTGTCTGTCAAGCATATCTGTAACGTTTCACTGATTAAAATTGTTAAATAATCCTTTGTTGCATGCTTAAATCGTCTGCATGTTCCAGTTTGACATATAATTATTATCCCCACGCCGATGGAATCGGGAGGGGGATATAGTTTTGGCATTGTCCATCCGTCCGTCCGAATTTCGTTTCCGGAGTAAATCTCTGCAACAACTGACTGGAATTCAACGAAACTTTATGGGAATCATCAATATCAAGAGGAGATGCGCATATCGTCGGCTTGTTCCGGTCCGACCCTTTAACTCAGAGTTATGGCCCTTGATTAGTTATGTCGTATGCATATAGAGTAAAAATTGTTTCCGGAGTAGTTCTCTGCAACTACTGGCTTGAATTCAACGAAACTTTATGGGAATCATCAATATCAAGAGGAGATGCGCATATCATCGGCTTGTTCCAGTCAGACACTTTAACTCAGAGTTATGGCCCTTTATTAGTTATGTAGTATGCATATAGAGTAAAAATCGTTTCCGCACTACTTCTCTGCAACTACTGGCTGGAATTCAACGAAACTTTATGGGAATCATCAATACCAAGAGGAGATGGGCATATCGTCAGCTTGTTCCAGTCAGACACTTTAACTCAGAGTTATGGCCCTTGATTAGTTATGCAATATGCATATGGAGTAAAAATCGTTTCTGGAGTAGTTCTCTGCAACTACTGGCTGGAATTCAACGAAACTTTATGGGAATCATCAATATCAAGAGGAGATGCGCATATCGTCGGCTTGTTCTGGTCAGACCCTTTAACTCAGAGTTATGGCCCTTGATTAGTTATGTAGTATGCATATAGAGTAAAAATCATTTCCGCACTACTTCTCTGCAACTACTGGCTGGAATTCAACGAAACTTTATGGGAACCTTCAATACCAAGAGGAGATGGGCATATCGTCAGCTTGTTCCGGTCAGACACTTTAACTCAGAGTTATGGCCCTTGATTAGTTATGCAGTATGCATATGGAGTAAAAATTGTTTCCGCGCTACTTCTCTTCAACTACTGGCTGGAATTCAACGAAACTTTATGGGAACCTTCAATACCAAGAGGTGATGCGCATATCGTCGGCTTGTTCCGGTCAGACACTTTAACTCAGAGTTATGGCCCTTGATTAGTTATGCAGTATCCATATAGAAAAATATTTGTTTCCTCGCTACTTCTCTGCTACTACTGGCTGGAATTCAATGAAACTTTATGGGATACTAAGAGGAGATGTGCATATAGTCGCCTTGTTCCAGTCAGATGCTTATAACTCAGATTTATGGCCCTTGATTAGTTATGTAGTATGCATACATCTCATTGGCATTTCCAGATTTTACTATTTAATACAAAGTTATGGCTCTGTTATTGCCCTGAATATTTATCAAGTTCAAAGAATATTACTGTTTATGCCATGATTAATATATAAATTGTCTTATTGTGGTAACGTCAAAAATAAGAATGAATCGAGAGAAAAATGGCGGCCATTTTATTTCATTTTATATAGAAAAAAGACCACATGACCAGATTTTATACTGTTAAAAGGTACTGTTTCCTATGTAACAGTACAAAATTCTTAGTCACGTGGTACACTTGCATTAACAGTAAGAATAACTCCCAGAGGCCTATGGGAAATTAACATTACGAAAAAAGTGAGGGGTAATAATATTAACTATAACTGAATTATTTCATATGAATGTAAATTTATTTTGTAGAGTTTAGAAGAAATCAAGGTATCAATTAAACAGCAATCACTTGGTGATGGTGGAAGCTTTCCTATACAATGTAGTGAAGAACAGGTAATATTTTGATAGCCTTTTGTGACAACTATGGTGACACAGTAATGTTATTTAAGTTTTGAGTCGAGTTTTATGTTTATATCTAGGGTATTGAATTCATTATGATTTCTAAAAGAATAATGGTTTCATATTAAAAGACACACATTTACCTTGTGGTCCTCTACAAATGTTACATAAATTCATTACCTTTTTGTCAAAAATGGCCCACCCTATGTGTCACTTAGTTTACATAGACTTTTAGAATAAAAAGTGTAAATAGACTTTAACAGTATAAATGCCTTAAAATGCTGCTTGGAAATAACAATGGTGGGAGCTGAAGTATATGGCATGTAGCATTACCTTATGGTCCTCTATAAAAATGTGTAAATAATGTCCATTGGTAAAAAATGACCTGGCCCTGGTACCCTTGGGTCAAAATTGTCCTAGTCCCTAGGTCATTAAGTTATATAGACTTGTATAGGAAAAATACAGTCTTATTTTTTGAAACATCAATGCCACAAGCGGAGATTTTTGGCATATAGCATCACCTTGTTGTCCTCTACAAAAGTTGTATAAATCCCACCATTGGGCCAAAATTAGTCCCAACCCAGGGTATCAATTAGTTTATATTAACTTTTATAGGAAAATAGTTTAAAGTGGTCTTCTCAAAATCTACAAAGCCCTAAACTTAGATTTTTGGCAAGAATATTTGCCTTGTGAACCTCAACAGAAGTTATATAAGAGTTGCCCCTTGGTCCAAAATTCGCCCAGACCATTTTATGTGTAATTGTATAGGAAAACACATTTAAGTTGTCTTTTGTAAAACTCTATTGCCCAGAATATAGATTTTCTTTGAGTACAAATGTATGTAGCATTTGCTTTGTGGTCCATTACAAAATTTAAATAAATTATGTCCCTAGGGTCGAAATGGTTCAGCCTTTGGGTTACATAGTATATATAGCGCTTAAGTAGATATCTGGAATCCTGACAGGGACTTTCAATTCTTCATGTGATGAAGTTATCCAGCCAGCTTTTGGAATGTCTGTGATTCTTCTGAAGTGCCTGTTCATGCTGCCTGAAATATAGCATGGAAGACCACTTGAAGTCTTCTCCAACGGTAAAGATGGAAAGTCGCCATATGACCTAAAGTGTTGTTGGGACATTAAACCCGAAATTGCTTTAACATGAAATAAGTTTGACTGCCATCAATGTATTTCAGGTTAGAATCATGATTTTAAATAACTATCACTTTGTAAAATAAAACTTTATTTTCTAAAAATGCATACAAGTAAAAAATCACATGTAGAAAAATTTGATACAGTTTATCAGGATTTCTTCTCTTTTTTTCAGAAATTAGATCTGTGCCAAAAGTTATATAAACTAATTTTCCAACTAGTTATGCTGTTTGAAAGTTACATCAAGCTTCTAGATTGTTTCAAACTTGTACAGACAGCCTCACAGGTAAACATCCTAAAGATTCTCTCATTTATATTTTGATGTTTTTTAGCTCACCCTGGCATTAAGTAGTCATTGCAATTTGTCAATTGTTCTCAACAATTTCTTTAAACAACATCTAGTTAAACAATCTGTGAATTTTGACCTAAAGGAATGGTCCTAAAATGACCCTGTACAAAAGTTATATAAATGATGCCAGTCCGATGTACAAGTAGGTCACATGAGCTGATACTAGTTAAAAAATAAAATCTTTACAAATCTTCTATATTGTCAAGAGCATAGATATCTGGCATGTAACATCAATTTGTCCTGTACTAAATTAAAGTAATATATAAATTATTACATTAATTAAGTTTAGGGTATATACAGTCCCCTCCAAAAGTTTCCGGACATAGTCACAAATCATATTAAATGGAAGAAATATCAATGAATTAACAGCAAAGGAATAAATTATCTCTTTAATTTTCAACAATGACATCAAACATTAGCAAAAACAACACTTGTCAACATCTTGATGCCAATTATGTAAATAATCAGTCAACATTATCTGAAGCAGTCCAATTGCCCCCAAAATGTCCTCGTTCATACATTACAGTTTGTGCACCTTAATACTTGGTATGGCCTTTGTGGGCTTCAATGACAGCTTGTATTCTGTTAGGCATGCCTCTCACAAGCCGAGAGCACCTTTCTCTGGGTATGGTCTCCCATGATGCCACTACATTTGCCTCCAGTTCACCCATGTTGCGACTAAATTGATTCTTAACACCACACTATCACATTCCATCACAACTTTATTATGAGATTGAGGTCATGTGATTGTGGGGGCCATTCCAGCCAACTAATGCCATTGCCATTGCCCTCCTTCCAGTCCTGTACTAATCTAGCTCTATGACTTGGCGCATTGTCATCCTGTGCCAGTAATTGTCCCCATATCCCAGGAGATGGGCTGATGGTACTGTAAAGAATGTTTACATATCCTGTTCCATTTAACTATCCATCAAATCAAGTAAGCATGTCTGTCTCCCTTTATGTCACCACACCATCACCCCAACACCTCCAAACTTCACAGTTTGAATCACACAATTATCCCTGAACTTTTCACCGGTACGCTTACACCTAATTTCAAACTCGTCTGTGAATAATACACATGACCAGTCTACTTAAGACCTGTGTTCATTAATGTCTAGCAAACTCCAGACGCAGTTGGCAATGACTGGCACTTAAAAGAGTCTTCTTAACTGGTAAATGTCCATTGAGGCCAGCGGCACTAAGTTTGCGTCTCACGGTAGAATTTGTAGCATTCACTACAGCTTCCTGCCAGACCAGCCTAAGGGCAGGACTGTTAATTTTCAGTTCTGGAGGGACTTTTGCACTAGTAGCCTGTCATTCCTTATGTTGTAGACCTTGGGGTGTCCAGATTTTGGTCTAGGAGCATGGGAACCGGTCTCTTGAAGACATTGTAGGGTATCGTAGACTGTTGACCTGAAATACAAAATCCATGAGAGGGTTAAAAAAGGAGGAAATTCTTACTTTTTCTTGCCTGAAACATCAATACAACACTAGCAGACACTTTAATTTAAGACAAAATGTATACTAAAAAACTTAGAATGACTTACCTTGACCACCCAAGCTGGCGTGCAATCTCTACGACAGGAACACCCTGATCCATCTGACAGCATTCTTCTTTTTAACGTAAGAAATGACAACTGTTTTCACATGTTATCATACTCAATTACAATTTACTTTTTTTCTGATTTTGGAATGTTTGTCCCCTACACTTGACTTTATGCTTAATTGAAATGTACCACAAAAAACATGGGTTTTAGGGAAAAAAACATTTTTGGCACAAATAATGACTTTTTGCAGTCAAATAATGTAAATTTATTACCTTTCTTTATCACACTTTTTAATAAGGTACTGCTGTTGTTTCAAACTTATAAAATAAGCAAATTACAGAGAAAATTTCAATATAGAATGTTTGTCCGGGAACTTTTGAAGGGCACTGTATATGTTTGTGTGTATCTATGTAAGAAATTAAATTTAAGATTGTTCAAGTATTTCACAGTTAGTAAATATTAAGTGAAACCTCCAGTATAACTGACTAGTAATTGACAGATAAATATATAGAGAGAAAGACATTAAAACAGAACTTTGGAATTTATTCCTATGGTGATAAAGTATCCAAGTGATATATCCAGCAAGTTTCTTTTAAAAAGTGTTTACATTATCAATAGGCATAAATTAGGTATTTTAAAAGGGAATTTTAAGAATTTGCAGTTGATTAATTATTATTTACTTTTTACAGGTAGTAAAAGTTATCATTATTAGATATTTTTATTACCATTCATCAATATTAGCTTTCTTGTAAAATTATCACACAAGTTATTGTTCTTCAGTATGAAATTTCATGAGATCATTCAACTGTTACATTTATTAAAGAAAATGTAACTAAATCAAATAAGCTTTTAAATACTTTAAAGCAGTTCTTCCATAATATTATTTTTATATACCCAAAAGAATTTCTGGCATATTATGTTATACCCCCTGGCGTCCGTCCGTCTGTCTGTCTATCCATCCGTCTCTGTCTGTCCGTTAGCAATTTGGTTTCTGGAGCATAACTTAAGTTCCATTTGGCCCACAATATTCAAACATCATAGGATGGTTGTCCATATTGGGTAGAAGACCCCTATTGCTTTTGGGGTCACAAGGTCAAAGGTCAAGGTCACTATCACCTTAAAACTGAAAACAGTTTCTGGAGTATAACTGAAGTTCCATTTGGCATACAGTGTTCAAACTTCATAGGATGATTGTCCATATTAAGTAGAAGACCACTATTGATTTTGGGGTTACAAGGTCAAAGGTCAAGGTCACTATTACTCTAAAAGTGAAAACAGTTTCCAGAGCATAACTTAAGTTCCATTTGGCCCACAGTGTTCAAACTTCATAGGATGATTGTCCTTATTGGGTAGAAGACCCCTATTGATGTTTGGGTCACAAGGTCAAAGGTCACTGTTACTTTAGAACTGAAAACAGTTTTCGGAGAATAACTTAAGATTCATTTGGCCCACAATGTTCAAACTTCATAGGATGATTGTCCATATTGGGTAAAAGACCCCTTTTGAATTTGGGGTCAAAGGTCAAGGTCAATATTACTTTAAAACAGAAAACAGTTTCCAGAACATAACTTAATTTCTATTTGGCCCATAGTGTTCAAACTTCACAGGATGATCGTCCATATTGGGTAGAAGACCCCTATTGATTTTTGGCGTCACAAGGTCAAAGTTCAAGGTTGCTATTACCTCAAAACTGAAAACAGTTTCCAGAGCATAACTTAAGTTCCATTTGGCCCACAATATTCAAACCTTATAGGAAGGTTTCTATTTGAAGGAGGTAATACTTTATTTAATTTGTGTAATGTCTTCATCCTTACAAAAAACAAAAACACTTTTGGGCATATAATGCTCCGCCTAGCGGTGCTCTTGTCCTTATTTGTAATATACATGTATTAAACCAAAACCTTTTTCATTTTTAATGACTTAAAGTGAATCGGTCTATAATGGATGGTTTGTAATAATAATTATGTTGATAGTGTTTAGTAAATGATATAACATCAAACCACAAAAAAAAATTCTATGAATCTTGTTGGCAGGTGTGAGACACATGATTCGATAATACATATATTTGTATTGCAGATAATAAAAATTTTCTATAACAAAATATTATTATTCATCATATACATGTTTTATACTATGTATACTAGTTTAAACATTAATAACACTTTTTCCCAAGCATTATTTAAATACAATTTCCAAATGATACATTTCTTTTGTTTATAGCAATTTGTAAAACACTGGAAAATGTGTTTACTGTAGATCTACCCACTTAAATGTTGACAAAGTAACAAACGTATGCAGTGAATTGGGTATTAACTGGTTTTGATAAAATACAGTTAAAGGTGTATTGTTCTACGACAGTTTATAGATGTGAATGAAGTGGTCATATTTTGCATCTCCAGCAGAACAGGTGTAATACAGCTTCTTTGTTTTTCCACACCAACATACAGCATGTGGACTCTTCAGATCCTGCAGCACCACCTTTCCTGTAGAACAATCTCCTGATATCTCTTTTATAACATTTCTGTCCTGGTCACACACAAAGACAGTACCATCATCTGACATTGACATTCCTCTGAAATCACTCATACCACTATATCTACCAATTACATCACCCTGCCAGTTTAATCTTGTCACTGTCTTCATGCCACTGTCAGATACATAGATAGAATGTCTGTTACATGTGATATAACATGTATCTTTGAAAATATTTTTTCCATCAATTGTTGTCAGTATAGTGCCATTCATATCAAGGATCTGAAGCTTTGCAGGAGATCGTAATGAGACAATAAGTTTACCTTGATAATAGCTTATACCATAACAGTCTCTAGCAACCCTCACAGTGTGCTTCTTTATGAGTTTGTTTGATGAGATTGATATAAACTGTATGATCTGTATGTGAGGAAGTGTGACAGCAAGTTCAGTACTGGTTACTGTGGTGATATCCCATGGTTTAAACTTAAGTTGTAGTTGATCAGACACAGATTGACTGCTGGTGTCCACCATCTTTACAGCTTTGTTCAGGTAGTCAGTGATGATAAGAAGATCTGGAGTCAACAGAGTCATTCCTATTATCCAGCATCTGCATTCAGCTTTTGATGTTTTCACACAGATTTTTCCCGCATGTGCCGCATGTGAAGTTTGTCTAGACTTTACTTGTACAGATTGATACTCGGTATTAAAAGCTTTCTGTGTCAATGTACCCAGTGACTTCTCTGTTTTAAGGAAATTTAATATGACATCATTTGATCGAAAGTTGTGCTCTTTGATATCATATGAAAAAAGGTGTTGAGTTTTCCCCTCAACATTCTGTATTGTTTTCTCTGCAAGTTTAAGTTCCATGAAAAGTTTGTTGGCCTGTTTTGATGTGTTGAGCTGTTTGATGTTATCTGATGATATCTTCAGCAATTTGGTTATATCTTCACATGTTGTTTCTACTGCTTTCAGATGTTTGTTGTTTTCTTGTTCTATGACTTTAGCCGCATCTTCAGCCTGTCTCTCAAGTACATCTAGTCTTTTGTTGATTTCTTGCCGAAACTTTTTAATTGCTGCTAATGCATCTTTGAGAGATATGTTTGATTTGTTTGTCATGTTCTTGACATTTTCTACCATCTGTTGAAATTGGTCAGAAGTGTGATTCAATGTTTTTAGAATATCTTGATATTGTTTGCTGTCTAATATATCACCAGAAATGTCTGGTATATAATCAACTTTGCAGGAAGTAGCTTGATGTTCAAGGGTAACACAAACACTGCAAAGTAATTTTGTATGGTCATTGCAGTAGAACTTGATCATTTCTTGTGGATGTTTAAGACAGGGTGTAGTCAGGACATCAGACTGGCCTGTGTGAATAGATGTTGAGGGTTGCTGCAATACTTTAGGCATATTAGTAGCGTCCTGAAGTGTGTGATGTTTGGAAAGCCTACTGACTTTGTGTGCTGTATAACAATTCTTGCAAAGGTGTTCCCTGCATTCAGTACAGTAACCATGGGCAGGTAGTCTAGTTCCTTCCTCGTCACATGGCTGGCAGTAAATTTGAAGATCTTCATCTGATGCCATGGATGTTGTAGATGATGAAAATTGTTTTGATGCTTTCTTTCCTGAGACTGCCATGTTTACCTAAAATGTATTATAATAGAGAACTATGTATTGCATGTTTATCAAATTGCCTTTTTGTAATTATGTTATTATGTCATACTCTAGCAGTCAATTCAAAACATAGGTAGTACCTTGCTTACATGGCTTGTTTGAGGTAAAAGGTTGAGTAAAAAAATCTCAATATTTCGTTGTCTCAATGAAATTTTGAAAGTCCCGTTTTTTTTCCTTCTTTATCTGTATTGGAAATATTTGTTTATCTCGATATTTTTATTTCAATATTTTCAGTATTTCGAAGTAAAATTTCAGCCCCGACAGTAATTTTCACGCTATAATCCTTTCTTTATCTCGACTTATATTTTCTCTCCCCCGCAGAGGTGAAAAAACACAAACCAGACGATAATCACTTAATAGCATGTGTCATAATGATATCAAACAGCAGTTTAACTATCTCGAGAATGGTCCGATAACCAACCCGGGAGGATATCTGTATCGACCATGTTGAAAATGTTTTCACTAAAGTGGTGTTTTACTGAGTTTTTATCACTGACTTCCATATTTCCGCTGGTAAACATCCGCTAATTTACCTTATCGACTTTGGGATATAAGGCTCAAGAAATAAAGACATGGAGATATCATACTATTAATTTATTTGACTTAAGGTATGCATATGCCTTTGTAAAAATCAGTTACTGCCTTGTTCAAACCTTACACGTTTATCTCGACATTTTGTTATCTCGATATTTTTGGACGGTCCCGATGACTTTGAGATAACGAAAATCGACTGTATATAAAAGTATGCCATTGTTAAAGGGAAATATGTACAAATTTTTAAGAATACCATTGTGACAGACAAAAAGGAGTATGTACAAATATATAAGTATGCCATTGTGCCAGACAAAATAAAATATGTACAAATATGTCATTGTTACAGGTATTTAAGTATACAATTGTCATAATAAAGTACAAATATATCAGTATGCCATTGTGACATGTACACATATATAAAAGTGCAAATTTGACAAACAAAATGAAATATGTACAAATATGTAAGTATGCCATTGTGACAAACAAAAATGAAATATGTACAAATGCATGTTTGTAAGTATGCCATTGTGACAGGCAAATGAAATATTGTGACAGGCATAATGACATTAACTATTTTAATTAAAGAATTGAGAATTTAGTGAATCATCAATGAACCTTTCAGGGGCGTAGCTTGAAAGAAACCAATGTGTAGGCACTAGTGTTAGGGGGGTGCGGGGGCATGCTCCCCCGAAAATTTTTGAAAATCTACACTGCCATAGCTGCAATCTGGGTATGTTAAGGCATGTTCTGAAGGAAGAGAATTCATAATTTTGCTGCAGTTTGGTTGCATTTTTTCTATCAATATGAAGATGACCATACTTACACACTTACTCAACGCAAAGCTACTGTGACATTTTGGCAAAAAGAGCTTTTTTCGTATATAACTTTGGGGTAAAGATATATGAACGATATATGAAATATATTTTTAATTCATAATTTATGATTCTATACATTAAAAATAACAAATGTACGCAAATTTTTAAGAAAACATCAAAATGTAAAAATTCAAAATAAGGTTGTCTAAATATATATGATTAGAAAATAATGAAAACAACGATCAACAAGATAGAGTCCCATGAACAATAAACGCATCCTTAATAACAACTTGCGACACCGGACAATCGGTATTTAAATATATACAAATGATGATGAAATATCTAATGTCACACAAACAGCATCGAATACATTTTCTCAATAAGGTTTTATGCTCATGAAAGCTCTTTTTATTGTTTATGGTGAAACATATATAGAACATAGAATAACTGTCAGATTTACTATCAGTATGAATGAACTACGCTCATATTCATTTACATGTTTATTTTAAGAATTATATCAAGTTTTTTTCTTATACATTCTTCCTTTCTTCTAATACATGTATATCTCCATAAGTTACCTTAGTCTCTCTATATTGATAATTCAACAATCAATTATTCTCTTATTTTTCGTTGTACATTAAAAGAGTTTACATCTATCAGCAACATTTTTGCATCTATATTTTGAAAATAATTTTTGCTGGAAAAAGATTGATAAAGTTTTGTTTTACTTGTTTTCCAATCATTAGTGCGAAATGTTTGTAAATATTTCTTTATGTGCAATTTATTGAATAAAAAAGTTTTAACTAAGTATAGTTTTAAGATAAAAAATAGAATTGCATCGCTTGCTCGAAAAGCAAACGCTTCATCACTTCGCTATTAATGAGTGCAGATTTTGATTTGTATACGAACACATTACTTGTATATATAATTAAAATACATTTTGAAAAGAATATGTAATAACACAGATTATGTTTCAAGTATCCTTCACATCGATTTTATTTACTTGCTTGGTTTCAATTCTACTTTGTGTTTTGTACTTAAGATTGGACGGAAATGCAATTTGATTAAAGTACAAATAATTGAATCACGAACTCATTAAACCTTAAGAAGGGAAGAGAATATGAAAGACAAGATGTTAAGGCTTTATTCAAGACATCGCTTCGCTTCCTAATCATTTGTATAAAGCTAGCACTACCGATATCTGGATATGGCCAATTCTGATCGTGCATACTTGCAATATTTGTTGAATCCAACCGCTCAAAAACTTTTGTATTCATCCTTCTCTTAAAGGTTTTACCACAGAACAACTTTATAAAACGGCAGCACTTTCGTTATGAAATAAAACTAGATTACGGACACATTTTCAAATAAGATGACAGGTCATTTTCTAAAATTAGGACCTACACATCTACCGCATTACCTTAAATTTTTATTGCATTTTTGTAATCATTTAATTTTTCATTTCTGAGGAAAAAGTGTAGGCACGTGCCTACAGTGCCTATAGGAAGCTACGCCACTGCCTTTCATGAGCCTAAATTATCACAATTATTCCATTTTTTGACATCAAATGTCAGGGTCATTTATTACACAAATTAATAAAAACAAGAAATAAAAACTGCATTTCATCTTATATTGGCTATTTACTGAATTGTATATACACTTGAATGCTTTAGCTTTTTCTATTTTTACCTCATTTTCGGGCCAAAGTTATTTTGTTTTGTATGTGATAATGAAAAGCCTTTGTTTCAAATGTTTCCTGGCCAGCCAAAACAATTAAGTTTGTTTATCCAAAATATTCTTTTATATTACATATAATTTTTTTCTGTGTGTTTTTATTATATTGAAAATTAATTTTTTAGGCAGCAATTATATTTCTGATAAGGTAGTGGGAGGGGAAACAAACACTATAAATTAATCAATTATGACAAGTTTATACAAAGTAGATGCTGTGTTCAATGTAAATGTTGTCTGCAGATAGACATACAGACAGACATACAGACAGCACAAAACCAAAAAATATGGATTTTGTGTGATCATCATTACTGTTTAAAAAGTGCTATTTATATGCTTTTATGTATTAACCCATTACTGCATGAGTATTTTGTGAAAAATGGCTGTTTTCATTGAAAAGTCTCCCGTTAAAAGTTCAAATTGCTATAAAACTATAAAAACTTCTTCAATACTAATCAAATATGGCACAAATGTTGACTGGACCATTGCCTTTGTAACAACAGGCTCAGTCTTAAATTTCCTGTTACCATGGCAATGAGGGGACATCTCAAAATTGCCAAAAAATCACTATTTTGCGTTGATTTTTTCCATCAAAATTGATTTCAAAGTGCTGCAACTTCTCAATGGATGTCAAAGGCTTTTCAGCGTTGGTTGCAGGTTACCTTATGATTGACCTGGGGTAATTTTCAGCCGCCCCCCTTCAAACCCCCCAAACACATGGGGGTACATCCCCCTTCTGGCAACGCCCTAATGTACCTTTTTGATGGGGGGCAGCGCCGAAAAAGTGCTCACTTTTTTATCAACATTTCTCAAACATAAACATGTGTGGGGGGCCCAAATAGGATATTTTTTTCACTATTTGAGGCCAAAAAAGGGGGATGGGGGTTGGTAGAAAGTGCGTTGTTTCGCGTAGATATATATAAAGGATTAAACATTGTTAAAAAAGTCCTATTCAATAATGTGTTGAAATTTCATAAACCTAAATTTGTCAACAGTATTTTATTACCGTAGAGCTTAAAACCAAAACCATCATGCTTTTAAAAAGCAGTTTATGCATAATTTAAATATTAAGAGAAACAAAAAGGAAATCATCCTACCTTAAGTTATCCTCAAAATTGTGTCACAGGTTTGAAATCATCCACTGTAATGTCTTTATTTTTCGCAAGGTTTAACGTAAATATTTTGCTGTTACTATTGGAGCCATGCATTCATGGAATTCGATAATGATATTTACTTCCTTGTTTTGCAACATTGATTTTTAAAATTGTATACATTTCAAACTTAACAATTTAAATATAAGGCCTTTATTTAGCTGATACAAGTACATGGTGTTCGAAAATATATCAGATTTTAATACAATGTGTTAAAAACTAGTATTTTAATCATTCAGGAAAGATAAAATTGATATTTAAATCCTAGTTGTTCTTTTTCATGATTGCACAAATTTTAAACCATTACCTATACTGTAAGTTTATACATGTCCACATTGTTTAAATTGATGTATACATGTATAAGGATCATAAATGATATTTATAAATTAAAGAGGTTGTAAATCTGTTTTAAAGCATTAAGAGCTGATTAAGTAGACCTTACAATTAGGTTTTCAACTTCCATTGAAAGATTTTTATGATTAATAATATATGGGTATCTCATCAATATGATTTGACATCACCTGCATAACACTTTAAGTTTAATGATGATTTCAAGGTTACTGTTAAAACTCGGAAGTTTGAATCTGCTAAATGCTGCTCTCAAACTATCTAATCTCTTGTTTTAAACTTCTCTCAAAACTCATACTTTAGATTCCCAGCTTTAAAGCTACTTACTCAGACATAGTTGCCTGTGGTTTTTAAAGAATGACTTGATTCATTATAACATGTACACATAAAAGTTAATGTTTCTAGTTTTCATAATTATGCTCCCCAAACAATTTCGGGGGAGCATATAGTCGCCGCCTTGGCTGTCCGTCCGTCTTTCCGTTTGTCCGCTTTTCTTGTCCGGGACATAACTTTGAAACAACAAGAGGTATCAACATGAAACTTTGTAGGTAGATAGATGTCATTGAGTAGGTGTGCAGTGCACAAGAACCGTAACTCTGTCTTGCTTAATTTTGGAGTTATTGCCCTTTGTTTATTTTGACACTTTGAACTTTGTCTGGGAGATAAACTCTAAAACTATAAGAGGTATCAACATGAAACTTTGTAGGTAGATAGATCTCATTGAGTAGGTGTGCAGTGCTAAAGAACCATAACTCTGTCTTGCCTAATTCTTGCTGGTACAACCGGTTCTTGTTGAGAAATAGTTATCACCACAGAGAGCCACATAGCTTTATAGGGACAGATTAATAAAATTTAAATGATCGGCAAAATTTGTGTACTTTTTGCTTGATTTAGGTGAATGATATTTCTGGACAAGTGGAGAGTATTAAAGGGGAAGTAACTGCTGCCATGTCAGAATTAGAGAATGGTCAGGCATCACCACTAAATGTTGACTCCCCTAAACCAGTCACAAAACAAGATGCATTCTCCAGTCTTACAGAGTATATCAAAAGTCAACAATACCAAAAAGCAATACAGCTTGTCAGATCTTTCAGGTATGGTGTGGTAGGGAACTATTTAAGTATTTTGTTTTAGATATCCATAGAAAAATTTATGTTTATAAGAAATTTATTGAAACCAGTATTTAACATCAACAGCATATTAATCTGTAGAAAATCTATGACTTCTAGCCATTTTCACAAGAAAATGAACTAAAAGTACTTTTCCATATTTTTGATATCTGAAAACAGTTGTAAACATAAATAAAGGGAAAAAAATGTCAGTCTTATGCTAATTATCAAACTTCACTCTAAGGTTTCCAGTTTATTATAAGAATGTAGAAACATTTCAGGACAATGTGGCCTGGTGACATGTTTGGACAATCACAGGATGATGACCTTGTTACCCTGCTCAATGTGTTTTGTATTGAAATGGCTGAAAAGAAAACAGGTACCAGTACTGTCATATTATCAATATTTCATAGTTGTCCCCCGCCTTTTCGAAGAAAAAAGGGGGATATAGAAATAGGCTCCGTTCGTCCGTCCGTCCGTCCATCTGTCTGCTCGAGCAAACATTTTGGGTTTAGGGGCTTAGTATAACAGTAAAGAGAACAAAAGAGAACAATAGGTTCATTCCCTGATCAAAGGGTTTAGGGGCTAGTAGCCCTTAAGAAAACTAAGAAAAAAACAAAGAAAATAGCCCCTAAAGCCAAAATGTTGGACCGTCCGTCTGTCCGTCCGTCACACTTTCGTGTCCGGTCCATAACTTTGTCATTTATGAAAGGAATTTGAAATAACTTGGCACAAATGTTTATTATAATAAGACGATGTGTCATGCGCAACAACCAGACCCCTACCTCCAGGGTCAAGGTCGTATTTGCTCATTCAAGGTCAACATTGCCTATTTGAGGGTATATGTCGTGTCCGGTCCATAACTTTCTTATCTATGAAGGGATTTTGTAAATACTTGCCATAATTGTTCACAATAATCAGACGATGTGTCATGCGCAAAAACCAGTCACCTACCTTCAAGGTCAAGGTCACACTTGGAGGTCAAATATTAACATAGTCTGTTACAGGGTATATTTAGTGTCCGGTCCATAACTTTGTCATTTATGAAAGGAATTTGAAATAACATGGCACAAATGTTTGTTATAATAAGACGATGTGTCATGCGCAACAATCAGACCACTACATTCAGGGTCAAGGTCGTACTTGCTCATTCAAGGTTAACATTGTCTATTTGAGGGTATATGTCGTGTCCGGTCCATAACTTTCTTATCTATGAAGGGATTTTGTAAATACTTGCCATAATTGTTCACAATAATCAGACGATGTGTCATGCGCAAAAACCAGTCACCTACCTTCAAGGTCAAGGTCACACTTGGAGGTCAAATATTAACATAGTCTGTTACAGGGTATATTTAGTGTCCGGTCCATAACTTTGTCATTTATCAAGGGAATTTGAGATAATTTGGCACAAATGTTTGTTATAATAAGACGATGTGTCATGCGCAACAACCAGACCTGTACCTTCAGGGTCAAGGTCGTACTTGCTCATTCAAGGTTAACATTGTCTATTTCAGGGTATATGTCGTGTCCGGTCCATAACTTTCTTATCTATGAAGGGATTTTGTAAATACTTGCCATAATTGTTCACAATAATCAGATGATGTGTCATGCGCAAAAACCGGTCACCTACCTCCAAGGTCAAGGTCACACTGGGAGGTCAAATACTTACATAGTCTGTTACAGGGTATATTTTTTGTCCGGTCTAAAACTTTTTCATAGATCAAAGGATTTTGAAAATACATTGCACAAATAGTCACTTTAATAAGAGGATGTGTCATGCACAACACCTGCATCCTTACCTCCAAGGTCAAGGTCACACTTAGAGGTCAAAAATTAACATAGTCTGTTATAGGGTATATTTTGTGTCGAATCTAGAACTGCTTCCTAGTTCAAGGGATTTTGAAATAACTTTGCACAAATAGTCACAATAATAAGCCGATATGTCAGGTACAACACCTGCACCCCTATCTCTTAAGGTCAAGGTCACACTTAGAGGTCAAAGGTTAACAGAGTCTGTTATTTGGTATATTTTTTGTCCCATCCATTACTTCTTTATAGATTAAGGGATTTTGAAAATACTTGGCACAAATAGTCACAATGATTAGATGATATGTCATGCTTAACATCTGTGTCCCTACCTCCAAGGTCAAGGTCACACTTAGAGGTCAAAGATTTACATAGTCTGTTATAGGGTATATTTTGTGTCCAATCTATAACTTTTTCATAGTTCAAGGGATTTTGAAAATACTTGGCACAAATAGTCTCAATAATAAGACGTTATGTCATGCACAACACCTGCTCCCCTACCTCCAAGGTCAAGGTCACACTTAGAGGTCAAAGCTTAACATGATATATTTTTTAAATTCCGTGTTTCATTTTATTTTTTTAACAAATTAATTGTTACATTTGAAGATCTAGCATTGACCATAATTTTGGACTGAATGTCCTGAGATCCATACCTCAATCTTTTGAAATAGCACAATTTTATGCTTCATATAAAACTCCCGGGGCGGGGGACATTGGTAACTCTGTTACAAATTCTTGTTGTAAAAGATCTTGGTCATTTTTAGAGAAATCCCTTCTGTTTTCAAGCATGTTATTTATCTTAAAGAAACAAACTGCAATTATTCTTGATAAACTTTAATATTGTATCATAATTATGCCCCCTTCAAAGAAGTGGGGGTATATTGATTTGCAGTTGTCTGTCTGTCTGTCCGTAGACCAAATGGTTTCCAATCAATAACTGAAGAATGCTCAGGCCTAGGAACTTTAAACTTGGTAAGATGACTGTTATGACCAGCACATGACCCCTATTGATTTTGGGGTCAAGGGATCAAAGGTCAAGGTTACATTGACCTTGTAGGTAAAAATGGTTTCCGATGGATAATTAAAGAATGCTTAGGCCTAGGAACTTCAAACTTGGTATGATGATTGTTCATGACCAGCACATGACCCCTACTGTTTTTGGGGTCAAAGGTCAAGGTCACATTGACCTTGTAGGTAAAAACGGTTTTCGATAGATTACTAAAAAATGCTTAGGCCTAGGAACTACAAACTTGGTATGATGATTGTTCATGACCAGTGGTGGACCCCTACTGATTTTAAGGTCAGTTGGTCAAAGGTCAAGGTCACATTTACCTTGTAGGTAAAAACGGTTTCCGATCAATATCTAGAGAACGCTTAGGCCTAGGAACTACAAAATTGGTATGATAATTGTTCATGACCAGTGGTTGACCCCTTTTGATTTTGGGGTCAAGGGGTCAAAGGTCAAGGTCACATTGACCTTGTAGGCAAAAACTGTTTCTAATCAATAACTTAAGAACACTTATGCTTAGGAACTTCAATCTTGGTATGATAATTTTCATGACCAACAGATGATCCCTATTGATTTTGGGGTTAAAGGTCAAGGTGACATTGACCTTATAGGTTAAAACGGTTTCCAATCAATAACTGAAGAACGCTTAGGCCTAGGAACTTCAAACTTGCTTTGATGATTGTTCATGACCAGCAGATGACCCTATTTGATTTTGGGATCAAGGGGTCAAAGGTCTAGGTCACATTGACTTTGTATGTATAAACACTTTCTGATCAATAACTTGACAACCCATGGGCTGTTGGCTCTCAGACTTGGTAGGTGCATTGGACTTGACCAGTAGATGACCCCTATTGATTTTGGGGTTGAGGGGTCAAAGATCAAGGTTGCATTGACCTTGTAGGTAAAAACGGTTTCTGATCAATAACTTGACAAGCTATGGGCTGTTGGTCCTCAAGTTTTGAAGATGCATTGGTCTTAGCCAGTAGATGACCCCTACTGATTTTGGGGTCAGGGGAACAAAGGTCAAGGTTGCATTGACCATGTATTTAAAAATGGTTTTCTATCAATAACTGGACAACCCATGGACCATTGACCTTGAAGCTTCACAGATGCATTGCTTTTGGTCAAAAGATGACCTCAATGGACTTTTGGCGTTAAGGGGTCAGAGGTCAAGATATATAGGTAACAACGTTTTTTGATCAATATCCCAACTCATGGGCCCTTTACCTTCAAACTTCACAGGTGCATTGGTCTTGGCCAGTAGTTAACCCCTAATGATTTAAGGGTCAAAGATCAATGTCATATTGACCTTGAATGTAAAGACTGATTCTGACCAATAACTCAACAACTCAAGTTGCCTAAAAATCCTTTTGGTATACACATTTCCAGGTCTTATCATCTTATGTAATATAACAACTTGGCTGTCATTAATGAGGCATACGTGATTCATAAAATTTATGCATATATATTTTTATGCCCCCATTTCGAAGAAAAGGGGGTATATTGCTTTGCACTTGTCGGTCCGTCGGTCCGTCGGTCCGTTGGTCCGTCGGTCCGTCGGTCCGTAGACCAAATGGTTTCCGAGTGATAACTAAAGAACCCTTAGGCCTAGGAACTTCAAACTTGGTATGGTGATTGGTCATGACCAGTAGATGACCCCTATTGATTTTGGGGTCAAGGGGTCAAAGGTCAAGGTCACATTGACCTTGTAAGCAAAAACGGTTTCCGATCAATAACTAAAGAACCTTAAGGCCTAGGAACTTCAAACTTGGTAAGGTGATTGGTCATGACCAGTAGATGACCCCTATTGATTTTGGGGTCAAAGGGTCAAAGATCAAGGTCACATTGACCTTGTAAGCAAAAACGGTTTCCGATCAATAACTAAAGAACCTTAAGGCCTAGGAACTTCAAACTTGGTATGGTGATTGGTCATGATCAGTAGATGACCCCTATTGATTTTGGGGTCAAGGGGTCAAAGGTCAAGGTCACATTGACCTTGTAAGCAAAAACGGTTTCCAATCAATAACTAAAGAACTTTAAGGCCTAGGAACTTCAAACTTGGTATGGTGATTGGTCATGATCAGTAGATGACCCCTATTGATTTTGAGGTCAAGGGGTCAAAGGTCAAGGTCACATTGACCTTGTAAGTAATAACGGTTTCTGATCAATAACTAAAGAACTTTAAGGCCTAGGAACTTCAAACTTGGTATGGTGATTGGTCATGATCAGTAGATGACCCCTATTGATTTTGGGGTCAAGGGGTCAAAGGTCAAGGTCACATTGACCTCTTGGGTAAAAACGGTTTCTGATCATTAACAAAAGAACCCTTAGGCCTAGGAACTTCAAACTTGGTATGGTGATTGGGCATGACCAGCAGATGACCCCTATTGATTTTGGGGTTAAGGGGTCAAAGGTCAAGGTCACATTGACCTTGTAGGTAAAAACGATTTCCGATCAATAACGAAAGAACCCTTAGGCCTAGGAACTTCAAACTTGGTATGGTGATTGGTCATGACCAGCAGATGACCCCTATTGATTTTGGGGTTAAGGGGTCAAAGGTCAAGGTCACATTGACTTTGTAAGCAAAAACGGTTTCCGATCAATAACGAAAGAACCCTTAGGCCTAAGGACTTCAAACTTGATATGGTGATTGGTCATGATCAGTAGATGACCCCTATTGATTTTGGGGTCAAGGGGTCAAAGGTCAAGGTCACATTTACCTCTTAGGTAAAAACGGTTTCCGATCAATAACTAAAGAACCCTTAGGCCTAGGAACTTCAAACTTGGTATGGTGATTGGTCATGACCAGTAGATGACCCCTATTGATAATGGGGTTAAGGGTTCAAAGGGCAAGGTCACATTGACCTTGTAGGTAAAAATGCTTTCAAATCAATAACTTAACAACCCTTTGGCCTAGGAACTTCAAACATGGTATGGTGATTGGTCATGACCAGCAGATGACCTATTGATTTTGGGGTCAAGGGGTCAAAGGTCAAGGTCACATTGACCTTGTATGTTAAAACGGTTTCCGATCAATTAACTTAAAACGCTTAGGCCTAGGAACTTCAAACTTTGTATGATGATTGGTCGTGACCAGCAGATGACCCCTATTGAGTTTTGGGTCAAGGGGTCAAAGGTTAAGGTCATGACCAGTAGATACTTGATAACCCTTATTAATTGTTTGATCACTGGGTCAGAAGTCATGCATAATAACCTTTTCACATGACTAATTGGCTGCTGATAGGGGGCATACATGTTTTACAAACATATCTTGTTTGGTTAGATTTGAAATAACATTGTCATAAAATTGTTGCACACAACCTTTGCAGTTACAATTACCTAGTGACTAGTCATGACCAGTAATTAACCCTTATTGATTTTTGATCACTAGGTCAAAAGTCAGTCATAATAACCTGATCACATGACTAATTGGCTGGCGATAGGGGGCATACATGTTTTACAAACATATCTTGTTAATGTAGAAATGTAATTATCAAGATATTAAATCTACTATGTTTGTTATGTTTCAGGTGTATTTGTATTAACAAAGGTGGAGTTTGATATTGGTTTGTTATATAGCCAGTTATTGGACATTAATCAACAAATTAGAAACTGGACTATACCCTCTCCTCAACAGTCATGCACAGGAAACAACGACTTATTGGACTCTAGTACATTATGATAATGTTTATGTATTCTGAACATGACAAAAATAACTACAATTTATTGGACTCAAATAAATAATGATGGTAGAATGAATTCTGATCAGGACAGAATACTATAGTTTATTGGACTTGAATAGATAATGATTGAATCACAGGATTTAGTAAAGAAGTATCACATATTCTGATTATGGCATTTATATTTTCTTACTTTGTGAGAATTTATAAAGACAGTAAACATGGCTTAAAACACTTAAAGAGTAGCGAATATTGAGTACTGCTTAAGCCGATGCTTGAGGGAGTGCGGGATGATGCATTTTTCCATTATCCCTTACAGACTCAATAAAACCGAGTCTGCAATGTTCATGTAATTTTGTTGTAATTGATGATTACAAGGGATCACATTTTTACAGACAAGGATTGATTTTATCTCATTGTTCGGTGATTGTTGAATGTGTATTAAACTCACTTGAGGTGTTTATATTTTGAGAATACTAGTAAACTAATTATGTGGGATGAAATAGAATAAGTATACATCCTTATTGCTAAATTTGGGACAATTTTTGTATATTTTTTTAATGATATATCATATGGTAATGTGTGAACAAAAATGTATATTTTTTTTTGTCAAGCACAGTCATAGTTATAGTGGGTCACCTGTGCTAGGCTTTTTCTACATCAAACAATCAGGGTACCATTACATTTCATAATTGAGCAAAATTAAATTGTTTAATGTCTACTTATGATATGATAAAATGATATGTTTTAACAATTTTCTACTGAGAACAAAATCATGTCATGTTACTTTATTTGTAAGAATTGAAATTTGTTGTTTGTCCTTCTAAACACGTTAATGTTAATTAGAAAGGTTGTAGGCTTTGTTAGAGAAATATTTGTTGTGATATATACAGTATGTCACTATTGTAAATTTCCACATATTGTTGTACATGATCATTGTCAACATGATACATACAAACATTAGATTCCACGTAGACTATATATAAATGAATTTTTGTTCATCGAAATCATGAAAAAAAATAATGATAGTGTATGAGATGCATTGACAAATAAATTGATAAAATAAAATGCAATTTTTTTTAAACAAATTATCAACAAAGACATGGGAATAATTTTTACCTGTTACAGATTTTAACGCTCTAAAATCGTGTAATATAATGTGTGGCAGATGTAAAACAATTTCAAGTTCCCTATACTTCACTGCAGTGCTGTTTTTAAAGGATCATTGATCATGTTGATTTTAGTGTTGAAAATTTAATACTGCTTAAAGAGGCACGATCCATGCTGCATCAATTTTCACACAAAAGTACAATTTTAAATTTATTTCTGAGTATATTTCTCAATAATATTTTGAATATCTCTGTTTTAAGTGACAGAGTTGATCTATGTAAATAAACTCAAATTTAATGTTTTTATACTTTTTTGGACCTTGGTGGGGTTCCTTTAAATGCAGACACATTTAAACAGGTTTATAATAAAGGTTGATGAATATATTTAAAATAAAAAAAATCATTCGCATCTATATCTATTATTGAAACGTTATAGCTACATACACATCTTTTTCCTACTAGGTCTTTTTATTTGAATGTGCTAATTTAGTAGTTTAAGTTATTTATAAATTATTTCTGTGTTATATCTTGTGTGTGTCTTTGAAAAAAATGATGGAAAAGCCAATCTTCATTTTGGTATATTCAAATTAATATAATATTTATTTGAAAGGTATAATTTACTGCACTGTTTGCCATATTATTTCAGTAAGTGTACATTTAGATTCTGAAAAAGTATATAATCAAATATTAAAGCATTGAATGATGAAATGCTCCTTATTTTATTTTAAAATAAATAAGAACGTTTTTTTCTTCTCCGTAAATCTTCGGAGCAATATGGGCATTATTGACAATTCTCTAGACCCAGGCCATATATACTTCTATTTATGTATACAGTCAGTAAATCTTTGCAAGCAGTTAATAAGATGGATACCCCCTCATTGCACAGTTTTGTCTGGCGTAAAACTGCTTTACTGTTCAGTTATCAATCATGGCTTTAATTATTGGCTAAAAAGAAAACAGGTACCAGGATTGTGAGTCATTGTCTCTTTGTCCTAGTCACTCCTTTAAGCCATTATATCAGCAGTTTTAGTTTGTCTGGATTTACTATTAAACTTTCTGGATCTGCTCTTTTGTTACCAAAATTTGTATTTTTACCAACATGCTTTTGATGTGTATTGATGTATTTACTTTATCTAAATGTACTTTTTTAATTATCAGTTTTTTTCATTTCACAAAACGAATTGCTTTTTAGCTATTGTTAATCTTGATGACAACCCTTTCTCATTCTGTGTGTTTCACTACATTTACAAACATATTGTTTTATCTTATTTAATACAATTGAACGTGTATAATGATTTCCTGATCATGTAATTTCCACATCTATTTTGTCTTTCAACATATTCAGATTTTTCACATTTTCATGCCATTTTTATGATGATAAAAATAGTATTTTTATTAGTCATCATTATCCCATAACTTAATTGTAATATAAAACCTAATGTATTGATAGAATTAAATTGTAAAAAAACATTTTATTAACTTTTGCTGTTTCTTTACCTTATTTTAAATGTTTGTTCTTTTGTTTCAATGTCAGGCAAAAATAACATTTCTTGCATTTTATATTTATAATAAAGAAAGCATTCATTTGATGAACATCAAGGTATACAATGCGAGTTCTTTATTTAAACCTCTTAAAATGCATATATTGTTAACAACAAACCAATGCCACCAGCACTTCCAGCAGTATGAAAATAGGTTATACTGTATACCCAAGTTTTTTACAAGTCTCTCTATGTTGATATTGTTTGTAAGCCTCATCAAGCAGAGACTCTATCAATACGTCCATCATCTTATAAGACTTTAAACTGTAAGCATTTCATTATAAGCGTTAACATATCAACATTCATTTAATCAAAAAATAAAAGTTTTAAATTGAAAGTAGGAGTCCATTAAATATTTTTTTGGACTCCTAATGAAAGTGCACGCAATTATGACACAATATATAGTTTATGTATGTTTAAGGTTATCACACTTGTTTATGTCCAAGTTTTGGGGCAACGGTAATTTCTAAATTATCATTCATAGCACATTTTGTTATCTTCACTCCCATTCAGTACATCATTTATTCAATGATTCTTCTTATCCGAATTATCCTAGACACAAGTCGTGACAGTTTGGCAGCACGTCAGATCTTAATTCGCCTATCAAAGTATTTTACATGATATATATACACAGACAGGGATACATTGTAAGGAAGGGAGGTAATTAAGATGCACTTGTTCATTCGTAAAACAGCAAATGATTTTAATTAAATGTGAAAAATCTCCCTTTAAACCTTCTGTATTGAAAATATTTTCTTTGTTTAAGTTTAACTATATTTATTTAAACTTGAATGTGAATGAAGGTATCCTTGGTAAACTTTTGTTATTTTTTATATTTATGTCCAGAATATAGTACAGTTTATTAATTTTAAGTTTTAAAAGCCTTTTGAAAAAGTGTTAATTATACATCCAATATCTTAAGTTCATGCAACTCACCTTGTAGTCTGCTTCTCGGAGCTCAGCAGTACATGTTCCATAGGAGAAATCGAACCTACGAAACTTCGGTTGAAGGGCAAACACTTTATCGATTAAACTTGTTTTACCAGTCTGTGTCATCGACCCCCTCCCCAGAGGAACCTCATCACAGGAGTATAACACCGTGTGCTAGCAGTGTTATTGTTATACAGAACCCTGGACTGATGGAGGAGCAAGAAAATAGTCCCATGACTGAATCTGTGTAAAAAAATAGTAATATTACAAATTATATACAATTCAATTATAATTCTTTATGTCACAAATTACAGCAAATACACAACCAAAGCAGTTTATTTGTTTCCCTGTATGTTTGAAACGATCTCAGATTCCTGGGCTCAAGATCACAGGTGACGACATTGTCCTGTACCATCACATGCTACTAGAAAAAAAAGAACCTGGATGAAAAAATTTCATAGTGTAATAAAAGAAGGTATATCCAATGGCGGAAAAAATTGAACTTTCTGTTTTCAGAGCAAAAATAATAATATATGAACATAAATAATATAAGTCGTTAGTTTTTTCTGTCATCTCCTGGATGCATGCTGTTTTTAACATCAATGATTCGAATATTTTACATATCCCTTTTATATTGCGGATTAGCATATTTATTTTCAATTTACATATCCATATTATATTGGTTGACTCGGACTGTAGTTGTTATCACAATGATAATTACTGAATGAGGGAGACTTTCCTATTTCAGACATAGTGTTGACAGCATCTGTAGTGATGACCCAGATTTAGTCGACCTTGGAGCAAGCGCTTCATCTGTAACATTTCCAAACTTCCTTGTCAGCTATGTGTACTTGATGAACCAAGGTGACGAGGTTGACAAACGTGGAAACAACACGTGTCAAAGGTCATCTCAGAGTCATCTGTGACCAATACAGTTTATACGTCGCAGATCTTCCCCAAACTTTACAGGGTAACTGTTTCTCTTAAAGCAACACACCCATAGATTCATGCTAATTTTCATGAAAATTTTAAAATGTATTTAAAAGTAAAAGTAAAATATTGCGAAGTGAACAAAGAAAATAATTTACTCATTGCAAAGGGCTTACAACCCATGTAATTTACCAAAAAGAAGTCAAAACATGTAAAAAAAATATCACTTACTGTGTTATTCTCGCTGTAGAAATATGGTGAAAAAATATTCTCAGTCATAATCACACATAACATGGAAATTATTACTTTTTTCTTAAAATTTCAGTACATTTTTCACAAGTTTAATTTCCTTGACATATTTTGGCTCATCTAGAAGCATGCAGCTTTAATTATGGATACAATGTCTAGTTAAATATTACATTAAATTAGAGCAAAATATATACAACACTTATAGTAGAATTGATGCATATGGTTATGAGCTTTTGAAATTCGAAGATTCACTCTTTTCTGCCCTAGACTTGAGCGTTGTTGATTCTACTACATGCCTGGCCTGTTTATACATGGAGGGGCACTTGAGGTCTTCCTCCACCAGTCAAGCTGGAAACTCGCCATGACCTTAACTGTGTTTGTGTGACGTTAAACCCAACTAAATAAACATAATGTCACTTTAATATTCAAGTTTATACATTATTTACAGGAGCTGAGGAGAAGACTTGCTACATTAACTAAAGATGCTGTGTATTATATTTCCAAAACAGAGGGACTGAAAAATATTGGAGCTCAATTATATATCCTTTGTAAAGTTTAGTTTAAGTATGATTTGTAGTCACAAACTTGCATTAGTATTTAAGAAGCCTCAGCTTTGCATTTATTCCTAAAACTATAAATATTGGCATTTCCCTTGCTGAATTTGTTTTTGTTACAATGAAGACTAAATTTGAAAATAGTGCTTTTGAGCAGTGAACAATGTAGATTAATCGACTTGGTGTTCACTGCTGTGGCTTCAAAATTGTGTCAAGAATTCTTTCATTAGAAAAAGCTATTCACCTAGCTTACAGAGGGTTAGTAGGTCTGTGGTTTTCTTCGACTAGGGCATCTGGAAATTTGGATAGTTAACATATGTCCTTTACATAGTCACTTTGAATTAAAACTTACAAAACAAACAAAACAGTAAAGGATCTTCTCAGACTGCATGGGTATTTACAGGCTTGTCTCAGTTCATATAGGAGGTATAGGTAAAATAATATTGTTGCAAGTGATGTAAACTCTTACCAAAGTTATTAATTTTATTTTGACCTTAACTAAGATTACCGCAGGCATTAGATACCATGTTCACTCATCTGGAATGTCCATATTTCTTCATTGAAACCGATGTGGTATGTATGAGCCTTAAAAAAGCTATTTTTACCTAAAAAAGCCATTAATTTTCACTAAAAAATGATCTATGTTTAAGTTTTTACATATTGATACAAAATGTATATTGAAATTAGTTTAAATTGCAATTTGAAGTCTATCCAAATTAACTTAATGAGTTATAATTAATATATTATGCATTTTTTTGTCAATTCAAAACAATTTGATTATGTCCTAGTGTCCGTTCAAGCGCTTCTTGTGGCTGAGGGTTGCCTTTTCGTGTTGATACATCAGAATCGTAGTCATGGTTTAACCCTGCATAATCATAAGAGGTGATAAAATGGGTCAAAATTATTGGAGTCTATGCATATTCTAGCTCCAGCACATGAAGTAGTTTTAACACTTGGTGTTTAAATTTTGTAACACCTAGGGTTGGCCAAAATTGTCTCTCAAGTTCCGGTGCTATATGACATTAACTGTGTTGGTTCGCTGTAATACCGAACAAAAAACAAAGTGTCCAGAATGAAAATAGAATATAATTCTCACCGATTTATTCATGATTATCTTATTGATCGTCTGTGTAGAGGTGATAATTGTAATATTTTGGTAATGAGCTGAAAGTGATGTTTTATAAAAGAAAATTTTGTGACATAGGTGTTATATTATTTAATGAACATAGTTAATATTATATATATATAATGATATTATCTTTTTGTATATTTAGTTGGTTGGTAGTAGAGTGGTAGACAAACACAAGTATTGTTTACTAGAGATGCAGGAATGTTTTGAGACCTACTGTATGAGGAAAGACCAAGCTGAACAGGTTTGTTATTTTTGTTCTAGAGGAAAATATTTAAAAAACAACTAGTTATATCCTAAAATATAAAAAAAATAAACCAAGAGGTATAATAACTAAATTGTCCTTACCTTTTAAGTTTTAAGTGTACTTTAGGTCTACTTGAGAAGTTTTCTTTTTCTTTTATTCTTTAAGCAAGTGATGATATCTTCTAGTCATAAACATACAATAAGCTTTGTTTTATTTAGAAAACAAAACACTAACCCATTTATAAGGTTATGATCTGTGAAATCTGATCCTTCTGTTTCCAGAATATTCTTCGCATGGTTTTTGACAAAATAACGATGATATCCTGTCTCTCCAGCATATCTGTAACGTTTCACTGATTAAAACTGTTAAATAATCCTTTGTTGCATGCTTAAATCGTCTGCATGTTCCAGTTTGACATATAATTATTTACATTGCAATTACTTCCGTTTATAACGGATTTTTACTTTTGACTATTCAACAAAAAGATATTTTATACGCGAAAAGCACTCCAGGGTGCAAACAACTAAATTTTATGGGTGTCTTAGTTACTCCAGAGAAGATGGTGATGTCTTATTGTCTTATTGTGGTAACGTCGAAAATAAGAATGAATCGAGAAAAAAATGGCGGCCATTTTATTTCATTTTATATAGGAAAAAGACCACATGACCAGATTTTATACTGTTAAAAAGTACTGTTTCCTATGTAACAGTACAAAATTCTTAGTCACGTGGTACACTTGCATTAACAGTAAGAATAACTCCCAGAGGCCTATGGGAAATTAACATTACGAAAAAAGTGAGGGGTAATAATATTAACTATAACTGAATTATTTCATATGAATGTAAATTTATTTTGTAGAGTTTAGAAGAAATCAAAGTATCAATTAAACAGCAATCACTTGGTGATGGTGGAAGCTTTCCTATACAATGTAGTGAAGAACAGGTACTATTTTTATAGCCTTTTGTGACAACTATGGTGACACAGTAATGTTATTTAAGTTTTGAGTCGAGTTTTATGTTTATATCTAGGGTATTGAATTATTTAGATTTCTGAAAGAATAAAGGTTTCATATTAAAAGACACTCATTCACCTTGTGGTCCTCTACAAATGTTACATGAATTCATTCTCTTTTTATCAAAAATGGCCAACCCTATGTGTCACTTAGTTTACATAGACTTTTAGAATAAAAAGTGTAAATTGACTTTAACAGTATAAATGCCTTAAAATGCTGCTTGGACATAACAATGGTGGGAGCTGAAGTGTATGGCATGTATCATTACCTTTTGGTTCTCTATTAAATTATGTAAGTATTGTCCATTGGTAAAAAATGACCCAGCCCTGGTACCCCTTGGGTCAAAATTGCCCTAGTCCCAATGTCATTAAGTTCTATGGACATGTAGTCTTATTTGAAACATCAATGCCAAAAGCTGAGATTTTTGGCAAATAGCATCACCTTGTTGTCCTCTACAAAAGTTTTATAAATTCCACCCTTGGACCAAAATTGGTCCCAACCCTGGGTATCAATTAGTTTATATTAACTTTTATAAGAAACAAGTAAAGTTAAGTTTAAAGTGGTCTTCTCAAAATCTACAAAGCCCAGAACTTAGATTTTTGGCAAGAATATTTGCCTTATGAACCTCAACAAAAGTTAAATAAGTCTTGCCCCTTGGTCCAAAATTTGCCCATACCTTTGGTCACTTATTTTATGTCTAATTATATAGGAAAACACATTTAAGTTGTCTATTGCAAAATTATATTGCCAAGAACTTAGATTTTCTTTTAGTACAAATGAATGTAGCATTTGCTTTGTGGTCCTTTACAAAATTGAAAAAAATTATGCCCATGGGGTCGAAAAAGTTTCAGCCTTCTAGTATATATAGCACTGCATAGTATAAATCTTGAAAGTGATCCCTTCGAAGCATTAAATACAGCAAAATTATATAGATTGCATGCTCGGTTTGATTGAGTCATTTATGAGATATAATAAAAAAAGTGCAACATCACTTATGCCCCCTATACTAGCACCGACTTGAGCATTACTCATTTCTCAACACTAAAAAGTGCTGGACTGAATGATGCCCATGGACCAGAAAAATATAACAACACATTTAATTCATCTTGTATGAAGACATGCTTTGATGGTTTGGTACATATGTAGCATTTCCTGGAATACATCTGATCTACAAATGTTTCAAAAATAATGCAGCTTGGGCCAAAAATGACAACATAAACTAAGTGACGTTTATGGTCAAATAGCTTCAAACCACTTGCCCTTCACCACTGAATCCTGACAGGGACTTTCAATTCTTCATGTGATGAAGTAATCTAGCCAGCTTTTGGAATTTCTGTGATTCTTCTGAAAGTACCCGGTCATGGCCTGATATAAAGCATGGAAGACCACTTGAAGTCTTCTCCAACGGTAAAGATGGAAAGTCGTCATATGACCTAAAGTGTTGTTGGGACATTAAACCCGATGTATGGTTTTACATGAAATAAGTGTGACTGCCATCAATGTATTTCAGGTTAGAAATTGGGGACAATCATGATTCAAATAACTATCACTTTGTAAAATCAAACTTTATTTTCTAAAAATGCATACAAGCAAAAAATCACATGTACAGAAATTTGATACATTTTATCAGGTTTTCTTCTCTTTTTTTCAGAAATTAGATCTGTGCCAAAAGTTATATAAACTAATTTTCCAACTAGTTATGCTGTTTGAAAGTTACATCAAGCTACTAGATTGTTTCAAACTTGTACAGACAGCCTCACAGGTAAACATCCTAAAGATTCTCTGATTTATATTCTGATGTTCTTTTAGCTCACCTGAGCATCAAGTACTCATTGCAATTTGTCTGTTGTTCTCAACAATTCATATAACAACATTTACTTAAACAATGTGTGAATTTTGACCTAAAGGAATGGTCCTAAAATGGCCCTGTACAAAAGTTATATAAATGATGTCAGTCCAATGCACACGTATGATACATGTATATGAGCTAAATAAAAGTTAAAAAATAAAATCTTTACAAATTTTCTATAAAACTATAATGTTAAGAGCCTAGGTATCTGGCATGTAACATGCCATTGTCCTGTACAAAAGTAATATATAAATTATAACCTTCAATGGTTATCATGTTAGGGGATATTAATGTATATACATGTGTATCTATGTAAGAAAACAAATTTAAGTCACAGTGCTTACTTGCTTATATTCAGGATTGCTCAAGTATTTCAGTCAGTAAATGTTAAGTGAAACACCAGTAAAACTTTATTTAGTAAAACACTAAAAAAACGACTAAGGTATATACATAATACTTTTTAGCTCACTGGTCACTTTGTGGCAGGGTGAGCTTTTGTGATCGCTTTTCGTCCGTCCGTCGTCCGTAAACTTTTACTTTAAATAACATCTCCTCATAAACCACAAAGCCAATCTCATCCAAACTTCACAGGAATGTTCCTTTGGTGGTCACCTTTAAAAATTGTTCAAAAAATTTAATTCCATGCAGAACTCTGGTTGCCATGGCAACCAAAAGAAAAAACTTTAAATATCTTCTTCTAAAAAACCCAAAGAGCTAGAGCTTAGATATTTGGCATAAAACATTTTGTAGTGAGTGTCTACCAAGTTTGTTCAAACAAAAGCCCTAGGGTCAAAATTGGCCCCGCCACAGGGGGTCATTGATTTTCTCTATATGTATATAGTAAAAACTTAAAAAATCTTCTTTTAAAGAACCCAAAAAGCTAGAGCTAAGATATTTAGCATGAAACATCTTCTAATGAGTGTCTACCAAGTTTGTTCAAATAAAAGCCCTGGGGTCAAAATTGGCCCCGCCCCAGGGGATCATTGATTTTTCCTATATGCATATTGTAAAAACTTAAAAATCTTTTTTTAAAGAACACAAAGAGCTAGAGCTAAGATATTTAGCATGAAACATGTTCTAATGGATGTCTACCAAGTATATTCAAATAAGAGCCCTGGGATCAAAATTGGCCCTGCCCGGATGGACATTGATTTTCCTTATATGTGTATAGCAAAAACTTAAAAATCTTCTTCGAAAAAACCCGAATAGCTAGAGTTTAGATATTAAGCATGAAACATCTTCTAGTAAGTGTCTAAAAAGATTGTTTCAAATAAAAGCCCTGGGGTCAAAACTGGCCTGCCCCAGGGTGTCATTGTTTTTAAATATATGTGTAAAGAAAAAAACTTAAAAAATCTTTTTTTTAAAAAACCCAACGAGCTAGACCTTAGATGTTTAGCATGAAACATCTTCTAATGGGTGTCTACCAAGTTTGTTCAAATAAAAGCCCTGGGGGTTTAAACTGGCCCCGCTCCGGGGGGCCTATATACAGGTGAGCGACTTCAGGGCCATCAGGGCCCTCTTGTTTATAATTTACAGAAATAAAAAGAGAAATGCATTAAAACAGAACTTTGCAATTTGTTCCATTTGGTGATAAAGTACTCAAATGATATATCCAAGCAAATCTCTTTTAAAAGCCTTTATAAAAATGTATTACAGTATCAATATGCATAAAATAGGTATTTAAAATTTGCAGTTGAATAAATTTTTTTATGATTTTTTTACTATTTACAGATAGTAAATGTAAAATTTATCATTATTCAGTATTTTCATTACCATTATTCAATATTGTAGCTTTCTTGTAAAATCATCACACAAGTTCTTCATCAGCATAAGATTTCCTCAGATCATTCAACCGTAATGTTAATTAAAGAGCATGTAACCAAATCACATAGGCTATTAAATATTTTAAAGCAGTTCTTCCCTAAATTTGTAACATGATTATATGACAAAACAAATTTTATTTTTAATGGCTTACTGTAAAGTGAATCGGTCTATAATGGATGATTTGTAAAACAAAAAATTATGATGTTGAAAGTGTTTAGTATTAGATATAAATACAAACCACAAAAAAATTCTATGAATCTTGTTGGCAGGTGTGAGACACATGATCCGATAATACATATACATTGTATTTATATTGCAGATAATAAAATGTTCTATAACAAAATATTATTATCCATCATATACATATTTCATACTATGTATACTAGTTAAAACATTAATAACACTTTTTCCCAAGCAATATTTAAATACAATTTCCAAATGATACATTTCTTTTGTTTATAGAAATCTTTTTAAAGCACTTATGGAAAATGTGCTTACTGTAGATCTACCAACTTAAATGTTAACAAAATAACAAACATATGCAGTAAATTGGGTATTAACTGGTTTTGATAAAATACAGTTAAAGTTGTATTGTTCTACAACAGTTTATAGATGTGAATGAAGTTGTCATATTTTTCATCTACAGCATTACAGCTATAATACAGCTTCTTTGTTTCTCCACACCAGCATACAGCCCATGGTCTCTTCAGAACCTGCAACACCACCTTTCCTGTAGAACAATCTCCTGATATCTCTTCTATAACAAGTTCCGCCAAGTCACACACAAAAACAGTACCATCATCGGACAGTGACATTCCTCTAGGGAAACTCATACCACTATAACTACCAATCACAACACCCTGCCAGTTTAATTTTGTTAATGTCTTCATCCCCCTGTCAGATACATAGATAGAACTTCTGTTACATGTGATATAACATGGATATTTGAAAATATTTTTTCCATCAATTGTTGTCAGTATAGTGCCATTCATATCAAAGATCTGAAGTTTTGTAGGATTAAGGAATGACACAATAAGTTTACCTTGATAACAACTTATACCATAACAACTGCCATCAACCTTCACATTGTGCTTCTTTATGAGTTTGTTTGATGAGATTGATATAAATTGTATTGTTTGTTTGTCAGAAAGTGTGACAGCAAGTTCAGTACTGGTTACTGTTGTGATATCACATGGTTCACCATCTAGTTGTAGTTGATCAGACACAGATTGACTGCTGGTATCCACCATCTTTACAGCTTTGTTAAAGTGGTCAGTGATGATAAGAAGATCAGGAGTCAGTAGAGTCATTCCTAATATATTGCATCTTGATTCATCTTTTGATGTCTTCACACAGATATCTCCCTCATGTGAAAGTTGTCTAGACTTTATTTGTACAGATTGACATTCTGTATTAAAAGTTTTATGTGTCAATGTACCCAGTGACTTCTCTGTTTAAGGAAATTTAATATGACATCATTTGATCGAAAAGTTGTGCTCTTTGATATCATATGATAAAAGTTGTTGAGTTTTTCCCTCCACATTCTGTATTGTTTTCTCTGCAAGTTTAAGTTCCATGAAAAGTTTGTTGGCCTGTTTTGATATGTTAAGTTGTTTGATTTTGTCTGATGATATTTTCATAGATTTGGTTATATCTTCATATGTTGTTTCTGCTGCTTTCAGATGTTTGTTATTTTCTTGTTGTATAACTTTAGCTGCATCTTCAGCCTGTCTCTCAAGTTCATCTAGTCTTTGGTTGATTTCTTGCCGAAACTTTTTGATTGCTGCTAATGCATCTTTGAGAGAGCTGTTTGATTTGTTTGTCATGTTCTTGACATCTTCTACCATCTGTTGAAATTGGTCAGAAGTGTGATTCAATGTTTTTAGAGTATCTTGATATTGTTTGCTGTCTATTATATCACCAGAAATGTCTGGTATATAATCAACTTTGCAGGAAGTAGCTTGATGTTCAAGGGTAACACAAACGCTGCAAAGTAATTTTTTATGGTCATTGCAGTAGAACTTGATCATTTCTTGTGGATGTTTCAGACAGGGTGTGGTAAGGACATCAGACTGGCCTGTGTGAATGGATGTTGAGGGTTGCTGCAATACTTTAGGCATATTAGTAGCGTCCTGAAGTATATGATGTTTGGAAGCCTACTCACTTTGTGTGCTGTAAAACAATTCTTGCAGAGGTGTTCCTTACAGTCAGTGCAGTAACCATGGGCAGGTAGTCTAGGTCCTTCCTCGTCACAAGGCTGGCAGTAAATTTGAAGATCTTCATCTGATGCCATGGATGTTGTAGATGATGAAAATTGTTTTGATGCTTTTCTTTCCTGAGACTGCCATGTTTTATCTAAAATGTATAATAAAAGATTACTGTGTATTGCATGTTTGTCTAATTGCCTTTTTGTATATACTAGTATGTAATACTGTCGTACTCTAGCAGACAATTCAAAACATAGGTAGTACCTTGCGGACATTTATGGCTTGTTTGAGGTAAAAGGTTGAGCAAAAAAAATCTATTATCTATAACATCTTAGACTTGTTCTTATATACATGTATAACACTCTTAGTTGATAATAAGACCCATATTGGTTTTCATTTAAATTTATATTTATGTATTTGTTTATGTCAAAATATTTGTTGTGTTATCATATGATATCTCATCAAACTAACACTTAATTTATGATGTACAAATACAGTCAACGATCGTTATCTTGACATCGCTTTTCTCGATATTTCGTTATCTCAATGAAATTTTGAAAGTCCCGATTTTGTTCCTTCTTTATCTATATTGGAAATATTTGTTTATCTCGATATTTTTATTTTGATATTTTCAGTATCTTGAAGTAAAATTTCAGCCCCGACAGTAATTTTCACGCTATTATCCTTTCTTTATCTCAACTAATAATTTTTTCGTCTCTCCCCTGCAGAGGTGTGAAAAACACAAACCAGACAATAATCACTTAATAGCATGTGTCAAAATGATGACTATGTTTGTAGCAAGTCGAGCTTTTTTGATGAAAGTTTACCTAATTAACGTATTGATTGACTAATGTCCAAAATGAGTGAATCTTCCGCTATTTTTAAAATATTTGAACACTGTATTAATTTCATTGTGACTTTAGATGTAAATGAAAAAGTGTTCAGTATAGAAACATTTTCGTTGCAATATTATTTTACAACATCGAAAAAAATATCAAACAGCGGTATAACTATCTCGAGAATGGTCCGATAACCAACCCGGGAGGATATCTGGATCGACCATGTTGAAAAAGTTTTCACTATAGTGGTGTTTCACTGAGTAAACCTCACAATGTGTTTTTATCACAGACTTTCATATTTCCGCTGGTAAACATCCGCTAATTTAACTTTGTTAAATATAGACTTTGGGATATAAGGCTCAAGAAAACAAGACATGGAGATATCATACTTTTAATTTATTTGACTTAAGGTATGCACATGCCTTTGTAAAAATCAGTTACTGCCTTGTTCAAACCTTACATGTTTATCTCAACATTTTGTTATCTCGATATTTTTTTAACGATCCCGATGACTTTGAGATAACAAAAGTCGACTGTATATAAAAGTATGCCATTGTTAAAGGCGAATATGTACAAATTTGTAAGAATACCATTGTGACAGACACAAAAGTAATATGTACAAATATATAAGTATGTCATTGTGCCAGACAAAATAAAATATGTACAAATATGTCATTGTTACAGGTATTTAAGTATACAATTTTCACGAAAAAATACAAATATAGAAGAATGCCATTGTGACATGTACATATATATGAAAGTTCAATTTTGACAAACAAGATGAAATATGCACAAATATGTAAGTATGCCATTGTGACAAACAAAAATGAAATATGTATAAATACATGTATGTAAGTATGCCATTTTGACAGGCAAATGAAATACTGTGACAGGCAAAACGACATTAACTTTTTTAATTAAAGAATTGAGAATTTAGTACCTCATCAATGAAATTTTCATGAGCCTAAATTATCACAATTATTTCATTTTTTGACATCAAATGTCAGGTTCATTTATTAAACAATTTAATAAAAACAAGAAATAAATTCATCTTATATTGGCTATTGACTGAATTGTATATACACTTGAATGGGTTAGCTTTTTTTTATTTTTACCTCATTTTCGGGCCAAAGTTATTTTGTTTTGTATGTGAGAATGAAAGCCTTTGTTTCGAATGTTTCCTGGCCAGCCAAAACAATTAAGTTTGTTTATCCGAAATATTCTTTTATATTGCATATAATTTTTTTCTGTGTGTTTTTATTATATTGATAATTAATTTTTTAGGCAGCAATTATGTAATAGAAAGAGCACCGAAACACGAGGCTATCTGATTTGTACCGAGTATTAATCAGTTTGCCGAGTGTTTTGGTGTTCTTTCTCTTTTGTATCATAGTCAAACATAAAAGCACGTTCCCTGTTGTCACAATATGAAACCCCGGCAAAAACGAACCAATGAACGAACATCTGAATATGACATTACTGTCTCTTTCACTTTCTCTGCCGTCACAATAAGTAAACCCCAGCAAAAATGAGCCAATCAATGGGCATGCACTGGAGTGCGGGTAACTAATACCTGCACTCCAGTTAACGCACTGTGCATGTATATGTATACGATTTAACCCTGACACATTTTCAACAGAAAGGTCTCCAAACTATGATACAAATTTCTGATAAGGTAGTGGGAGGGGAAACAAACACTATAAATAAATCAATTATGACAAGTTTATACAAAGTAGTTGCTGTGTTTAATGTAAATGTTGTCTTCAGACAGACATACAGACAGCACAAAACCAAAAAATATTGAACAAAAATCTTTAATTTTGTACAATCATAATTACTGTTTTAAAAAGTGCTATTTATTCTCTTTTATGTATTAAACATAGTTAAAAAAAGTCCTATTCAATTATGTGTTAAAATTTCATAAACCTAAATATGTCAACAGTATTTTATTAGAGCTTAAAACCAAAACCATCATGGTTTTAAAATAGCAGTTTAATATGCATAATTTAATTATTAAGAGAAACAAAAAGGAAATCATCCTACCTTGAGTTATCCTCAAAATTGTGTCACAGGTTTGAAATCATCCACTGTAATGATGTCTTAATTTTTCTAAAGGTTTAATGTAAATATTTTGCTGTTACTATTGGAGTCATGCATTCATGGAATTCGATAACGATATTTACTTCCTTGTTTTGCAACATTGATTTTTAAAATGTTATACATTTCAAACTTAACAGTTTAAACATAAGAGATAGCAGGCCCTTATTTAGCTGATACAAGTACATGGTGTTTGAAAATATATCAGATTTTAATATTGTGTTTAAAACTAGTATTTTAATAATTCAGTAGAGATAAATTTGATATTTAAATCCCAGTTGTTCTTTTTCATGATTGCACAAATTTTAAACCATTACCTATACTGTAAGTTTATTCATGTCCACATTGTTTAAATTGACGTATACATGTATAAGGATCATAAATGATAGTTATACATTAAAGAAGGGGTTGTAAATGTGTTTTAAAGCATTTAGAGCAGATTGAGTAGACCTCACAATTAGGGATTTCAACTTCCATTGAAAGATTATTATGATTAATGATATATGGGTATCTCATCAATATGATTTGACATCGCGTGCATAACACTTTAAGTTTAATGACGATTTCAAGGTTACTGTTAAAACTCGGAAGTTTGAATTTGCTAAATGCTGCTCTCAAACTATCTAATCTCTTGTTTTAAACTTCTCTCAAAACTCATACTTTAGATTCCCAGCTTTAAAGCTATTCACTCAGACATAGTTGTCTGTGGTTTTTAAAGAATGGCTTGTCTCATTATAACATGTACACATAAAATTCATGTTTCTAGTTTTCATAATTATGCTCACCGAAAAATTTCGGGGTCAAGGTCACACTTGCTCATTCAAGGTCAACATCGCCTATTTGAGGGTATATGTCGTGTCCGGTCCATAACTTTCTTATCTATGAAGGGATTTTGTAAATACTTGCCATAATTGTTCACAATAATCAGACAATGTGTCATGCGCAAAAACCAGTCACCTACCTTCAAGGTCAAGGTCACACTTGGAGGTCAAATATTAACATAGTCTGTTACAGGGTATATTTCGTGTCCGGTCCATAACTTTGTCATTTATGAAAGGAATTTGAAATAACTTGGCACAAATGTTTGTTATAATAAGACGATGTGTCATGCGCAACAACCAGACCCGTACCTTCAGGGTCAAGGTCGTACTTGCTCATTCAAGGTTAACATTGTCTATTTGAGGGTATATGTCGTGTCCGGTCCATAACTTTCTTATCTAAGAAGGGATTTTGTAAATACTTGCCATAATTGTTCACAATAATCAGACGATGTGTCATGCGCAAAAACCAGTCACCTACCTTCAAGGTCAAGGTCACACTTGGAGGTCAAATATTAACATAGTCTGTTACAGGGTATATTTCGTGTCCTGTCCATAACTTTGTCATTTATCAAAGGAATTTGAAATTACTTGGCACAAATGTTTGTTATTATAAGACGATTTGTCATGCGCAACAACCAGACCCCTACCTTCGAGTCAAGGTCGTACTTGCACATTCAAGGTCAACATTGTCTATTTGAGGGTATATGTTGTGTCCGGTCCATAACTTTCTTATCTATGAAGGACTTTTGTAAATACTTGCTATAATTGTTCACAATAATCAGATGATGTGTCATGCGCAAAAACCAGTCACCTACCTCCAAAGTCAAGGTCACACTTGGAGGTCAAATACTTACATAGTCTGTTACAGGGTATATTTTGTGTCGGGTCTATACTTTTTTCATAGATCAAAGGATTTTGAAAATACTTCGCACAAATAGTCACTATAATAAGATGATGTGTCGTGCTCAACACCTGCATCCCAACCTCCAAGGTCAAGGTCACACTTAGAGGTCAAAAATTAACATAGTCTGTTATAGGGTATATTTTGTGTTGAATCTAGAACTTCTTCATAGTTCAAGGGATTTTGGAATAACTTGGCACAAATAGTAACATTAATAAGCCAATATGTCAGGTACAACACCTGCACCCCTACCTCTTAAGGTCAAGGTCACACTTAGAGATCAAAGGTTAACAGAGTCTGTTATTTGGTATATTTTTTGTCCCGTCCATTACTTCTTCATAGATTAAGGGATTTTGAAAGTACTTGGCACAAATAGTCACAATGATTAGATGATAATGTCATGCGTAACATCTGTGTCCCTACCTCCAAGGTCAAGGTCACACTTAGAGGTCAAAGATTTACGTAGTCTGTTTTAGGGTATATTTTGTGTCCAATCTATAACTTCTTTATAGTTCAAGGGATTTTGATAATACTTGGCACAAATAGTCTCAATAATAAGACGTTATGTCATGCACAACACCTGCTCGCCTACCTCCAAGGTCAAGGTCACACTTAGAGGTCAACGCTTAACATGATAGATTTTTAAATTCCGTGTTTCATTTTATTTTTTTAACAAATTTATTGTTACATTTGCAGATCTAGCATTGATCATAATTATGGACTGAATGTCCTGAGATCCATACCTCAATTTTTTGAAATAGCACAATTTTATGCTTCATATAAAACTCCCGGGGCGGGGGACGTTGGTAACTCTGTTACAAATTCTTGTTGAGAAATAGTTATCACCACAGAGAGCCACATAGCTTTATAGGGACAGATTAATAGTATTTAATTGATCGGCAAAATTTATGTACTTTTTGCTTGATTTAGGTGAATGATATTTCTGGACAAGTGGAGAGTATTAAAGGGGAAGTAACTGCTGCCATGTCAGAATTAGAGAATGGTCAGGCATCACCACTAAATGTTGACTCCCCTAAACCAGTCACAAAACAAGATGCATTCTCCAGTCTTACAGAGTATATCAAAAGTCAACAATACCAAAAAGCAATACAGCTTGTCAGATCTTTCAGGTATGGTTTGGTAGCGAACTATTTAAGTATTTTGTTTTAGATATCCATAGAAAAATTTATGTTTATAAGTAATTTATTGAAACCGGTATTTAACATCAACAGCGTATTAATCTGTAGAAAATCTATGACTTCTAACCATTTTCACAAGAAAATGGACTGAAAGTACTTTTCCATATTTTTGATATCTGAAAACAGTTGTAAACATAAATAAATGGGGAAAAAATGTCAGTCTTATGCTAATTATCAATAAACACTGGTACTGACATGAATAAACCTTTCTAACTAATTATTATGACAAGTATTTAAAATTGGTCCGTAGACCAAATGGTTTCCGAATGATAACGAAAGAACATTTAGGTCTAGGAACTTTAGACTTTGTATGATGATTGCTCATTGACCAGTAAATGACCCCTATTGATTTTGGGGTCAAAAGGTCAAAGGTCAAGGTCACATTGACCTTTTAGGTAAAAAAGATTTCCAATCAATAACTGAAGAATGCTTAGGCCTAGGAATTTCAAACTTGGTAAGATGAATGTTATGACCAGCACATGACCCCTATTGATTTTGGGGTCAAGGGATCAAAGGTCAAGGTTACATTGACCTTGTAGGTAAAAATGGTTTCCGCTGGATAAATAAAGAATGCTTAGGCCTAGGAACTTCAAACTCGGTATGATGATTGTTCATGACCAGCACATGACCCCTACTGTTTTTGGGGTTAAAGGTCAAGGTCACATTGACCTTGTAGGTAAAAACGGTTTTCGATAGATTTCTAAAAAACGCTTAGGCCTAGGAACTACAAACTTGGTATGATGATTGTTCATGACCAGCGGTGGACCCTTACTGATTTTAAGGTCAGTTGGTCAAAGGTCAAGGTCACATTAACCTTGTAGGTAAAAACGGTTTCCGATCAATATCTAGAGAACGCTTAGGCCTAGGAACTACAAAATTGGTATGATAATTGTTCATGACCAGTCGTTGACCCCTTTTGATTAAAAGGTCAAGGGGTCAAAGGTCAAGGTCACATTGACCTTGTAGGCAAAAACTGTTTCTAATCAATAACTTAAGAACACTTATGCTTAGGAACTTCAATCTTGTTTTGATAATTTTCATGACAAACAGGTGATCCCTATTGATGTTGGGGTTAAAGGGGTTAAAGGTCAAGGTGACATTGACCTTATAGGTTAAAACGGTTTCCAATCAATAACTGAAGAACGCTTAGGCCTAGGAACTTCAAACTTGCTTTAATGATTGTTGATGACCAGCCGATGACCCTATTTGATTTTGGATCAAGGGGTCAAAGGTCTAGGTCACATTGACGTTGTATGTATAAACACTTTCTAATCAATAACTTGACAACCCATGGGCTGTTGGCTCTCAGACTTGGTAGGTGCATTGGACTTGACCAGTAGATGACCCCTATTGATTTTGGGGTTGAGGGGTCAAAGATCAAGGTTGCATTGACCTTGTAGGTAAAAACGGTTTCTGATCAATAACTTGACAAGCTATGGGCTGTTGGTCCTCAAGTTTTGAAGATGCATTGGTCTTAGCCACTGCCAGTAGATGACCCCTACTGATTTTGGGGTCAGGGGAACAAAAGTCAAGGTTGCATTGACCATGTATTTAAAAATGGTTTTCTATCAATGACTAGACAACCCATGGACCATTGACCTTGAAGCTTCACAGATGCATTGCTTTTGGTCAAAAGATGACCTCAATGGACTTTTGGCGGTAAGGGGTCAGAGGTCAAGATATATGGGTAACAACGTTTTTTGATCAATAAACTCATGGGCCCTTTACCTTCAAACTTCACAGGTGCATTGGTCTTGGCCAGTAGTTAACCCCTAATGATTTACGGGTCAAAAATCAATGTCATATTGACCTTGAATGTAAAGACTGATTCTGACCAATAACTCAACAACTCAAGTTGCCTAAAAATCCTTTTGGTATACACATTTCCAGGTCTTATCATCTTATGTAATATAACAACTTGGCTGTCATTAATGAGGCATACGTGATTTATAAAATTTATGCATATTTATTTTATGCTTTTCAGTGGATTACTGATTTATCCGTGAAAATTATATTTGATAATTTCACAGTGAAAATTATCAAAATATAATTTCACTTTTTTCAATGACGAAACTACTTTTTTAAGATTTTCCCCATGTGGTACCTCAATTTTATTTTTACCGACAATTCTGACAATGTCAGGCTGTTAAAAGAAATAGCAAAGCTGAAATAGATAAATAACTTAAATGTCAAAAGTAACACAGAGAGAAAACTTACTTCTATTCCTTCAAATTCCAATCACAAAATTTCGTCTCTAAATTTTTTTTGTTTCGTTTTTACAGTCTGAAAAATACATTCCTTCCCCATGCAAAACGGGCTCTTGATGACATTTGGGCATATTAAAGTATCCTACGAGCAATAACTGCCGTATGCTTTATGAAAAATTGAAAAGCATTGACAGCCATCACTCGTAAAATAAGTTAAAACAACCCAGCGTTCCTTCAGCAAGCTTCCAATTTTTTCCATTTTCCTAGCTCCTTTTCTGAATGTTTTCACTTCTGTCAACACTTATTTTTTGTCTGTTACAATCCTCAAATAAGTTTTCTTTCTTTTAAAAAGGTGTATGACTAACAAATCCAAATTATATCCTTCTGAATCTTACACAATTATTTTCCTCCCATGAAATACACAACTTTAAAAAAAGGCTGCCGTTTACATTTTAGAAAGCCAGGTCTAATATAAATTCGCAGTAAGTAACAGAAATATGGATGGATGGTTGGAATTTTCTCCTGCAAGAATTGTTTGTTTTTATGATTAAAACAAGCGATCATTCATATTTTTTTAATAAAATGAATAAATATCACCGTCATTTAACCTTGATTGGCGGACTTATTTTTCAGCTCAAGACTTCTTGTTTTAAATGAGAAATTCCGTCTAAATGGGGCTCTCAATGGGGGAAACAGATTTTAATATTAACGTTAAAATTATGGAAATTTCGTTTTAACTTGTTTTTAAGCATAAAATAAAAAGAAAATTTGTCTGTTTGTTGTGTAAGATGTAATTTTATTTCATCTCGTGAACTTTAAAAACAGTATTCTCACTCGTGGCTACGCCACTCGTGAGAATACTGTTTTTAAAGCTCACTCGATGAAATAAAATTTCATCTTACACACAAACAAACAAATATCCTCTATATATTTTTTGGTAAGATTTGAAATAACATTGTCATAAAATTGTTGCACACAGTTACAATTACCTAGTGACTAGTCATGACCAGTAATTAACCCTTATTGATTTTTGATCACTAGGTCAAAAGTCAGTCATAATAACCTGATCACATGACTAATTGGCTGGCGATAGGGGGCATACATGTTTTACAAACATATCTTGTTAATGTAGAAATGTAATTATCAAGATATTAAATCTACTATGTTTGTTATGTTTCAGGTGTATTTGTATTAACAAAGGTGGAGTTTGATATTGGTTTGTTATATAGCCAATTATTGGACATTAATCAACAAATAAGAAACTGGACTATACCCTCTCCTCAACAGTCGTGCACAGGAAACAACGACTTATTGGACTCTAGTACATTATGATAGTATGAATATTCTGAGTTTGACAAGAAAACTACAATTTATTGGACTCAAGTAAATAATGATGGTAAAATGTGTTCTGATCAGGACAGAAACTACAAAAATAATGATGGTATCACAGAATTAAGAATATCACATATTCTGATTATGGCATTAATATTTCTTGCTTTGTGAGAATTTATGAAGAAAGTAAACATGGCTTAAATTGATTTTAAGTGTTGAAAATTTAGTACCGCTCAAGCTGGTGCTAGAAAGAGTGTGGGATGTTGCATTTTTTCATTATCCCTTATGTACAGACTCAATAAAACCGAGTCTGCAATTTTCATGTAATTTTATTGTAATTGATGATTACGAGGGATCACATTTTTACAGACAAGGATTGATTTTATCTCATTGTTCAGTGATTGTTGAATGTGTATTAAACTCAGTTTAGATGTTTTGTATTTTGAGAATACTAGTAAAGTAATTATGCGGGATGAAATAGAATAAGTATGCATCCTCACATTGCTAAATTTTGGACAATGTTTTAGTGATATATCACATGTTATGTGTGACATAAAATATTTTGTTCACGTCAAGCACAGTCATAGTGCTTTATTATCTCTAACCCATTTTGCAAGTTACGTGACATTTAGTATGTCACCTGTGCTAGACTTTATCTATAGCGAACAATCAGGGTGCCATCACATTTCATATTTGATCAAAATTAAATTGTTTAATGTCTACCTATGATATGATAAAATGGTATGTTTTCATACAATTGTCTACAGAGAACAAAATCATGTCATGTAACTTTATTTGTAAGAAGTGCCAAATTTGTTGTTTGTTCTTCTAAACAAGTTAATGTTAATTAGAAAGGTTGTAGACTTTGTTAAAGAAATATTTGTTGTGATATATTTGTCACTATTGTAAATTCCCGCATTTTGTTGTACATGATCATTGTCAACATGATAGATACAAACATTAGATTCCACTTAATCTCTATATATAAATGAATTTTTGTTCATCGAAATCATGAAAAAAAATAATGATAGTGTATGAGATGCATTGACAAATAAATCGATAAAATAAAATGCAAATTTTTTAAACAAATTATCAACAAAGACATGGAAATAATTTTTACCTGTTACAGATTTTAACGTTCTAAAATCGTGTAATTTAATGTGTGGCAGATGTAAAATAATTTCAAGTTCCCTATACTTCATTGCAGTGTTATTTTTACAGGATCATTGATTATGTTGATTTTAGTGTTGAAAATTTAATACTGCTAAAGAGGCACGATACATGCTGCATCGATTTTCATACAATTTTAAATTTATTTCTGAGTATATTTCTCAATAATATTTTGAATATCTCTGTTTTAAGTGAAAGAGTTGATCTATGTAAAAAAACTCAAATTTAATGTTTTTATACTTTTTTGGACCTAAGTGGGGTTCCTTTAAATGCGAACAGATTTAAACAGGTTTGT